GTTATTAACTGTTAACATAAATGAAGTTATTAACCATAGCTATCATGGAGTTAAAATTATCATGTAACTATGGAGTTATTAATGGAGTTAATTAACTGAAAAATATGGGGATTATAAATGGATTTGTTAATTATCATTCTTTATTAATCATCATCAATCACTATTGATACTTATTAACCATTAGTGTAATAACCAGATGGTAAATATCAATTGGGAATCACTAATCAGCATTGATCATCATCAATTATCATTATCAACCATTATTAACCATAGCACCATGTAAGAAATAACTGCATGGTATTTGATATAATCATAACATAACATTAACATAACCATTATTAACCATTGTTAAGCACAATTATTAATCATCATTACTTGGTGGTTCATCCCACTTAGCAAGTGGCTTATAAGCCGACACGTTTAGAAGTATAGGTGGGTTAACCCTGGGACAATAATCCACTTACTAACTGGGATGACCAAGTAAAAATGGAGTTCTGAACGGGACATTTTTAAACTAAATGGTTGTTTATAGCTGGGATATTAGTATGGAATATTTCTATAGTTCTGGGCTATTAGAACGTTTTGGAAGCTATGAGAATATCATGATGGGATATGATGATGGGATATGATGATGGGATTGAATACAGGGATTTACCCTGTGGTAATGACTAGCAGTTTGCGAACTGGAAAATGGCCATAGAAATAGTTGATTTACCCATTAAAAATGGTGGCTTTTCATGGTTATGTAAAAATTTACCATAGGGTAAACCTCCATTTTCCTATGGTTTTCCTATGGAGATGTTTTTTCTTGTGGGAGATTGGGGGATGTGAATGGGAATTCTTAATGCGAGTTCATAGTGAAACATGATGAACTGTACTAGTGGATATAGCTATGGAAAATCACCATGGATCCATAGGAAAACCATCAGAAAATGGAGGTTTACCCTCTGGTAATGACTAACATAGCTATGGAAAATTGCCATTTATAGTTGATTCGCCTATTAAAAATGGTGGATTTATGTTAAGTTACCAGAGGGTAATGGGTAAATTAGCCATTTCTATGGCCATTTTCAAGTTCGCGAACTGTTAGTTTACCAGAGGGTATAACCCCATATATACTTTATTATCTTCAGACAAACTCATTTGACCACTTACACCGTAGGCATCAGTCCTAAGTGGAATTCGGATGACTGAACCTCTTGTAATTTCAAATGACTATTGAAAATCATCAATAATCATCATATTTAATAGGTAAAGAATCTATAAATGGGTCACTTTCCATAGCTATATTCAATTACCCTTTGGTAAACTAACAGTTTGCTTTGGAAAATCACCATGTTTAAGTTCACCAGTTCAACTATAAATAGGCCATTTTCCAGTTCGCAAACTCTTAGTTTACTGGAGGGTACCATAGGCGAAATCTCTCGGCCCGGGGAATTAACAACGGGTGTGAAAACCCCCGGCGGCCTGGGCCGGGGTGGCCATGGGGGAGCGATTTTTGCTCCAAAAATGGTCAAACATACTATCTTCAACATGTTTTCATCACCATTATTGTTCTCATTTTTAATTGTCAAAAATGATGATATATACTATATATATTTACTATATATATATTTATACTATATATATATACACTATATCACTATATATATATTTACTATATATATACACTATATCACTATATATATATATATATTTACTCTATATATATAATATATATATGTATACTATATATATACTATATATATATACACACACTATATTTTTAGCATTTTTGATGATTAAATCTGCATGAAATTTGTTGGTCCATTTCCGGTGAAATCCAAAGGTTTGGCTGATGAATTCCTCTGAAGTTTTGGTCAAAAAGATGCACATCATTTGTTGGTCAGGAATGATAATAATAAAAAAACATAATAGAAATAGTAATAGTAGATAGTAGTGATGATAATACCCATCAAGTTCATTTGATCCCTAACTCAGCTTCTCTTTTCTTCCCCTGCAGCTGGCGCTGCCGTGGTAGGAGCTGGTGCAAGTGCAAAGAGGCCTCCCTGGATGTTCGCTCCAGCAAGTCGCCTTACGTCATGGATTTGACGAGCTAAGCAGGTGGGGCCTGAAACGTGGGGCTCCCAAGGTGCAAAGGTTTCCCGTGTGAAACGTGTTACAAAATCTAGTTGGATTGGAGAAAGGCCATAGAAATTGGGGAAAAGGTGATATGTTTCAATTCAAATAATGGTGTTGATATTTCGAATATCAGGATTCCGAAATAGCGATGAGCATAGCCGCATAGCCCATATACCATGTTTGGCCACAATTTGAGGCAAGGGACATGGTGGGCACCATGTTTAAGGAACAACATGGAACAACTATTATGACTTTTGATGAATAGATATGAATATTTTGACTCATACCCATATGATCATATGACTTTTCCCATGAAGTTGTTCTTGGTCAATCTACCCTGGGTGGAACATGGTGGACGGGCGGCCAGGCAGATGAGTTGGCTGGTCGCTGCCAAATGTGGCAGAATGTTTCAAAGCTTGCACAGGCAGGCGCACAGGACCACACGCGTCCTGACTACAGAAACGCAGGGAGCAGCACCGCTCACCCAGCCCAGCTGTGTCATGGTTTGAAAGGGTGAACCACGGAAAACGCGATGCAAAAGTTGTGGAAGTCTAAAGCCTGTTGATTGATGATTATACTACCCTCTGGTAAACTAACATAACTATGGAAAATCACAGTCTTTAATAGGTAAAGCAACTATAAATGGGCCATGTTCAATAGCTATGTTAGTCATTACCAGAGGGTAGGTTACATATTGGGGACAATCACGATCCATTAGGGAAATCCCTAATTATCAACTAGCAGAATGACATGACACAGGGGGTTTCGAACACTGCTCCAATGTCATTGTTTGAAAAAACTTGACACATCAATCAAATTATCCCAGGAAGTTGCACTGCAGACGGCAAGCAACTGCACAGGAATGAGGCTTCGCAGAGGGTAGAATTTTCTCTACCACCAAGCCTTCACAAGAGGCGAGAAGAAAGGATACGCTACTTCCTTTGAAGTTCACAAACAGAAGAGCCTGCTTGTAGATTCTGATTTTAGTCGCTGAGATATCGTATTCCAGATGCTTAGGATGTACCAATGTTCAGATATCATGGTTTGATAGTTAACGAAATCCTGGGTATTTCCAGATGTTTCCCCAGGATTTTCAACCCTGAAATGAACACTAAACATACTATCCATAAGAATATCAGATTTCTTCGATTTCATAAATGATGACACATAAGACGTGTATGGGAGTTTCCTAGAATAGGGGTACCCCCAGTTCTCATCCATTTATAGATGGATGTTCCCTTATAAACCATCCAGCTATTGGGTATCCCCATTTATGGAAACCCACATATAAATATCCCAGGATACGTTTAACTTATATGAAATCGCCATATTTTCCGCACAGCCAGCCGAACTCGCCATGCTTCTCACCTCAGCGAACTCCATGAGGAGGAAAATGACTGCTTTTTTGTGATGTCCATAAGAAGGTGAATGTGCTTTCCACCCTATATTTCTATGTGATATATATATATAGATTTCCATAAATCCGCAAGTACATCCCCAATATCAAACATATATGTGAATCAGATGTTATTTATCTTTCAACGTTGTGATGTGATCATTAATCTGAGTTAGATTCGTAATCTATGACAGAGGCAGCTTGGTGAAACAACACGATTTTTCTCCGGTGAGTTAAGTCATCAAAAAAAGAGGGACGATTTTCAGGTTTACCTTCTGGTTATGTCAAATAGCTATTGAAAATGACCATTGAAAAAGTGGATTTTCCCATTAAACATGGTGGATCTTTCCATAGTTATGTAAACGTTTACCAGAGGGTAACTCTGAAAATAAATGGATTTATAGCTGATATTGATGATAGCTGTTTAAGTTGATTAAAAAAAACTTCAATAACTGTTGGGTTCTTACTTTGTCGTTTCAATTGGTTTAGATATTAATTTTACTATCAATATCATCAGTACACCCCGATTCGGTCGGTTGCATTCCCACGAAATTTTTGATATAGAATAGGAGGATAATCAGCCAGTATCCCGAATGATATCAAAATACAACACATCTTATTACTACCATCATATATACCCCATTTGGGTTGGTGATATCCCAATTAAACTATTGGTTGGTCTTATCGTTAACTTACTATACTGATATGATTGTTACTATTGTTATTATTACTGTTTTTAATATACCATTGGGTGGTGACATCCACATTACATCCTCAAGTGCTTTATTCGCTTCAAAAAAGCTCCAATGTTTGCACCTTAGCTCATGAAATATCTCCATATAATTGGTTATCACTATTATATAGTATGATTATTCGACAATAGTTTTTTAGTATTACAATATATTACAATGCTTCTGATACTATAAAAGTACTATTGGTATTAGTACTGTGGATGGAAAAAAATCCTGCACTAGTTGGTAGATGGCTTGTCCTGTTATATTCCCATTAATTTTACAATCTTTCACAGTTACCAATAGTTACCAACTGATGCAGGATTTCGCAACCATCCACAGTATTTTTATTACCCCCACGGCATACTATTTCTGTGATTATAGATAGAATAAATTACACTATATGTTTATATTATACTAATATTTTTGTTGATTATACCTACTACGTTATAGCGTTATACTAATAACTATTATACACATATACAAACTAGTGTTATAGATATTCAAAGTTATAGACATACTAATATCTATATATCTATCTATATATGTGCAAATACGATTACCCTCTGGTAAACGTTTACATAGCTATGGAAAGATCCACCATTTTATTAATGGGTAAATCAACTATTTCAATGGCCATTTTCCATAGTTATGTTAGTTTACCAGAGGGTAAACCTCCATTTTCCTATGGTTTTCCTATGGGTTTTCCTATGGATCCCATGGTTTTAGCTTCAAAAAATGTCCATCTCTAGGTGGTCACCCAAGATGCCTGGCACGCCCTTGTGGCCTGGTACGACAAGTGTGGCCCGGCCTTGCCTCGCAAGGCGCGCGCAGCGCGCGCGCTTTCGGTTTCGGGACGAAAGGGACAGGTGAGATCCATAGGAAAACTATAGGAAAACCATAGGAAAATGGAGGTTTACCCTCTGGTAAACTAACATAACTATGGAAAATGGCCATTGAAATAGTTGATTTTCCCATTAAAAAGAATGTGATTTTCTATAGTTTTTTGTATGTTTACCAGAGGGTATGCCATGTTTACTCGGACTTTTTCCGATTTTTGTCGGAGTTATGCCATGTTTTCGGAGTTCGGAATCATGTCTGGGAGTTCATTTCTGTACATTGTTCGGATTAAGGTATACATTATTGATACGACTTGAATGGGTTCAACGAGATTTTCACCACCATTTTAATGCGGATGTAATTGGTGAAGTCCGAATTTCATTGAACAGATGAATAATTGTGGTCTACCACCAATTTAGCACAGAAATTCGGAATCGGATTTTAGCATCCGCTGCATTTTGCTGCCGATTTTCACATCAATTTCAAGATGGAAAGTCATTTACCATGAGTTTTTACACTATTTTAGTAGGATGATATTTCATCCATTTCACCATTGTTTCAGTAGGATTGAATAAGATTTACCTTCATATTTCTGCTTGTTTCTTTGGATTTTCCAATCAGTTCGAATCTTTTAGTCGGATTTTCTAGATATTTCCAGTTTTTGAGTAGGATTTTGTAGATTTATCATACCCTCCGGTAAACGTTTACATAACTATGGCAAGATCCACCATTTTAAAGCTGGGTAAATCCACTATTTCGACTGGGCCATTTTCAATAGCTTTTTGTATGTTTACCAGAGGGTAAACCTCCATTTTCCTATGGTTTTCCTGTGGTTTTCCGATGGTTTTCCTATGGTTTTCCTATGGATCCATGGTGATTTATCATCAGTTCACCCTGGTTTAAGCGTCGCGTTTCACCATGCACCAGGTCATTGAGATCGATGGACACCTGGAGCTGGAGATGTATCCCTTGGCCTTGCATATCAGTCGCACGGATCAGGCGATGGGGGAATGTCATTGAGTATATATATATATATATATTTATTATATTATATACATATAGGTAAATATAGTACCTAGGTAAATTGTATATATATATATATGTATTATATTATATATAGGTAGTACCATAATATATAATTTTTATATGGGTAAATTCTATGTATTATATATATATAATATTATGGTAGTGATATAATGATAATATATGGTAATATATGGTAATATATATTTGGTTGATGGTTTGGAACATTAATTTTTATTTTCCATTTCATACATGGGATAATCCTTCCTATTGACTAATATTTTTCAAGATGGTTAAAACCACCAACCAGTATATATATGTATATATGGGTGAATTATAAGGACCTCACTGCGACCGAGCCCTGGAATCATGGTTAGTAAGGGACATCATCCCCAAATGGCCTTAATTCAGGTTTGCCGGGGTAAGGCTGGGGTCCGCAAGAGAAGTGGTGCGGCCTTAATTCAGGTTAGTGAAATATTATAATTTACCCAGATATATCAATCATTATGATTAATAGATCTGTATTATTAATATTGGTATCAATAATATCACATCAATGATTATTACTTATATCAATGATATCATTGATAATGTAGATTTATTGTATATGGTATATCATCATCAATTCCTGGGATATAATGTGCTATCACCAACAAGGATAGGAATATTTCCCAGTAGTTAAACAATGATCTATCTTTTAATCTTTGTATATCAATGATTATTGTGATAGTAGTATTTATTTAAGATACTATTTTGATATTTGTATATATATTAATATTTAATATGTGTATATATTAGTATATCAATGATAGGGTTTCTAGACACACTGACATGTGGGGATGTCTCAAATTGGGGAATCCCCAAGTCATCATGGGTCAATGCTAAAATGGTCTATTGACTTGGATGACTTGGGGTAACCCCATGACATGTGAAACTTCCAGATATCTTAATATTGGTATATACCTTCTAAATGGGTATCCCATCTATTTTAATAACAATCCTCTATTGTCCATGATTATGGTTATTCATTGATTATCCGTGATTATGGTTACCCTCCAGTAAATAAACATAGATCCTGGCAGGGGTTGCAAGATTAGTACTAAAAATGGGTGATTTTCAGGGTCTATGTTCATTTACCAGATGGTATTAATGGGGCAATGAATATAGAAATAAGATCATATATTCCATAGTAAGTATGAGTTGTTTGAAATAGTATGATTTTGTTGGCTCAAGATGTTGGACGGTGTTGGACGGTGATCACTGGAAAAAAATGACAAGTTATATGATATATGGTGCATGTATATATATATATATTATATACATACACATGCAATCATTCATATGAAACATATATATATAATTATATGACATATGACATTTTGCCAATACACATATGACGCATAACATATGCTTATGTATAAATACACATATATGTATATATATATATGTATATATATGTATATATGTATATGTGTGTATATATATATAGATGTATATGTATATGTATATGTACACAATATGTATATGTATATGTATATGTATATGTATATGTATATGTATATGTATATGTATATGTATGTATATATAAGTATATGGTGGTTTCCTAAAATAGGGCTACCCCCAGTTCTCATCCATAACATATCTTTCAGTGGCTACCAGGTCTACCAGGTCATCTACTAAAGCCGGACCTGCATCAGGACGGCCAGATTATGCTGTTAGAGAAGACCCTAGAGATCAGCAGGACCGCCCTGGCCAGCGAGGCAAAACAGGCCATTTCGCTGGCTTTCGGAGGAAGTTGGGATTTTCATGGGGAAAATCCATGGGTTTTTCAGCCAGAAATATGTGGAAAAGGATGGTTTATAGGCATTTATTTCTTACTGGTGCTTCGTAGGGAATTGTATGGGAATGGGGGAATGGGATTAATATTAATAGTTATTGTGGATCATTCCCTCATGCCCTACTAAGCACAAGTAAGATTTTAAGCCAGTATCTGTTTGAAATGGGTTTTAAGAGGGAAACGGATGGGGTTTCTAGTCAAGAATTATGGATTTATCAGGGCTTATTGGGATTTCATAGAGATTCTAGATGGACTGACTGGGGATTTACTGTATTGGGATTTCGTCGAACATGACAACTTAGGGAAAGTATGTAATTTCTTGAAGAACCGAAAGTCACTTACCAGTGGAAATATGTCTTTTCCCAGTAACATTTCTTAGGGAAAGCTGCTGCATTTTTTGTGATAATCATTTCTTGGGAAAGTATCATGTTGAAATGGCCCATGTTTCTTAGCAATGTCCAGTTCATCTGCTGGAATCTCCGTGATCGACCGTGAAGAAAACCTAAATCTGGGAATCCTCACCTGGCAGGTGGGGAAAAAAAGACGATTATTCTAGGATAATGTCAACCCCGGATTTTGCTAAACCATGGTTTATTAATTCGGGGGGTACTCCCCAAATAGTCATTTCATCTCATACTTTTTTATGGTATCCCCCCCAATTAAAGAACCGTTTGGGGTTTATTAATCCAGGGTTGACATTAATATGGGAAATGGAAGGAGCCATTTATGGGATAAGTCCAGTAAAACCACCTCCAGTGGTGATTTTATGGCTGATGGCGATTCAACCAACGACAGGGATTTAAGCAATAAATGGATATACAGTAACGAATATGAATGAAGTGGGGATTGGGTCAAAAACTATTCTTACCATATGTTTGGGAATAAACATCCATTAGCCAGCTATGACTTCAGGTACCATCCGGGTCCCAGGGTTTTGACTCGTAGCCAAGTGAATCTGATTCATGAATATATTGGATATGAAGTTATGCAAAAATCATCTAGTTGCCTTACAATTATTCCTATGGTATCCCTATGTTGTGTGTTTTTTTCGGGATTGACTATATATCTATATTTTTACCTATATCCCAGGATAATATATTAGATATATAATTTATAGATATAGATATATTATGGGATACTCACGGTATATTATGGGATTATTATAATCCCTAATGTAAACCAATTACAACTGGCTGATTCTGGTGGTTTTACTTCAGGCCGCCTGCGCTCTACACGGCATCGATGGGGACTGGGTGCGCAAGATCCATGGGGGTTCGGCGGGTTAAACGGGAAGAATTTACCAACCATGGGATATGATGGGCATCGAAACATGCAATGGGGGATCAATAGATATAGATATATATATATATATATATAAATAATGATTACACATATAATCATATATATATATATATTTGTATTGTTGATAGAAGGTGGTGCCCTACAAAATGGGGTTTTAGCCTAGCAACACGGGGATTAATAGTTGATTTATGTTAGCTAAGGTTGTTTAGTTCACTAATATTTCACTAGGCCTTACGCTGATAAATCAGCTAGTTCGCTCAACTAACATGACTAGGGGGGCATCACCCTCTATCAAGAAATGGGATCAAGAGATTGCAAAATGCTCTAATTTTGGTGTGTCATATCCATTTTTGTGAGCAAGTTCAACAACCAGGAAAGGGTGACGTGATCAACAAAAAGCGGATGTACAATCAATAAATGAGGGTTATTTTGAACAACCACGAAAGAGGGATTTCCTGTAGCCAGCAAAACAACTGGGGGTAAAGAACAAGGACATTTCAAAGATCTTGGAATGGGCCAACAGATCAGACTTAAACATCTGGGTTTAGGGTCAGAAAAATGAAAAATGGCCCGGGGCCCAGGCCTTTGAAAACCAATTTTCACCCAGACCCAAGTGACCATGCTGGATCCAATTGATAGATCAAGCATATGGCATATGGTTTCCGGAACTGGATAGATGGCCTTTTTGGATTGGTGGCTTTGACACCCATGGCCTACAGGTAGGGGGCAAGCGCCGCGCCGCAAGCGCCCCTCTTTTTAAAAATGGAAAAATACCGGTGGTTTCCGGTGAAGATTTTCCCAAAACCAAATCCATTGAGATGAGGATAGAAAAAACATGGGATCTTTACGAGGGATTTGACCATGGCGATTTGAAGCGACGTGAGCAAATCGAAGGTATACATCCGGTCATAGGACATGGTCCATGAAAATTGGGGTGAAAACCAGAGAATCCCAATGTAGCTGGGCATCATTTTCCGGATGAAACTTGCCGGAAGATCATATTGTTGATTGACAATCCCAATTATAGAGCATGTATGTTCAGTATATCCCATATTGTTGATGATTTTCCCTTTTTTTCAGATATCACCAAGTGATTTTCCAGATCAATAGCTGGGACAACTCTAACCCCAGGTGCTGTGTCACAGAATCCATCAAGATCTAGAGTTTGAGGAGGTCGATGAAAGTCAGCGCGCTCAGAATCTGGTGGGGCTTTTGGATGTTGATAGGTTTGGACCCTTGCACCCAGCCATCCTTTACATATCTTCTTCTGGGGAAATCCAATAAGTATAGATGGCTAACTATCCCAGGTATCTTGGTGTAAAATATCTAGATTATTTTCTTTGATATCGGGGAATTCCAAAAAGTATGGATGGGGAAAGTCATCTGAGGTACGGCGAAAATACATTTAGATCATTTAGATCAATTTAGTAGGGAGGGGTCACAAATGTGTTTGGAACGGCAGTGTTTCAATGCGGACAGCGACGGGGAGGGAACCCCTTCCGAGCGACAAGCTAAACGGGTGGATTTTCCATTCTTGAAGCATCAGTATGGTTGGCAACCCCCCATTAGAACCCGTATATAATGTTAGCAAAGCAATGTCATAAACCACCCATATGTTAATACTTTATAGCACCCATAAAAATGGTAAATTTCGGGCTGGTAAAAAAACAACTATTGCTTTACCAACATGAATCCTCACATTTGATCACCATAGGTCAGACTTTCCACCAGCGATCACTGTCTGCCACTGGCCGCGCTGAAGGTCAGACACTTCATGCGCTGCATTTCTTGGATGGTCACCAGTTGCTTGGCCAGGAAGGATGGAAAATGATGGCCATCGCCAGAAAAATGAGGGGTTGTATTATCTTTGAAAAGAGGGTCGGCCTAAAATCTAAAAATTGACTATGATCATCATTGTTTCGAGTTTTTTGGTATTTTTTAAGGACACGATCATGTTTTTGAAGTTTTCACGGCTGTTGAAACCACCAAGCAAGTTAAAACTCACATCAAATCCACCATAGTTAGCTAAGTTGGTGCAAATTTTGGTACGATAACTATGGTTTATGGTAGACAGCTCGAACTTCACTGGATAGACCAACTTCCTTTGAGTCCTTATAAACTCCATTAAGTACTTATCAACCATACTCCAACTTCCATTAACTATATCCATTAACTATAAGCCCGTGAAAAGTGGTTCATTTCACAGAAACCCAACATTTTTGGACCGACTCCAACTTCCATCCACGAGAAAACCACGTGTTTTTTTTCAATACAGAAACTGGTTGGTGGTTTGGAACATGAATTTTATTTTCCATAATATATATTTGGATGTAATCCTTCTCATTGATGGTTTTAACCATTTACCAACTCATATTTTTCAAGATGGGCACATTGCACCGCCAACCATATATTATAATCCCATCATATACACATCATAAAAAAAAAACCACTATTATTGCTATTAAAACCACCTATTCTTATGATGGGCACATTGCACCACCAACCAGCGGCCGGTGGAGGCTTCTCCTTCGCGGCCGCAATGCACCGACTCTACGGGCCAATGGCCACCGTCTGGAGCCTCTGGGGAGATTTCGAGCACGAAACCAGCCAGGGGGGGTTCAATAGGGAAACCCCTATGAAACCCCTATGAAATCCCTATGAGGGGATGAACCCCCTATTGAAAGCCCTATTTTCATGAACATGAATATATATATATACATATATATATATATTATATATATATAGGTTGAAAGCCCTGCTGTTCATGGAAAATGAATGAACATGAATCTGGTTGGTGATGATCTACAGTAACTTAGTAGCATTCATCTACCATTGGTCTAACTACCTAACTACCATTACTGGTTGGTGGTTTCGAACTGGTTGGTGGTTTTCCATATATTGAGGATAATAGTAATAATACTCCCCACTGACTTTCACGAACTCATATTTTTCAGAGGGGTAGGTCAACCACCAACCAGTGAATGAAAATCATAGGTTTTCACCAAGAAATATGGAGCAAATATACTTTTTTTTGGGGGGATTTATTGGGATTGGGGGATTTTCCCAAGGGTTTTTATTGTGATTTTTAGATATGGGATTTCACCAATGGATCTGCTGAGTCATTTGGAATGGAGATAGGAAGGGATGTGAGATTTAACATATTTAACCAGCAACAAGAGGTTTCATTGGGGATAATGCTGATACAATCGAGATATAATCCCAATCCTTTTTCATGGGTTTTAAGTAAAATCATATATATATATATTCAATTATATGCTGGTTATACGGTTATACAATCCTTTTTCATGGCTTTTAAGTAAAATGTTATTTTTTTAAATTATATAGCGGTTATACCAACTATACTGGGGTATTCATGGGAATTGTCCTCTCGTTATTTGATGCCTTGCGAACTGGAAGCCATGGCCCATGGATAATTCGCTGATTTATGATGATTTACCGTCCTTAAAGATGGCTATGTTTCCATAGATGGATGAATGGGGATGAATGGGGATGAGTGAGAACGAATGTGGATAGGGATCATCAAACAATATCTACCTTGTGGCATTCATAGGATACAACAATAATGGTGGTATAGTGATGTATAGTGATGATGCTGGAAGATTCTTGAGCTAGTCCAAGTCCAAAAAGAGTTATGGTCATAGAGACATGGGAGATAACTGCATTAAGCATCCATGATATAATATATATATATATATCCCATTAAACATCATTGAACATCCACTCATATTCTGTTAAGAATCCATTAGTATATCCCATGAAACTTAAAATAGACTTAAAAAAGGGATGGCGAGACTCGTCGCTGCGCCAGCTTGAGGTCTTCCGAGTGGAAAGAATCATGGTCACGTGGGGCTTCAAAATTTGGGTGCCTTGGCAAAAATGTGGAGAAGCGGCTGACAACCCCTGTTGGCGCTTTTTGTTTCCTTACACCATGCTACCTTATTGTATATCACTGTATGGATTACCTTCGGGTAAACTGACATAGCGAACTGGACAATCACCAGTCTTACCCTCTGGTAATTTAACAGTTTGCTATTGAAAATGGCCCAGTCGAAATAGTGGATTTACCCATTGATAGCATGGTGGATCTTTCCAGTTCGTTATGTAAACGTTTACCAGGCCGTGTAATAGGTAAATCATCTAGTTTTTTTCCCGAGAGCGCCTGCGAAGGGTTCTTCGTAAAAAAGCAGCCGTTATACTAGATCTTCACACCTGCACACCTGCAGATCTAGATCTTCACACCTTCACACCTGCAGATCTAGACTTCACACCCTCACATCTGCAGATCTAGATCTTCACACCTTCACACCTGCAGATCTAGATCCTCACACCCTCACATCTGCAGATCTAGATCTTCACACCTTCACACCTGCAGATCTAGATATACTAGATCTTCACACCTTCACACCTGCAGATCTAGATCTTCACACCTTCACACCTGCAGATCTAGACTTCACACCTTCACACCTGCAGATCTAGACTTCACACCTTCACACCTGCAGATCTAGATCTTCACACCTTCACACCTGCAGATCTAGATCTTCACACCTTCACACCTGCAGATCTAGATCTTCACACCCTCACATCTGCAGATCTAGATCTTCACACCCTCACATCTGCAGATCTACATCTTCACACCCTCACACCTGCAGATCTAGATCTTCACATCCTCACACCTGCAGATCTAGATCTTCACACCTTCACATCTGCAGATCTCTTCTCGCTCTTCTTCTATTCTCTCTTAAGGCGGGGGCGGTGCCGCCGGAGCGCCACGAAACGCAACCCTTTCGCACGAAATGGACGTTGGACGTCCAAAACCTAGGTAAAATTGCGATTTTGAAGCGTCCCGGCAACCCTTTCGCACGAAATGGACGTTGGACGTCAAAAACTGAGGAAAAATTGCAACATTGGTCGCGCGCAACCCTTTCGCACGAAATGGACGTTGGACGTCAAAAACTGAGGAAAAATTGCGACTTTGAAGCGTCGTGCGCAACCCTTTCGCACGAAATGGACGTTGGACGTCAAAAACTGAGGAAAAATTGCGACTTTGAGGTTGTAATCGCAACCCTTCGCACGAAATGGACGTTGGACGTCAAAAACTGAGGAAAAATTGCGACTTTTATTGGTCAATCGCAACCCTTTCGCACGAAATGGACGTTGGACGTCAAAAACTGAAGAAAAATTGCGATTTTATTGGTCAATCGCAACCCTTTCGCACGAAATGGACGTTGGACGTCAAAAACTGAGGAAAAATTGCGATGGACGCTTTCGTTTCTGTACAAGTGTCTGTGTGTAAAAGCGTCTGTGTGTAAAAGCGTTTGTGTGTGAAAGCGTGTGTGCGTGTGTAAAACGCATCTGTCTGTGTGTAAAAGTCTGTGTGTAAAAGCTGCGTGTAAAAGAAGCGTCTGTGTGTAAAACCGTCTGTGTGTAAAAGCTTTTGTGTGTAAAAGCGTCTGTGTGTAAAAGCGTTTGTGTGTAAAGGCTTTTGTGTGTCAAAGCGTCTGTGTGTCAAAGTGTGTTTGTGTAAAAGCACCATGTGTAAAAGCGTCTGTGTGTACTTTGACCGCACGACATGGAACTGTTAGAGATTGAGGGTGACAATGTTTGCTAGTGTATCCGTGCTAGGACGTGCGGAGCTTGGTTCGTTTGGTGTGGTAATCTGTGTGGGAATTGATATGTTCATAGTGAGCTTCACTGTTCAGTTTGCATGTCTATGCGACAATGATTTTTGCTTGTCAAACGCAGGAGTCGTGGTCTCAGGCTTCGAACAACACATTCTTTGCATTGAATTGTGCGAGTGTGTAGCAGGTTAGTGCATGAAGTTGTAGAAGTTGCCAAGTACCTCTTTCCTGGGCTCAGACGTGGACGTAGAGACAAGATGCATTGTGCACAGAGTGAACATCCATATTCTTATATGTACGCTGAATGTCCGTGAAACAAGTGACGATTGGCAAACGGGTATCTGTAACATTTCTTGCACTTCCCGAGGTTTCTGTAGGGGCTGTCCGTGAGATCTCGAGAATTGCATTTTGACAATGTCAGTGTTTGTTTACGATGCAGTGGATCTATGTGATGTATAGCACGAAAAAAATATATGTGGTGTTTTCATTGAAATGCATGAGCAGTGGACAAAAAAATACTACGGGAATCATTGTACCGTTCAATCATGTCGCGCCTGGCAGCCGATTGCTTTGCAGCTGCGGGGAGATTGCAATATACTTCGTTTCAAACAAATTCAGTTGATTTGAACGATGCGCTGTTGGTATCTATTCATGACTGGAAGGACGCCGGTTCGAGAGAATTGTACATCTACGATCAAGTGCACATGAACGGCCCTCCGGAAATGGGCCGCCATTTCTGGGGCCATTTGCCACTAGCTTGGATGAATGAGCTCATGCTCGATTTCACATTGTATTACATTCTGTTTTCAAATGAAGAAGCAACAGATGATGCCAACCGACTATGGGTCTTGGTGTTGAAAGATACTCGGCGGCAGCGCCCACATCGTTGGACATGACAGCAGTTAACAACAAACAAAATTTTGGTGCACAAACATGTCGCATAAAGTATTTGGATATGTAAGTGTGTTCTGCCAGAAAGACCGTGGAGGGAATGTGGAGGGAATGTGGAGGGAATCCGTGCAAGGGCGGATGTCTTTGAACAAATTCTACGACACATTCTTTCATTTGTGCCTGGGAGCGCTGAATTGGCTCCAAAATATTCTTTGCAACCAGAAACCGGACACTATCTGGTAAAAGCTGGTTGGCCAGTTGTTTTGAAGAAAATGTGCCATTGGAAGGAGGCAGGCACCACCATCTGTGTTTGCAGCTGCGCAGATGATTTCTTCGATGCCCTGGTGCAAAATTAATCTGTAGCAGTGTTCGTCTGGAGAGACTGTTCGTGACGAACATGCAAAACCAGTAGCCAACTGTTGTTTGTCTGTAAAGATTTTTTCCATCCTGTAGGGACATCGGAGAAATGCAGTGAAACAGGTGTCATCCTTGCCATCATGATATCGAACTTGCTATTGTGGAATCATTCACAGCATTCTTGCACGGAGTTCTAGATTCTTTTGGATACCATGGTACGGAGCCTTTGTTTGTGTACTTTTGCATTTTGTAGCATTTCCATTGCGACTGTGTTTGCCCACCTTTGTTTGCAACTGAGGTCATCCACGGCATCATGGTGCCGAGCTTATTTTGTATCTCAAAGAGCGGATGCCTTGCATTGGATTGTGCGTTGATCATGGTACTGAGCCTGGTCTTGTACACTTTTGCGATTTTTTAACTGAGGTCACCCAGTGGTGCCGCGCTTTGTGAGCGTCTCTGTGTAAAAGTCTCCGTGGAAGCGTCTGTGTGTAAAAGTGTTTGCGTATAAAAGCGTCCGTGTGTACAAGCGTATGTGTGTAAAAGTGTTTGTGTGTAAAAGCGTCTGTGTGTAAAAGGGTCTGTGTGGAAAAGCGTCTGTGTGTAAAAGTGTCTGAGTGTAAAAGCGTCTGTGTGTAAAAGCGTCTGTATGTAAAAGTGTTTGCGTATAAAAGCGTCCGTGTGTACAAGCGTATGTGTGTAAAAGTGTTTGTGTGTAAAAGCGTCCGTGTGTAAAAGGGTCTGTGTGGAAAAGCGTCTGTGTCTGGGTGCAAAAGCGTCTGTGTGTAAAAGCGTTTGTGTGTGAAAGTATGTGTGCGTCTGTAAAAAGGCATCTGCATGTAAAAGCGTATGTGTGTAAAAGTGTCTGTGTATAAAAGCGTCTGTGTGTTAAAGCGTTTTTGTGTAAAAGTCTCTGTGTGGAAATGCGTCTGTGTGTGTGTGCATGAAAAGCGTTTCTGTGTGAAAGCGTCTGTGTGTAAAAGCGTCTCCGCCAAGTTCGGCGACACGTGTGTGGGAATTACCATAATAAAATGAGATAGCACATGTCATTCGCAGACTCATGGTACCGAGCCTCCTGTGCACTTTTGTTGCTCACATTACATTTCTCCATGTTTTCTTTCTACCTCCCCCTTTCATTCTCTCTCTCTCTCTCTTGCTTTCTCTTTCTCTCTCTCTCTCTCTTTCTCTCTCTCTCTCTCTATCTCTCCCCCCCTCTTTCTCTCTGTGGTTGCAAGACACACGTCATCTGATGCCCTTTACCAAATATTCTCTTCTTGATCAATCTTACTTTTTCACACCATATCTTTCCATAGCTCATATAAAATTCACCAACTATTCACCGACTATCTTTTACGACTACCATCCTCAGAGCTGCTTGAAAAACATCTTTTTCGCTCTCGGGCCAACCGTCGTCTAGTTTCCCATCATATACCCATCATTTAACCACTATTATAAACTATTATTGGTATTATATAAATCATACCCATCAACTAGTTTAGCCAATCATCATTTTACCAATCATCCAGTTTATAACCCCTAGATAAATCATATACCCATCATTTAACCACTATTATTGGTATTTTAACCACTATTATTATGCTGGTTTACTGGAGCTGACTGGATTTTTCTCCATGGGGAATCCATAGGAATCCATAGGTTGGCGGCTAAGCCAGTTCAGCTTGATCTACTGAGAGGATTCCATGATACATGTTGGAACATTGGACACTTATCTATGGTAATATTATTTAATGATAGTGATATCATGGTAATATATGGTAGTATATGGTAATATATGGTAATATATGGTAATATGGTAATATACATACTGGTTGGTGGTGACTGGAACCATGGAATTTTGAATGACTTTCCAGAAACAGTTCGGAATGGAAAAATGATCCCAACTGACGAAGTCCATCATTTTTCAGAGGGGTTGGTCAACCACCAACCAGGTTGGAACGTTGTTTGTTGATGTTTCCCTCTGGTAAACGTTTACATAACTATGGAAAATCAGAATGTTTAATGGGTAAATCAACTATTTCTATGGCCATTTCAATAGCAAACTGTTAGTTTACCAGAGGGTTGTTGGCAATTTCCCAACGGTATGGCTTTGCCTGAAAAAAAACATAAACCATCCCATGGTTTACCACCATGAAATCAGGGATGGATTGTCACCAGGCAACACGTGCTACATGAACGCAGCAATTCAATGTGCAGACCTCAGAGGTTGGGACGTTGGGTCAAAGAAAATTGTTTTTTTTGAGGTGTTTGTGCTGATGAATTAAAACTAGTTCATGTGATGATTCGTTTGATGTTTCGTTATATTTCGTTATTATAATTCATATATATATATGCATGTATGTATGTATACACACTATTTATAATATACACACTTTCTATATATATATATATTATATTATTTAGATAATATATATATATTCAACTGTGGGGCACCGCCATGTGGAAGTTTGACATGTGACCAAAATGGTGAAACTGTGGAAATCAATTGGAGATTAAGTGGATTGCAGATGAAATATAATATAGTGGTAGATGTGTAAATATATATTATTGGGTAGATGACATATAGTGGCAGAGTGAATCTACCACATATATACCACTATATGTCTATTATGTCATCTGCCACTATACATCATCCACTTCTGATGGATGACATATGATTAGTATATTCAATGGTCATTCCAGGATCCTAAAGTGGAGGTACCGTACCATATTTCTGGCCATATTCTGGGGGTATATCCCCTTACATAGGCCTAACAAATAGGCCTAAAATATATGGTAGGTACCTCCAATTTCGATTTCGGTTTCTGAAATAGCCAAATATCTACACAATATACCAACTATATGACATTTCGTGGATTTCATATGACATTAAGTGGATTATAGGGAGTGAAGTATCATCCGTTGTGGGAAATCGCGTTACCAACCAAGATTTCGTGGAGTGGTTTTGTTACGAAATCGCGAACACGTGGGGGCCACATAACTCCAATAAACCATGGTTTATGATACTTATAACTACAGTATTACAGTATTACAGTGCATATAAACCACAGTTATAAGTATCAAAGCTATAGTTTATAAATTACTATAGTGGGTTTAGTGGAATCCTATAACTATGGTTTATGATACTTTATATATATATATATACTTAATATACTTAATACACCTATTGATCCTATGGTCAATGGATTGGTTTAAGGGAAAATCGGAAAGACCCTTTTTTTAATAGGAAAATCGATGGTTTCCGGCTAAAATTTTCCCTTAAACCAATCCAATCATATGGGGGTGAAAAAATCACCAAAAAAGAACCGAGGTTTGGTCCACTCGCCGCTGCTTCCGGACTATTTCATGTCCGAGTAACTCGGATCTCGTTGAGCGATTTATTAGAGCGAGGTCTCCTGGGTCCCATTTTTGGGTCCCAATCATCAGTTGTGGCCATGAAAAAATAGGGATAATATGGGATAAAATGGGATAGTGAGGATAATGATGATCAATCTCAATCAAGTTCATGTTTTTGATGATGTTTTTTCCAGATAATTTTTGCAGACAAAGGCATATATATATAATTTTACCAGCTATTTTGCTGTAAATAGGCCATTTAAACAAAGGCCTGTGGCAACCTTCGGCAACGAGGTACAAGTTGGATGTCAATCCCAACAGCAAGTTCGGCATGGTTGGAGCCCTAGAGGATCCTTTTTTTTTGGACGGGTAAGTCGGATGGACATGGTATACCGACCATTGAGTTGAGGCAGTTTAGTATGACCATGTACCCTCTGGTAAACTAACATAGCTGTGGAACATCACAATTTTTAATGGGTAAATCCACTATTTCGACTGGGCCATGTTCAATAGCTTTTTGTATGTTTAGCAGAGGGTATGACCATTATTGATGAATTGAACAGTTAATGGTGAAATGGGGATTTCCATGGGGATACTTACCCCAATAGCTCGCTGGATGGTTTATTTAATTCAGAAGGACAATCCATCTGTGAATGGATGATCACTGCGGGTACCCCCATGTTAGAAACCTCCAAATTACCCTCTGGTAAACTAACATAACTATGGAAAATCATCATTTTATAGCTGGGAAAACTCACTATTTCTATAGCCATTTTCAATAGCTATGTTAAATTACCAGAGGGTATGTTAAACCTGAATCATTCTTAAGTATCCAGTGCTTGGAGCGGTGAAGTTTTTTTTTCGGGATCTATAGCTATGCATAATCCCAATGAAATGGTGAGCCATCGAGCGAGAGTTTCAATTGAATCTCGTGGCGAAGGAATTCTTCGTCTACTATGGGTTCGCCTTGAAAATTCTTCATGGTTTGTCAATACTTTCATTCGAAAACATGAGTTGACAATAATCCTACTGCTATGATTCAGATCCCTCTCTAAAATTCCCTTTGGATACCTTCCTAAGATTCCTTGGTGCGTCAATCCTCCAGGAATTTGTGGGGGATTGATTCCAGCCCTCTGATGTCATTGAGCATGGCTGGATATCCATTTGCAGGGACTCCCCAGAAAAATGTACTGTAATTACATTTATCAGTTCTATTCCTTTTGTATTTTTCACAATCCCACATGCAAAAGCAATAAGTATTATAATTATTAGACGCATAAAATCATCCCAATCAATAATAAGATTGTCATAATTAACATGTAACAGTATCCCACTTGTAATAATTATAACATCACCCCACTCTTACACCATCATTATCCCCAACAACAATTACAAGTAAAAAATCATCCCACTCTTAAACAAAAACATTGTTTTATCATTAACACTGTTTATGTATGTTAATATTAACATTATGTTACGAACATTATCATTATTAGTACAACATCATCCCACTCAAAAAACACATGGTATAACAAGTATAGAATCATCCCAGCCTTACTAACATTATCCCATAATTAACATAGGAAGACTGGGACAATCCAGTGAAACTAACATTATCCCCACATATATAGTTGAGATAATTTGCCTGGGATGATGAATTAACTGGGATGATTAACATAGTCTTACTAAGAGTAATGGACTGTAATAATTAGGTAAAATTACTAACATTATCCCACAAAACATGTTATCCCCAGTATCCCAATAATCAACATTATCCCATTGTTATACTTTTTGGGATTATTGTTAATTACCCAATTATCCAATTAATGGACAATTGATAATTGTATAATCTATTTGTTGAATATTAACTATCATTGGTTTGTCCATTATTTAGTATTCACATTATCCCAATAATTATTTCAATTTTCCCCATTATCCCCAGTATCCCATTGACATTGCCCTCTGGTGATTAAACATAGCTATTGAAAATGACCCATAGAAATAGTTGATTTATCCACTAAAACTGGTGATTTTCAACAGTTATGTTAGTTTACCTGAGGGTAACCATCATTTGATCATGGGATAAAAAAACTGGGTTAAATATGTCTTCTTAGTCATGGATTATTAGTCATGGAGTTTAAGATGATCATTAAGCCATCAAGCATACTTTACCAGAGGGTAACCCCAGTCTTACTAACATTATCCCATAAAACATGATAAAACCATGGCTTTTATCCATAGTTATCCCAGGGTAAACCTCCATTTTCCTATGTTTTTCCTATGCTTTTCCTATGGGTCCCATGGTGTTTTTGTTGCCATCCCTTGGGATCCGGATCCCTCGGAGGCCGGAAAGCTGGCGGTGGCCTTCGCGGAGCTGCTCCTGGAGATCCAAAACGCGCGGAGTGCAGGTGGGGGCTGGAGATGGGCATATACCCTCTGGTAAACATACAAAAAACTATGGAAAATCAATGAAAAGCACCATTTTTCATGGGAAAATCCACTATTCATGGCCATTTCCAATAGCTATGTTAGTTTACCAAAGGGTAAGTTTTATGGGGTTATTTGCGTACCATAAACCATCGTGAAATTGGAGTTATAAACCACCTGCACTGGGGACTTCTTCATCATAGTCTGGAGAATTTCACTAACAAAATTAGACTTAAATGATGATGAAAGAACAACATAAAACTATGGGAGGGAAAGTATGTGGACACTATGTAATTATGTATATATATATATCTATATATATATAAGGGTAAAAAAAAAGGGATAACAACAGGGATAGAATGGGATCCACCCATTCCGAATGGGATCCTGCTTTTCCAGGATCCAACGTGGTGGCTCCTCGGGACTTCAAACGAATCTTCTCCGACTTCAAACCTCAGTTTGCTGGCTGGAAACAGCAGGATCCGCGGAAAATGGGTGATGTCATGGGAGATCACCCAGCGCTGATGGGTGATTTGCTGGGATTTCACCAACCAAAATGGCGATTCTAATGCTGTTTTAGTGGAGATTTTACCCAACCAACATGGTTTAAACGAGATTAACTCAGTTCAGATGGGAATTCGGGCTAGCCCAAAACCTCAATTTTGATCATGGTTGTTTTTTTCGTTCGGAGAATCATAGATTTGTGTATCGCCCATCTTTGGGCAAAACCAGATGACGAAAAGTGTGTCTGGAAATTCGATTTTGTCCAGCTGATTGTAAGATATAATGTAGATAATCATTGTATATCCATGTCAGTGGCGGAAACCAGGCCGCCAAAATATGTTGTCACTTTAACTTCCATTTTGTTCAATCACGAGCTTCATCACGATGTTCTTTAAGGGCAAAGTGTTAAACGTGCTCAAGGCTGGCATGATTTGCAGATGCTTCAATCCACATGTAAGGCCATTTGATGATAAAAAATCATTCTTCATTTCTGATCATCTTAAATCCGACGAATGATAAAAACTATCCTAAACCATCTTAAATCATTATTCTTATCATCTTAAATCCCAATGAGAAATGATCAAAACTATGCTTAATGATGGCTGCATCATCATCTTAAACCCCATGACTAAAAATCGCATGACTGATCAGACATATTTGACCCATTTTATCCCGTGATCAAATGATGGTTACCCTCTGGTAAACGAATACAACTCTGGAAAATCACCATTTATGATAGGTAAATCAACTATTTTTCGATGACCATTTTCAATAGCTATTTGACATTTGCCCAGAGGGTAAATCTTTGCTTCACCAAGGATGCTACTTCAAGAGGGGTTTTCTTCAGGGCCAATTTGGCCATATCAAAGGCTAAGAAAATCCCAGAATTTGCAACCCTGCTAAATTTGGGATTTTTCTAGCCTTCCTCTCACATTTGCCAGCTTCTTTGCAGCCTTTTGGCTCCAGTTGGTTTTCAAAGGGACCCCAGGCAGAATGCCATCGAGAAAGAAGAGGGGGAGACCTGGTTACAAGAACCTGCCATATGACTGGCAAAACCCCATGCATCAGGCAATTCCTCCTTGGGTGAAACCTTGGCTGGGAGGCTATGGCCAACAGCCAGAGGAACAGGATGATGATGATGAGGAGGAGGAGTCCAGCTCCAGCAGCAGGGCCAAGTCGTCTAAGAGGATGCATGGCTTGAACATGAGCTATCATAGATTTAGTAGGAAGTAGACTGTTAGGGGCAGTTGGGGGTTCTGAAGCTAGTGGTACAGCAGCAGCATCATTGTTTGAAATTGTACCTGGAACTATTGCAAGAGGTGGCACTTAAGGTTCATCACTTTTCAACTTCCAAGATTCTAGGTTTGAATCTCCTTGTTTCCCTGTTTTGAAATTGCTTGGTTGAAAGTAAATCAATGATTCATCATTTGACAATTTGTGGGGAAACCTGGGTGCAGCAGCTTGGCATCAGGAAGGAGAAGAAATCCAAGGACAAGAAGAAGGTGAAGAAAAAGGAGAAAAGAAAAAGTAAGAAGGATAAGGACAGCAGCAGTGGTGAGTCAAGTTCAGATTCTGACACCATCCCATCGCAGCTAGCACAAAATTAGCCCAACACCCTGAACATCTTATTTGGCATTTGTTCATCATGGCCTGCTGGGTACATGAAAACTATTGATGAACTATTGCACCATGACATTAGAAAACATGTTTCTTGGTTCTGTTGTGTGTAGAGCCATTCATTCAATGCATTGCCATGGATTGTGTTGGCAACATCATGATTGCTAACCAACCAATTTGGCATGGAGTTTCTTTGCTTTGCCATTTTCCTGCCACTGTTTTACATCCAAGGCATTGGGTGCACCTGGGCCCAGAATGGGGTGAGACCAAAGAGGGCTTCAGGTGTACAAACAAGAAGAACTCAGTGCCCAGAAATCCAAAGTTGAAGTGGCTGGCAGCAATTGACAAGGAGAGATACCCACCTAGTTACTTGCTTGGCCATATCAAGGTTTTGGTATTGGATAGTGGTTTGCAAAGTCTGTTTGGCTAGAGTGTTTTAAGGTTTTGGTTTGTGGAAGATTGGGTGTCCAGCAATTGGGTGAGACAGCTTCCTGAGGCACCACTTGCATGCTCAGTGAACTCCAACTAGAGCAGCTGCTTTGGTGCTTGACTGGGCTTTCCCCTAAGATTTCTGTGAAAGACTTGGATGTGAAGACCAGATGTGAGTTGACCCTTGGCTGGACTCAGAACCTGCTAGGATTCAGAACATGGTGGAAGTACCTTGGGGGGCCAGTACCTTATGTAAAAATAGTTTATGATAGAAATTGCTTGGGACATCTTCAATGGAGGTGGGGCTTGGGTGGGGGTGCCTGGCTTTGCTCAGGAAGCAGCTGATCAAGGACCAGGCACAGAGGATTGAGAAGCAGCACCAAGGGAAGAGAGCAGAGAGCATTGCTGTTCCTTGGCAAGGGTCAGGTGGGTGGTTCACTCCATCCCATATTGTTTGGGCATACTAGGCATTTCCAGCATGCATGCAGCCCTTTCCATCTGATTGATTCACCACCCAGCCCTATACCAATTCAATCATTTATGGGTTGACTTATGTTGAGCTGCAATGTGGCCAAGGAAGACTTTTCCAATTTGGATGAATACTCAAATCAGCTGGGCTGGTATAATTTGTGGAAGAAGACTTCCAAGAAGATACTTGGTTGCACCTAAACACAGGTTTGGCATATTTGGTATATGGATGCTGTTCCTTTTGGGTGGCAGGGATGTGCATTAAAAAAATAATAATTCAATAAGCTGCATTCTGTCACAATTTGAGCCTTACCTTAGTTCCATGTGCCAAATCACCAGCCAAGGGGAGCAGACCAGCAAGACAGTCCTCCCCCACCTTCTGTCTTTCAGAAGTACAGCAAGATCAAAGGGTGCCTTGGCTCTCATGTCATGCACTGGCATCACCAATCAAAGTTCAAAGCTTGTAGTGTTTGGGTAATCACAGGTAACTATTTTGGAACATTGTTCTAAGGTTTAATAATTCATAATAATTCATAATCCAACCATTTTGTGAAAACTTTGGCCAGCACTTCTCAGAGCTCATGGGAGGCCCAATGGAGAGCTTGAAGTATGCCATGTGGAGAGGGGCATGAAGGTGGTGGTGGGCCCACCACATGCTCCCATTGCCTTGGCCTACAGAAACTCTTGCTACTACTTGAAGCTGGCAGAGACAAGCAAGACTTCTGAGAAGCTTGGAGGCATTGCAAACTGGTAGGTGGTAATTCAAGTGTAGGCATGGCATGGAAGTAGGCTTGCAGGTTGCAGCAGGCACTGATAACTATGGTTTGGAAGGGAAAACCCATTTCATTATTCAAATTGTTTCACCTGGTGCCTTTCCATACTGGTTTCTTTGGGGCCTGCCCCACTAGCCATCCCAGGGTGCTGATGAAAGCAGATGATGTGTTTGAGCATGCTGATGGTGTGCAAGCTTGGTATGCCAAAGTGGACACTTTGCTGGAAAAATGTTTTGGCTTATGGTTTGCAATTTGTAATAGCTGAATGAATGAGTGGCAGGGGGGCTGGGGTATTAACACCCTTGGCAGCACACTGAGCTATGCAATCTGAAAGCATTGCAACCCTTGGCTTTTGTTGAGTTGCCAGCCCTAGCAATGCAATAGATTATTAAAAGTGTTGTAATAAGTGTTTGTAAGTGGACCTTTGTTTATTTCATTGAGATCCATTGGGGGGTTCTCCAGCAAGCCAGTGCATTGAGGCAGAGACTGCACTGCTGAACCAGGAGGACATGTGGGCTCAGCAGTATATCAGCCAGATGAAAGGAGAGGGGCTGGAGGGTTCATGGCAGGGTTGGCATGGCCATGTCACTGTACAATTGTTTGTGTGCATGTCTTACAAACTCATGTGCTGGCCTTGCTGCCTTAAGAAGGTGGACAGCTCACAAGCCAGTATAAAACAACAGCCCCAGGACTACCTGAAGGGCATTGGCAAGCTGTGCAACTTGCAAACTTGGAGCAGCAACTGCCATCAAAAGGGAGGCTGCCAAGTGGTTTGGCAGTGTATTGACATTATTTGTGTTGATGTTTTAAATTGCAGGGGATGGCAACCCAGCAATATGAACTTTTTTTTGGCTGGGACATGTTGTGGGGTGTTTGTTGTGGTTGTAAATATTTGGTGGCCCAGGCCAAGCAAGCACAGCTGAGCCTTCAGCAGCTGCATCACTTGCATCAGTGCCTTCAAGTAACTTGAGTAGGGCTTCCTCAGAAAGCCAGGCCACTGCTTCCACAGGGCTGGCCAAGGGTGCAGCCAGGAACTCCCCTTCCATATCACCACTGGGATACATATACATGGTGCTTACTTGGTGTACAAATATAACAATAAGTAGTTTGGGGACACTGACACTCACTTAAATGACATAATTAAATATATAATAGTAGACATGACAAAAGGGTTGTGGTATGTTGGGCAGCTTTTTTTTAAAATAATATGAGCCATATTTCACAACATTTTGTGGCCACAGTACAGAAAGCCTTGGGCAGGCATCTACTTGGGTCATGAAGGGGCAGCACTGCCCACCAGGACCAGCAACTTAACTTGGTGGGGGTGTGATATTGCTTTTGCAATTATCTTTGAAATCAACTAGGGTGGGGTGAGCTATTTGTTTACTGTGCTAGGCCAAAGCTAAATCTACATGGGGGTCAAATATGCAGCCAATGGTCTTTTGGGGTTCAAATTGGAGAAAATCAAGCAAATGAGTTTGGCAGTTGGGGCATCTGAGGCATTTGTCAGCACTTATGCTGGCTCAGAAACCTGGCCACAACCCAGGCAGCAAAATTTGCTTGAAGCTTTTGGCCAAGCTGCACAGGGGCAACCACAGATGGGACAGCTGCAGCAGCAACCAGCACAATCACAAGGTGGCCAGCAGATGGGCCAGCCAACACAGCACCCACCACAACATGGCCAACACACACAGCAGATGGGCCAGCCACCACAGCAGCAACAGCTACAAGTGTTTGGGCAGCAGCCACCACTACAAGGACCATGCCCAAGCACACAGCAGATGGTCCAGCCAACACAGCAACAGCCCCAAGTTTTGGGGCAGCAGCAGATGGGTCAGCCACCACAGCAGCAAGTCTTTGGGCAGCAGCAGCCACCACCACACAGTGGCCAAAGCACACAGCAGATGGGCCAGCCACCACAGCAGCAAGTCTTTGGGCAGCACCAGCCACAAAGCACACAGCAGATGATGGGCCAGCCAGCACAGCAACAGCCCCAAGTCTTTGGGCAGCAGCCACCACCACAGAATGGCCACAGCACACAGCAAATGGGTCAGCCACCACAGCAGCAACAGCCCCAAGTCTTTGGGCAACAGCCACCACCACACAGTGGCCAAAGCTCACAGCAGATGGGTCAGCCACCACAGCAGCAACAGCCCCAAGTCTTTGGGCAGCAGCCACCACCACACAGTGGCCAAAGCTCACAGCAAATGGGTCAGCCACCACAGCAGCAACAGCCCCAAGTCTTTGGGCAGCAGCCACCACCACACAGTGGCCAAAGCTCAGAGCAGATTGGCCAGCCACCACAGCAGCAACAGCCCCAAGTCTTTGGGCAGCAGCCACCACCACACAGTGGCCACAGCTCACAGCAGATGGGCCAGGCACCACAGCAGCAAAAGCTCCAAGTCTGTGGGCAGCAGCCACCACACTGGCCAAAGCTCAGATGGGCCAGCCACCACAGCAGCAACAGCCCCAAGTCTTTGGGCAGCAGCCACCACCACACAGCCAAAGCCACTACCACAGCATGGCAACAAAGCAGCAGCCACCACCACACAGTGGCCAAAACTCACAGCAGATGGGCCAGGCACCACAGCAGCAACAGCTCCAAGTCTTTGGTCAGCAGCCACCACTACAAGATGGCCAAGTCTTTGCAGCCACCACAGCAACAGCCCCAAGTCTTTGGGCAGCAGCCACCACCACAGAATGGCCACAGCACACAGCAAATGGGTCAGCCACCACAGCAGCAACAGCCCCAAGACTTTGGGCAGCAGCCACCACCACACAGTGGCCAGGCACCACAGCAGCAACAGCCCCAAGTCTTTGGGCAGCAGCCACCACCACACAGTGGCCAAAGCTCACAGCAGATGGGCCAGCCACCACAGCAGCAACAGCCCCAAGTCTTTGGGCAGCAGCCACCACCACACATGGCCAAAGCTCACAGCAAATGGGTCAGCCACCACAGCAGCAACAGCCCCAAGTCTTTGGGCAGCAGCCACCACCACACACTGTTGGCCCAGGGCAGATGGGCCAGCCACCACAGCAGCAACAGCCCCAAGTCTTGGGGCAGCAGCCACCACCACACAGTGGGCAAAGCTCAGAGCAGATTGGCCAGCCACCACAGCAGCAACAGTCCCAAGTCTTGGGGCAGCAGCCACCACAAGGTGGCCAGAAGACACCAGAGCAGCAACCAGTACAGCAGCCTGAGCAGAGTGCCACAGAAGAGCCAGGCCATGGCCAACAGCAACCACCTGGGCAGACACCACAACAACACATAGAGCAGACAGGGCAGCAGAGGCAGCAACAAGATGGTCAAAGCCCTGTGCCACAGCCACAGCAGCAGCAGCAGCAGCAGCAGCAGCAGCAGCCTGCTGACCAAGCTGTGCCACAACCTATTCAGCAGGTGGGCCAACAAGCACCAAAGCAAAGTGGCCAGCAGCCAGATGCCACACAGAATAACCAGCAACCTGAGCAGGCTGCACAACAGCCACCTGCAGATGGCCAGCAGAACCTGCAGCAGGATGCAAAGCAACAGGTGGGCCACCTACAGACTGAGCAGCCACCACAGCAGTCTGCAGCAGGACAGACTGAACAGACTGACTCACAACAGCCACAAGCTTCTGCCTCTCAGATTGGCCAGCCACCAGGCCTTGGTGATGGCCCTAAGAAGCCTGGTGATGGCCAAGTGAAGACACATGGTACTGCAGGGGCTGCAGAGGCAGCCAGGGAAGCAGGTCCCATGACAAAAGAATGTAGAACAGAATGGGTTTGCAGCTTAAGGCAAAAACAGTTATATTATAAAGTGCAGCATGGCAGTTGGGGATGGTAAAGGTCTAGGTGGGTTCAGCTTCTGTTAAATAGTATGTTGTCAGAAGTGTGGATATTGAAGCCCTGCTCCATTACATGTTAATGTATTGGCTGTGCTGGGGGAATGTAGCAAAGGTACTATTGCAATATTGGGGGGTGGTTGGTTGGATGGGTGCTTTTATAATAGTGTTTGGTGTTGGAACCTTTGACTCAGGTGAAGCCTTCAGCTCTGATGCACTTCAACTAGCCAAAAAGAGGAGACAAGAAGCTGCAGTGCCTGTGCTGAATCACTGGTCCTGGTGGTAGTGCTGGGCTGCACCATAGTCCACACCATACCTTCACACCAATCATAGTCACCCATGGCAGTGCTTGTATCACCCACACTGATTAAGTAGGCAGGTATGTCATGAGTGTCCTGGTGCCCAGGCAAAAGCCCAAAACAAGAAGTCCAAGGACAATGCAGTGGTGATTGACAGCTGAGCATTTGGGGGGGTCCACATATGACATAGCTGACTGGAATGGCAGAAGGCTGGCTTGCAAAAAATACACACCATTCCACTCATAAGCCATACTGGCCTATACTTACCCCCAAGGTCTAGTGGTACAGGCTATACATTCAGGCCATCATCACTGTTGTGGGTGCAAGCCTAGCCAGGCCACTATAACCATCAGTGTTTCTGGCAGCCTGGAATGGCAGCAATGTAGCCTAGGGCTATTTAGATCAGGGCAAGGCTTGGGTTTGGTGGGCTGGCAGGGTGTCATTCCCAGAACAAATGTGACATAATAGTAAAGCCCCCAATGGGTCCATTCAATGAAGGTTGCTTTAGCATGGTGTGTTGGTTAGTGAGTGGGTGTTCTAAGTTCTGACTGGTGATTCAGGCCTGGCCCTTGTCACAATACCATTAAATATCTTTTGGGCACCAGGTGTGGCAGAGCAAGGGTCACATGAGTGCAAAAACAAAGGCAGCAGTCACTGGGGTGCAGAGCAGGGTGGGTCTTGAGAAGCTGGGTTTGAGTCTGAAATGTTGCTTAATTTGGTTGGGGTGTGGTTAGTTTTGTTTGGGGTAGCTGTGCAAGTTCTAGTTGATGTGATGCTGTTACCAAAAATACAGCATAGTGGAAGCCTGGGGCTGGTACTTCTAGGGAGCTTCTGGTGTGGTGGCATGTGGATGGGGGGCAAAGCTGGTTGTTAGATGCATGTCACCATCAGTGTGTGGCTCAGCTTGGTTTGCACTTGATTTGTACTTGGTGTACACTTGGCTGCTTGGCAAATGGTGGTGGGTGAGTGGGCTGGACAGAACCACCCCCTATACTTACTAGTTTTTTGTTTTGGTTTTTGGGGCCAGCAACTTATTTTGATTTGTATGATGCATGGGTGTGATGTGGCTTTGTTTGGTGCATAGTATGATGCATGGGTGTGCTTGTTTGTCTAGTGGTATGACCTGTGCCCATGTCCAGCCCACAAGTGTGGAGTCATGTGTGGTGCCAAGGGCCCCTGAACCTTTAAAGGCAGAAGCTGAAACTTGGGCCACTATGTGCAAGGTGTGATTTCTGGTTGTGGAGGGGTGGTGCATTGAAACAATGCCACACTACTGGCAAATTGCCCAATAGGTTTGGCAACCCTCATGAGCTCAACAAAGGGGTGCCCATATCCATTCACACATTCAGAAATGTAAATGTATATAATGTAACTTTGGTGTATGGAAGGGTTTGTGAACCCATGGATGGACCACAGAAATATGGGGTCATCAGAATTATGGGTATGGGGATGGAGACTTGTGAGAACAGAACCATGGGGAGTTAAAGAATGACCTTCACTGTAAAGGGTTTAATGGGTGTTGGTTTATGTGAGGGAAGGAGGAGAAACAAGACCCACACTACTGACAAATTGCTCAATTGGTTTGGCAACCCTCATAGGTCAACAAAGGGTTACCCATATCTATCCATACATTCAGGGCTGTAAATGTAAATGTAAATATATATATATATATAGATGTATTGATGGGTTTGTAAACCAATGGATGGACCACATATATTTGGGGCCATGATCATGAGAACTGTGAATAAAAGGGTGGGTGCATGTGAAAACAGAACCCATGGTGGGTTCAAGAACAGCCTTCACTTTAAAGGCCATTCACCATTGGTGTAAAAGGTGTTGGTTTATGTGAGGGAAGGCACCACTGTCACTGCTGACAAATTGCACAACCCCCATGTTTCAACAAAGGGTTACCAATATCTAGCCACACAATCAGGGGTGTAAATGTATATATAGGTGCATTGATGAGTTTGTGAGCAATGGGTGGGCCACAGAAACATGGGGTCATAAGACTTATGGTTATTAGGATGGGGACTTGTAAGAACAGCTATGGGAGTTAAAGAATGGCCTTCACTGTAAAGGACCCCACCATGTGTTAATGGGGTCAACAAAGGGATGCCCACATCTATCCATACATTCAGGGGTGTAAATGTATATAGGTGTATGGATGGTTTGTGAATCATATGGACCACAGAAATTTGGGATCATCAGAATTCTGGGTATGGGGGTGGAGACTTGTGAGAACGGAACAGAACCTATGAGAGTTAAAGAATGGCTTTCACTGTAAAGGACACCCCACCATGGGTGCTAATGGGCCCAGCAAAGGGATACCCACATCTATGCACACATTCAGGAGTGTAAATGTATACAATATAATTTTGGTGTATGGATGGGTTTGTGAATCAGATGGACCACAGAAATATGGGGTCATCAGAATTCTGGGTATGGGGATGGAGACTTGTGAGAACAGAACCATGGGGAGTTAAAGAATGACCTTCACTGTAAAGGGTTTTGATGGGTGTTGCTGTATGTGAGGGAAGGCCACACTACTGACAAATTGCACAATTGGTGTGGCAACCCTCATGGTTCAACAAAGGGTTACCTATATCTGTCCATACATTTAGGGCTGTGTATGTATATATACATGGAGTACATATATTATATATATGTATGTATGTATAGGTGTATTGATGGAGTTTTGAACCAATGGATGGACCAAAGATATCTGCTCATATATTTGTTTATGTTGTTAATTTAATATTTTTAGATAGATATATATATATATACATATACATTTTTTGCATTTATACTTATTTATGTGTGTTTTTTTTATGGTTTGTTTTTTTTGTGGTTTTGATAATTGCTTATTTCTAGTATGTATATATACATATACATATTTATATTTATATATTTTACATCTATGGCATGATGTATAGTATGGCTTCAATGCCTGCAGTATTAAAGATGTGGCTATCAATGTGTTGGTTTTATATTTAAAAGGGGCTCATCCAACTGTAAGCTGAGGGGTGTGAAATGTGAAGATACAAATTTGGATGATGTAGGCCATGGAAAAAGAACACCCCAAAAGTGGGAATGCAACCAATGTAAGGAACAGTATGAAAACATGGTAAAACACTGCACCCTGATAGCAAAAAAAAAGTAAATTTAAAATTTGGGCAGCATTCCCCCCTAGAAAGGGCATAAATGGGAAAGCAAATGATGGACACCCAGAGTGCAATCCCCAAAATTGGGAAAAATTAGGATAAGTTGGGAAAAATCTAGGATAAGTTGGGATTTTTTAAGGATAAGTTGGGTTTTTTTTAGGCTAAGATGGGAAAAACTGGGAGGCTAGGGGGATAAGTTGGGAATGAGTGGGAAATGATGGGAATACAGTGGGAAGCACATAGCCAATAAAGGAAAACTATGGGAATCCCAAGAAAAGCCAACCATTTCCCATGGATACCCAATGCAAGACCAATGATATAGGCACCACAGACATGTGTAGGAGTGGCATATCATAAGTGAAACTGGTGGTGTTACACAAAGATTTGAACCTTGAAAGCCATGTGGCCCAGGACCTGTCCCTGTCATGGCTATGGCAAGCTCCAGTGATGGCCAGTCAGTTCAAGACTGGGATGGCAATTGGGAGGGGTGGCAGTGGCAGTGGCAGGCAACTGCCTCTGGTCATTGGACAAAGGTGTGGACCAAGACTAAGGAGGCTGAGAAGGATGTCGCTGATAAAGAGCCAGAGTCAGAGGGAGAGGTAGATATCCCTATGGAGCCAGCAGACACTGATGGCACAGAGTCTGAAACCAGCTCCAAAGACTCAGGGTCAGGGCACCCAGTTTGTTGCAGTCACTGTGTGAGGTGGCACTGTGTAGGCACCACACATGTGATATAGTGTAGCTGTACCAACAAACCCTTGGCCACACCTATTCTTTGTTTGCTCACACATGCTCTTTTTTTTTGCAGCCTTGGCCACATGAGGCACCAAGACCTCAGGGACATTGAGGACCTGAACAGCTACCAGTTGTCCAGAGACTTGTTCTGGGAGGCTGAGAAGAGAGTGAGGTACACCAGTGTGGGCCTAACCCCCTATGAGATTCACTGCTTGATGGGAGACCTGCATGAGGAGTATGCACACCATGGTAAGAAGGTGGTGTCATTGTTTGGCAAACCCAAGGGGGCTGGCCAAGCAGTGAAGGCCTTGCTGAACTTGTTTAGGAAGCAACATGATTGGGGCCAAGGGGAGATGGTGAAAGTTGACACAATCCACTTTTCTGTCCTGAAGCACCAGTTGGTGGTGGCATGGTCCCAATTATATGATGACATGGAAGGAATGAGGCTGAAGTTGAACCATCCAGAAAAGGGTGTGGTGTGTGATTGTTTCCCTGCCACAGCCTTGATGCCCATGCTGTGCATCCATTCCAAGTTCACCAGAGTCCAGATGAAGGGTGGATTTGAGCCCAACATCATGGAGACCTTGTGCCCCACCTGCTCTTGGTGCATCAGATGTGGCAAGTGGCTTGGCTGCACATCCACTGGGTGGCTGCTTTGTTGAGGTTGCCACTGTTGAACAATCAGTTGCATATATATATATATACACATGTATATATATATACATGTATATATATATATATACATATATATATACACATGTATATATATATACATGTATATATATACATATATTAAACACATGCATCTGCAATGAAAATAAAGCATGGGGAATATAAATAAACTGCCAGCTATGTTGTTTGCCCATTGCAGCATGGAATGAACCATGTGTACAGTGTTACAATTATGGTATCAGTGAACCACAAGGCATGGCAATGATATGGGGGTGGTGTGTTTTCACCTGTTGTTTGGGCCTGATGGGCCACAGAGAGTACTAGTTAACAGTTTGCAGCCACACAAGCCTGGTGTGTGTGTGTCTATCTGTATGTGTATATTATATGCATGGGTTTGTGTGTGTGTGTATGCTTGTGGTTGGTTGCATGTTGGGCTGGGTGCCTGTTTGTGTGTTTGTTTGTAGGCTTGTTTGTGTGCTTGCTTTTGTTTTATGCTTGTCTTGTGTGTCTCTGTGTGGCTTTGTCTGTCACTGTGTGCTTCTGGGTCTCTGTGAATCCCTTTGTATGGTTTGCTTTTGATTTGTGTGTGTGCCTGTGTGTCTCTCAGGATGTCACTGTGGCCTTCTGTGTCCTTGTTTGTTTGGGTGCCCTGTGCATCTCTGTGTGTCTATGGGGGTCTTTGAGTGTCTGTTCTGTGTGTCTCTGTGTTGCTGGGAGTGTGCCTGTGTATGTGTGTGTGTGTCTTTGCATGTCTCTGTGTGTCTGTGTAACTCTGTGTATCTGTGTGTGCCTCTGTGTGTGGTGTAGGGTAGGGGCTAAGGTGCCAGCCAGCATGTGCCCAAGTGGCCACAGTAGTAGTCACTAGGGCCAGCTTAGTAGAGGGTTACATCACCCAGCTTGTATATGTATATGTATATGTATAGGGATATGTATATGTATAGGTACAGGTGTAGGTATATGCATATGCATATGTATATGCATATGTATATGAATATTTACATGTACATGTATATGGATATGTATATGTACATGTATATGTATATGTATATAACTCTGTGTGTGGTGCATTTATCAATGGTGGTTATGTGCCTGCAATACCAATCTTGACTGTCCTGATGATATGGGCAAACAGGTTCTGCAAAGTTGCTATGGCCAAGAGCAAGGGCAACTTGGCTGCCTACAAGGCTGTTTCTGAGAAGGTGATGTGCAGCTGCAACACTGCTTCAACCTTTGGTCCATGGGCTCATTGCTACCCTTGGTGAGATGAGCACTGCCAGGCCTGCCAGCTTGCACAGGCTTTGTTCCACAGTGGCTAGATGCATGCCACCTTTCAACCCCATGATTCTTAGTGCAGGTAACTTATAATATAGCCAGTGCTGAATTGGAGTTGTGACCTGCAAACCCAGGTTGGTAGCTAATTTACTTGTCCACCATTTCAGCAGGCCTGGTGATGACCACAGCTGCACTGTGACACTGTGCAACTCAAGGCTCAAACTGGGTTGGTGACCTGTTGTTTCTGTTGTTTCTGTTGTTGTTGTTGTTGCTGTTGTTGTTGGCCTGCCTGCCTGCTTTGCCTCATGATGGTAGAGGAGCAGCATGTGGCTGAGGGCCAGTTGGCTGCACCAGCCCTTTCAGAGTGCATTGAGGTGGTTGCACCTGGGGAAGCTGGCCAGACAGGCCAGAAGGCATTCACTTTGCCATATGGTGTGTGCACTTTGCCAGACTTACAGCAAAGGGCCTACATCAACAAAGATGGCAAAGCTGAATGGGTTTGGGCCAGGGTGCACAGCTACTGCCAGATCCAGAAGGAACCTGGCAGAATGCTGATGCACAGCAAAGATGCACTCCTGAAAGAGCTGGGAGAGCTTCAGGTGCCTGAGGCTGGCCTCCATTACAGGGGCATGGACACACCAGCTGGTGAGTCTGACTGGAAGGACCACACTTTGGAATCCTCAACTTTGCTTGGGGCCTTGGTGTACCTCTCCAAATTGAGACAACTGAAGGAAAATGCAAAAGTCAAAGCCATGAAGCTCCTGTTGGAGCTGGCAGGGAAAGCCTTGCCATTTGCCAACCTACATGCTCCAAAGGCCTACTGGCCCCATGGCAAGTGCCCAGCTCTTCTTCACACCCCAGGGCCTGACACAGGATTGGGGCAAGTTGCTGGCACTGTCACCAGGGGGTGCTGAGCTGTGGAAAAGGCTTGGAACCAGGACTTGGCTGAATAGATGCATTGCATCTTCCTTGGAAAATGCAACATTCCAAGATATCCTCTTCTTCAATGCCTACCTCATGTGCCACCCCAAGGTGAAAGGAAGGGGCCAACTGCTCTGGACTGCAATTGGTTCCACTACCTTGCCTGAGCTGGTCTTCCACCTAGGCACCTGGCTGGATGCCCTTGCTTTGGCCATGAAGGAGGAGCCACTTCAGATGCTCCCCATTCTGAAGACCAAAGAAGGCAATGCCAGGCTGCTGGCAGATCCAGTGAACCGCATGCTGCTTCTGTGGAAGCTTAGGAGAAGCAAGCAGCATAGGTTGGAGATAGCTGGCACACATGGTGATCTGGGTGGCAACACCATCAGAATGATGAGGTATGAAGCATATCTGGATTGCCTTTTGCACAGCAAGGCCCTTGAGTATGCTTTCAGTGGCTACAAGCAAGTCTGTGTCTCCTGGGACCCCAGCTCCTATGGTGGCAAAGACATTTTCATTGGATGCTTGTATGTGCCACAGTGCAACCAAGCTGCATACCTCATGAGCCAGCATTTGGGTGCCACCTACCTTGGAGAATTGGATGGGTCATTGCTTGAGCTGGGCCAAGCCAGAAAACTCACCAGACTTGAGGGCTACAGGGAGGTCAAAGGCCTAAGCTCATCACTGGAAGGTGTGGGGCTGTCCTTGAAGGATTTCTTTGTGCCTGAAGGACTGGTGCTCAGGCCTTTGGCTCCCCATGAGCTCAGGATTCAAGGTCCAGGTGGGAGATGGTACATCCAAAATGAAAAGACTGGAGAGACCAAACCTGAAGCCCCAGAGGACTTTGATTTTGGGGCTCTTCCTGCTCTCATCTCCATTTCAGACCAAGGGCCAGCAAACACAGCTGCACTCAACTACTTGATGTTTAGCTCCAAGGCTTTGCTTCTGTGGTCCCTATGGGACCCTTATCACAGAGCTTGGAACGACCTCAAGTTGGCCCTCAAGCGCTGTGCTGGTGATGGGTGGAGAACAGTGCTAGAACTCACCCTGGTTGCCAATATGAACTATGGCCCATTTGGAAGTGGCAGTTGGTTTTTCAAAAAGAAAGCCAAATTGCAAGACTTCCTGATGACCAGGGATGTGAACAGTCCTGCCTGGAACAACTTCCAGCATCTTATTTGTCAAGAAAGAAGGGTTTCTGAACCCAGCAATCTGGAAGAAGCACAGGAACTGTTCACTGAGATGGCTAGCCTGCAATCCTTCAACACCAAAGGCCCATTGGTGAAGCTCATGCGCTGGTTCTCATTTTTCGAGTCAATGGCATTCCTGGATGGTGAGTTTTATATGACTAAACTCATCCTTCTCCATGCTGCTGAGAAAGCAGATGCTGGCTCAGAGGCAGAGATTGATGAGGGCTTGCCACAGGAAAAAGACCACAAGAAGGAGCTTGCAGAGCTGAAAAAACGCAAGGGCACATGGAGGTTAGCCCCAAGCCTCATCAATGGCAAATCCCTTTGCATGAAGGACTGCATCATGGCCTGTGGGAAGGCAATATGGCAGAACTTCTCTGAGAGAGCAAGGGAGGTTTGCTCCCCCATGCAGGTGAAGGAGCTGAACATAGCATGTGCTCAGAGCAGGTTCTGGGCTTGTGAGCTCTTGGACATGTTGGAATCTTCTTTGGAGGAGGAGAAATGCCTGAAGCACCTCTTTCCAGAATTCCAAGGGCATGAAAGTGCCATGACCTGGCATTGTGACCTCTTGGCCAAGCTCCTGGAGACCAGGGCAATGAGCTTGGCTGTCTTCTACCTGATGCCACCCAGCCTCTACTGCCACCTGCTGTCCTATGACCCTGAGGTGTCCAGGGAAGCACATGACTTGGCGCGGAAGCATTGGGGCATGTTGCTAGCAGCTGAGGAGGCCCATGCTGCTGGTGCAACAGTCAAGCCTTTGTCCAGCATCTACTGGAGGTTCAGCCCACTCATCAGGGCTTTGTTCATGGCTTTTGAGGAAGATGCCCGCAAGTGCCTAGTGTACACCACACAAAGTCAAGCCATGAGATTGCAGCTGCTCTTCACTCAGCACCTGGGAGATTCCAGGCTGATTGAGAACATTCACCAACATGGAAGAGATCTTTGCAGGGCCAGCAAATCCAATTCCATGTCGAATGTGAGCATTATGGCCAATGTCTTGAGATGTGGTGTACTGGAGGGCAGGAAAGTCCCTATGGTTGCTGCCAAGGAGATCATGAAGGCAACTGGCATGGCCTGGCATTCCAAGAACAAGGAGCCTGTGGTTCAAAAGTTGAGAACTCATGGGAAGAAGCTGCCTGTGGAATTGCAGCAGATGATGGCACCCAACAAAAAGGGCAATGAGCAGTGGCCATCTCCAAGCCCTGGCTCTTTGTTTGAAAGCTGTTGCTCCACAGACTGGCTCTTCCATTACTTCTCAGACCAAGCTGCCACAGATGCAGATGTCAATTCTGCATGGCTTTGTTGCCTTGCCAGGCCAGGGGCCATCTTGGCACAACAATCCACTTCATCAGTGGTCATGGTCATTGCTTCTGCAGAGTACAGCTTCTTGGGTGTGGCCATGGAGGCCAAAGTGGGCTTGACATTGGAAAGGACCTTCCACTGTGTTGTGAGGCGGGATTCCATTGGCTTCCACCACATCACAGACTTGGATGATTGGTTGGAGTTGCAGGTGGAGCCTTGCCTCACCACAGCAGGAGGAACTAGGGGCCCCATTGGTTGGCGGAAGATTGCTGAGCCTCTCACCTTGGATTTAGCTGCTTTGCTGAAAGGCATCACCTTGACATTTCTGCAGCTCAAGGATTTGGTTGTGGCATTGGGGGGCTCCAAGAAAGGCATAGCTTCCAAGAAGGCTGCCATAGAGCTCCTCATCACCATGGCCTTTGCTGCTGACAAAGTGGAAGAGGTGAAGGCAATGTATGCTGCTGAAGAGGAAGCCAGGGGTGATGAGCAGATGGACTCTGATCTCTCTGAATTGGTCTCTGAGCTTGGGCAAGATGATGCCAACACCCAAGACCTCAAAGACTTGAAGGAGAAGAAGCAGGCCTACAGACAAAAGAAAGCCCTCAAGAAGGCAGAGCAGCAGGTGCTGCTGCAGGGCAAGGAGAAGTCCAGGAAGGGCAGGGGCAAGGGCAAAGGAAAGGCCAAAGGAAAGGCCAAAGCCAAAGGAAAGGCACAGGCTAAGCCCAAGGAGGAAAAGCCCGAAACCTTCTTGGAAAGTGTCATCAGGAGGGCCAAAAAGCTGGCTGCACAAAGGGACCAAGGAGCAATGGCTGAGATTGTCAAGCAGGAAAGGCATGTGGAAATGGAGGTGGCAAAGGAGATGACTGATGATCCAGAACAGGTGAGAAAGGCTAAGGCTGCTCCTGCTGAGGAGGCTGATGTTGACATGAATGATCTATTTGGAGATGCTGTGCCAGAAGGCCCTGATGCAGGTGCAGCACCTTCTTCTTCGTCTGGGCCTCATCAAAGGGCCCCAAAGACTTACAAGTCACCTGATGACATCTTGGGCCTCCTGAACCCACCAGGCTGCAAATTCACCTTGAGTGGCATGGACCACAGGTTCAAGTCTGAGTGGGAGGATGACCTCCCTGAACTGGATCATCCATACAGCCAAAAGAGATTCTCTGCATCCTTTGCTAAAAGAAGAACTTGGCAGGATGCCCTGAGCCTTGTGCATGAGCGAAATTGGCAGAAATGGAACCTTGTGAAAGATGAGTATCTGCTGGGTGAAGGTGAGGAGCCACAGAAGCCTGGTGTGATTCCACAGGAATTGCAAGATCTTTTGCAGGTGGAAATTGCCAAGCTTGGGAAGCCAAAAACTTATGCCAAGGGTGCTGCTGAAGTAGATGACACCCAGATGGCAGAGTGAGGGCATGCAGGGTGGGCTGAATGAGCAACCTCTGTGCATAGCTGGTATTGCCAGGAACAATTGCTGCATGCACATTCGAAATTTGCACATTTGAAATTTTTGAGAGCAGCTTTGAGTGGCATGCAGGAAAGCAGCAGGAATGTCAGTTTGTGGAAGATTGGGTGTCCAGCAATTGGGTGAGACAGCTTCCTGAGGCACCACTTGCATGCTCAGTGAACTCCAACTAGAGCAGCTGCTTTGGTGCTTGACTGGGCTTTCCCCTAAGATTTCTGTGAAAGACTTGGATGTGAAGACCAGATGTGAGTTGACCCTTGGCTGGACTCAGAACCTGCTAGGATTCAGAACATGGTGGAAGTACCTTGGGGGGCCAGTACCTTATGTAAAAATAGTTTATGATAGAAATTGCTTGGAACATCTTCAATGGAGGTGGGGCTTGGGTGGGGGTGCCTGGCTTTGCTCAGGAAGCAGCTGATCAAGGACCAGGCACAGAGGATTGAGAAGCAGCACCAAGGGAAGAGAGCAGAGAGCATTGCTGTTCCTTGGCAAGGGTCAGGTGGGTGGTTCACTCCATCCCATATTGTTTGGGCATACTAGGCATTTCCAGCATGCATGCAGCCCTTTCCATCTGATTGATTCACCACCCAGCCCTATACCAATTCAATCATTTATGGGTTGACTTATGTTGAGCTGCAATGTGGCCAAGGAAGACTTTTCCAATTTGGATGAATACTCAAATCAGCTGGGCTGGTATAATTTGTGGAAGAAGACTTCCAAGAAGATACTTGGTTGCACCTAAACACAGGTTTGGCATATTTGGTATATGGATGCTGTTCCTTTTGGGTGGCAGGGATGTGCATTAAAAAAATAATAATTCAATAAGCTGCATTCTGTCACAATTTGAGCCTTACCTTAGTTCCATGTGCCAAATCACCAGCCAAGGGGAGCAGACCAGCAAGACAGTCCTCCCCCACCTTCTGTCTTTCAGAAGTACAGCAAGATCAAAGGGTGCCTTGGCTCTCATGTCATGCACTGGCATCACCAATCAAAGTTCAAAGCTTGTAGTGTTTGGGTAATCACAGGTAACTGTTTTGGAACATTGTTCTAAGGTTTAATAATTCATAATAATTCATAATCCAACCATTTTGTGAAAACTTTGGCCAGCACTTCTCAGAGCTCATGGGAGGCCCAATGGAGAGCTTGAAGTATGCCATGTGGAGAGGGGCATGAAGGTGGTGGTGGGCCCATCACATGCTCCCATTGCCTTGGCCTACAGAAACTCTTGCTACTACTTGAAGCTGGCAGAGACAAGCAAGACTTCTGAGAAGCTTGGAGGCATTGCAAACTGGTAGGTGGTAATTCAAGTGTAGGCATGGCATGGAAGTAGGCTTGCAGGTTGCAGCAGGCACTGATAACTATGGTTTGGAAGGGAAAACCCATTTCATTATTCAAATTGTTTCACCTGGTGCCTTTCCATACTGGTTTCTTTGGGGCCTGCCCCACTAGCCATCCCAGGGTGCTGATGAAAGCAGATGATGTGTTTGAGCATGCTGATGGTGTGCAAGCTTGGTATGCCAAAGTGGACACTTTGCTGGAAAAATGTTTTGGCTTATGGTTTGCAATTTGTAATGGCTGAATGAATGAGTGGCAGGGGGGCTGGGGTATTAACACCCTTGGCAGCACACTGAGCTATGCAATCTGAAAGCATTGCAACCCTTGGCTTTTGTTGAGTTGCCAGCCCTAGCAATGCAATAGATTATTAAAAGTGTTGTAATAAGTGTTTGTAAGTGGACCTTTGTTTATTTCATTGAGATCCATTGGGGGGTTCTCCAGCAAGCCAGTGCATTGAGGCAGAGACTGCACTGCTGAACCAGGAGGACATGTGGGCTCAGCAGTATATCAGCCAGATGAAAGGAGAGGGGCTGGAGGGTTCATGGCAGGGTTGGCATGGCCATGTCACTGTACAATTGTTTGTGCGCATGTCTTACAAACTCATGTGCTGGCCTTGCTGCCTTAAGAAGGTGGACAGCTCACAAGCCAGTATAAAACAACAGCCCCAGGACTACCTGAAGGGCATTGGCAAGCTGTGCAACTTGCAAACTTGGAGCAGCAACTGCCATCAAAAGGGAGGCTGCCAAGTGGTTTGGCAGTGTATTGACATTATTTGTGTTGATGTTTTAAATTGCAGGGGATGGCAACCCAGCAATATGAACTTTTTTTTTGGCTGGGACATGTTGTGGGGTGTTTGTTGTGGTTGTAAATATTTGGTGGCCCAGGCCAAGCAAGCACAGCTGAGCCTTCAGCAGCTGCATCACTTGCATCAGTGCCTTCAAGTAACTTGAGTAGGGCTTCCTCAGAAAGCCAGGCCACTGCTTCCACAGGGCTGGCCAAGGGTGCAGCCAGGAACTCCCCTTCCATATCACCACTGGGATACATATACATGGTGCTTACTTGGTGTACAAATATAACAATAAGTAGTTTGGGGACACTGACACTCACTTAAATGACATAATTAAATATATAATAGTAGACATGACAAAAGGGTTGTGGTATGTTGGGCAGCTTTTTTTTAAAATAATATGAGCCATATTTCACAACATTTTGTGGCCACAGTACAGAAAGCCTTGGGCAGGCATCTACTTGGGTCATGAAGGGGCAGCACTGCCCACCAGGACCAGCAACTTAACTTGGTGGGGGTGTGATATTGCTTTTGCAATTATCTTTGAAATCAACTAGGGTGGGGTGAGCTATTTGTTTACTGTGCTAGGCCAAAGCTAAATCTACATGGGGGTCAAATATGCAGCCAATGGTCTTTTGGGGTTCAAATTGGAGAAAATCAAGCAAATGAGTTTGGCAGTTGGGGCATCTGAGGCATTTGTCAGCACTTATGCTGGCTCAGAAACCTGGCCACAACCCAGGCAGCAAAATTTGCTTGAAGCTTTTGGCCAAGCTGCACAGGGGCAACCACAGATGGGACAGCTGCAGCAGCAACCAGCACAATCACAAGGTGGCCAGCAGATGGGCCAGCCAACACAGCACCCACCACAACATGGCCAACACACAGCAGATGGGCCAGCCACCACAGCAGCAACAGCTACAAGTGTTTGGGCAGCAGCCACCACTACAAGGACCATGCCCAAGCACACAGCAGATGGTCCAGCCAACACAGCAACAGCCCCAAGTTTTGGGGCAGCAGCAGATGGGTCAGCCACCACAGCAGCAAGTCTTTGGGCAGCAGCAGCCACCACCACACAGTGGCCAAAGCACACAGCAGATGGGCCAGCCACCACAGCAGCAAGTCTTTGGGCAGCACCAGCCACAAAGCACACAGCAGATGATGGGCCAGCCAGCACAGCAACAGCCCCAAGTCTTTGGGCAGCAGCCACCACCACAGAATGGCCACAGCACACAGCAAATGGGTCAGCCACCACAGCAGCAACAGCCCCAAGTCTTTGGGCAACAGCCACCACCACACAGTGGCCAAAGCTCACAGCAGATGGGTCAGCCACCACAGCAGCAACAGCCCCAAGTCTTTGGGCAGCAGCCACCACCACACAGTGGCCAAAGCTCACAGCAAATGGGTCAGCCACCACAGCAGCAACAGCCCCAAGTCTTTGGGCAGCAGCCACCACCACACAGTGGCCAAAGCTCAGAGCAGATTGGCCAGCCACCACAGCAGCAACAGCCCCAAGTCTTTGGGCAGCAGCCACCACCACACAGTGGCCACAGCTCACAGCAGATGGGCCAGGCACCACAGCAGCAAAAGCTCCAAGTCTGTGGGCAGCAGCCACCACCACACAGTGGCCAAAGCTCACAGCAGATGGGCCAGCCACCACAGCAGCAACAGCCCCAAGTCTTTGGGCAGCAGCCACCACCACACAGTGGCCAAAGCTCAGAGCAGATTGGCCAGCCACCACAGCAGCAACAGCCCCAAGTCTTTGGGCAGCAGCCACCACCACACAGTGGCCACAGCTCACAGCAGATGGGCCAGGCACCACAGCAGCAAAAGCTCCAAGTCTGTGGGCAGCAGCCACCACTACAAGATGGCCAAAGCTCAGAGCAGATGGGCCAGCCACCACAGCAACAGCCCCAAGTCTTTGGGCAGCAGCCACCACCACAGAATGGCCACAGCACACAGCAAATGGGTCAGCCACCACAGCAGCAACAGCCCCAAGACTTTGGGCAGCAGCCACCACCACACAGTGGCCAGGCACCACAGCAGCAACAGCCCCAAGTCTTTGGGCAGCAGCCACCACCACACAGTGGCCAAAGCTCACAGCAGATGGGCCAGCCACCACAGCAGCAACAGCCCCAAGTCTTTGGGCAGCAGCCACCACCACACATGGCCAAAGCTCACAGCAAATGGGTCAGCCACCACAGCAGCAACAGCCCCAAGTCTTTGGGCAGCAGCCACCACCACACACTGTTGGCCCAGGGCAGATGGGCCAGCCACCACAGCAGCAACAGCCCCAAGTCTTGGGGCAGCAGCCACCACCACACAGTGGGCAAAGCTCAGAGCAGATTGGCCAGCCACCACAGCAGCAACAGTCCCAAGTCTTGGGGCAGCAGCCACCACAAGGTGGCCAGAAGACACCAGAGCAGCAACCAGTACAGCAGCCTGAGCAGAGTGCCACAGAAGAGCCAGGCCATGGCCAACAGCAACCACCTGGGCAGACACCACAACAACACATAGAGCAGACAGGGCAGCAGAGGCAGCAACAAGATGGTCAAAGCCCTGTGCCACAGCCACAGCAGCAGCAGCAGCAGCAGCAGCAGCAGCAGCCTGCTGACCAAGCTGTGCCACAACCTATTCAGCAGGTGGGCCAACAAGCACCAAAGCAAAGTGGCCAGCAGCCAGATGCCACACAGAATAACCAGCAACCTGAGCAGGCTGCACAACAGCCACCTGCAGATGGCCAGCAGAACCTGCAGCAGGATGCAAAGCAACAGGTGGGCCACCTACAGACTGAGCAGCCACCACAGCAGTCTGCAGCAGGACATACTGAACAGACTGACTCACAACAGCCACAAGCTTCTGCCTCTCAGATTGGCCAGCCACCAGGCCTTGGTGATGGCCCTAAGAAGCCTGGTGATGGCCAAGTGAAGACACATGGTACTGCAGGGGCTGCAGAGGCAGCCAGGGAAGCAGGTCCCATGACAAAAGAATGTAGAACAGAATGGGTTTGCAGCTTAAGGCAAAAACAGTTATATTATAAAGTGCAGCATGGCAGTTGGGGATGGTAAAGGTCTAGGTGGGTTCAGCTTCTGTTAAATAGTATGTTGTCAGAAGTGTGGATATTGAAGCCCTGCTCCATTACATGTTAATGTATTGGCTGTGCTGGGGGAATGTAGCAAAGGTACTATTGCAATATTGGGGGGTGGTTGGTTGAATGGGTGCTTTTATAATAGTGTTTGGTGTTGGAACCTTTGACTCAGGTGAAGCCTTCAGCTCTGATGCACTTCAACTAGCCAAAAAGAGGAGACAAGAAGCTGCAGTGCCTGTGCTGAATCACTGGTCCTGGTGGTAGTGCTGGGCTGCACCATAGTCCACACCATACCTTCACACCAATCATAGTCACCCATGGCAGTGCTTGTATCACCCACACTGATTAAGTAGGCAGGTATGTCATGAGTGTCCTGGTGCCCAGGCAAAAGCCCAAAACAAGAAGTCCAAGGACAATGCAGTGGTGATTGACAGCTGAGCATTTGGGGGGGTCCACATATGACATAGCTGACTGGAATGGCAGAAGGCTGGCTTGCAAAAAATACACACCATTCCACTCATAAGCCATACTGGCCTATACTTACCCCCAAGGTCTAGTGGTACAGGCTATACATTCAGGCCATCATCACTGTTGTGGGTGCAAGCCTAGCCAGGCCACTATAACCATCAGTGTTTCTGGCAGCCTGGAATGGCAGCAATGTAGCCTAGGGCTATTTAGATCAGGGCAAGGCTTGGGTTTGGTGGGCTGGCAGGGTGTCATTCCCAGAACAAATGTGACATAATAGTAAAGCCCCCAATGGGTCCATTCAATGAAGGTTGCTTTAGCATGGTGTGTTGGTTAGTGAGTGGGTGTTCTAAGTTCTGACTGGTGATTCAGGCCTGGCCCTTGTCACAATACCATTAAATATCTTTTGGGCACCAGGTGTGGCAGAGCAAGGGTCACACGAGTGCAAAAACAAAGGCAGCAGTCACTGGGGTGCAGAGCAGGGTGGGTCTTGAGAAGCTGGGTTTGAGTCTGAAATGTTGCTTAATTTGGTTGGGGTGTGGTTAGTTTTGTTTGGGGTAGCTGTGCAAGTTCTAGTTGATGTGATGCTGTTACCAAAAATACAGCATAGTGGAAGCCTGGGGCTGGTACTTCTAGGGAGCTTCTGGTGTGGTGGCATGTGGATGGGGGGCAAAGCTGGTTGTTAGATGCATGTCACCATCAGTGTGTGGCTCAGCTTGGTTTGCACTTGATTTGTACTTGGTGTACACTTGGCTGCTTGGCAAATGGTGGTGGGTGAGTGGGCTGGACAGAACCACCCCCTATACTTACTAGTTTTTTGTTTTGGTTTTTGGGGCCAGCAACTTATTTTGATTTGTATGATGCATGGGTGTGATGTGGCTTTGTTTGGTGCATAGTATGATGCATGGGTGTGCTTGTTTGTCTAGTGGTATGACCTGTGCCCATGTCCAGCCCACAAGTGTGGAGTCATGTGTGGTGCCAAGGACCCCTGAACCTTTAAAGGCAGAAGCTGAAACTTGGGCCACTATGTGCAAGGTGTGATTTCTGGTTGTGGAGGGGTGGTGCATTGAAACAATGCCACACTATTGGCAAATTGCCCAATAGGTTTGGCAACCCTCATGAGCTCAACAAAGGGGTGCCCATATCCATTCACACATTCAGAAATGTAAATGTATATAATGTAACTTTGGTGTATGGAAGGGTTTGTGAACCCATGGGTGGACCACAGAAATATGGGGTCATCAGAATTATGGGTATGGGGATGGAGACTTGTGAGAACAGAACCATGGGGAGTTAAAGAATGACCTTCACTGTAAAGGGTTTAATGGGTGTTGGTTTATGTGAGGGAAGGAGGAGAAACAAGACCCACACTACTGACAAATTGCTCAATTGGTTTGGCAACCCTCATAGGTCAACAAAGGGTTACCCATATCTATCCATACATTCAGGGCTGTAAATGTAAATGTAAATATATATATATATAGATGTATTGATGGGTTTGTAAACCAATGGATGGACCACATATATTTGGGGCCATGATCATGAGAACTGTGAATAAAAGGGTGGGTGCATGTGAAAACAGAACCCATGGTGGGTTCAAGAACAGCCTTCACTTTAAAGGCCATTCACCATTGTTGTAAAAGGTGTTGGTTTATGTGAGGGAAGGCACCACTGTCACTGCTGACAAATTGCACAACCCCCATGTTTCAACAAAGGGTTACCAATATCTAGCCACACAATCAGGGGTGTAAATGTATATATAGGTGCATTGATGAGTTTGTGAGCAATGGGTGGGCCACAGAAATATGGGGTCATAAGACTTATGGTTATTAGGATGGGGACTTGTAAGAACAGCTATGGGAGTTAAAGAATGGCCTTCACTGTAAAGGACACCCCACCATGTGTTAATGGGGTCAACAAAGGGATGCCCACATCTATCCATACATTCAGGGGTGTAAATGTATATAGGTGTATGGATGGTTTGTGAATCATATGGACCACAGAAATTTGGGATCATCAGAATTCTGGGTATGGGGGTGGAGACTTGTGAGAAGAACAGAACCTATGAGAGTTAAAGAATGGCTTTCACTGTAAAGGACACCCCACCATGGGTGCTAATGGGCCCAGCAAAGGGATACCCACATCTATGCACACATTCAGGAGTGTAAATGTATACAATATAATTTTGGTGTATGGATGGGTTTGTGAATCAGATGGACCACAGAAATATGGGGTCATCAGAATTCTGGGTATGGGGATGGAGACTTGTGAGAACAGAACCATGGGGAGTTAAAGAATGACCTTCACTGTAAAGGGTTTTGATGGGTGTTGCTGTATGTGAGGGAAGGCCACACTACTGACAAATTGCACAATTGGTGTGGCAACCCTCATGGTTCAACAAAGGGTTACCTATATCTGTCCATACATTTAGGGCTGTGTATGTATATATACATGGAGTACATATATTATATATATGTATGTATGTATAGGTGTATTGATGGAGTTTTGAACCAATGGATGGACCAAAGATATCTGCTCATATATTTGTTTATGTTGTTAATTTAATATTTTTAGATAGATATATATATATATACATATACATTTTTTGCATTTATACTTATTTATGTGTGTTTTTTTTATGGTTTGTTTTTTTTGTGGTTTTGATAATTGCTTATTTCTAGTATGTATATATACATATACATATTTATATTTATATATTTTACATCTATGGCATGATGTATAGTATGGCTTCAATGCCTGCAGTATTAAAGATGTGGCTATCAATGTGTTGGTTTTATATTTAAAAGGGGCTCATCCAACTGTAAGCTGAGGGGTGTGAAATGTGAAGATACAAATTTGGATGATGTAGGCCATGGAAAAAGAACACCCCAAAAGTGGGAATGCAACCAATGTAAGGAACAGTATGAAAACATGGTAAAACACTGCACCCTGATAGCAAAAAAAAAGTAAATTTAAAATTTGGGCAGCATTCCCCCCTAGAAAGGGCATAAATGGGAAAGCAAATGATGGACACCCAGAGTGCAATCCCCAAAATTGGGAAAAATTAGGATAAGTTGGGAAAAATCTAGGATAAGTTGGGATTTTTTAAGGATAAGTTGGGTTTTTTTTAGGCTAAGATGGGAAAAACTGGGAGGCTAGGGGGATAAGTTGGGAATGAGTGTGAAATGATGGGAATACAGTGGGAAGCACATAGCCAATAAAGGAAAACTATGGGAATCCCAAGAAAAGCCAACCATTTCCCATGGATACCCAATGCAAGACCAATGATATAGGCACCACAGACATGTGTAGGAGTGGCATATCATAAGTGAAACTGGTGGTGTTACACAAAGATTTGAACCTTGAAAGCCATGTGGCCCAGGACCTGTCCCTGTCATGGCTATGGCAAGCTCCAGTGATGGCCAGTCAGTTCAAGACTGGGATGGCAATTGGGAGGGGTGGCAGTGGCAGTGGCAGGCAACTGCCTCTGGTCATTGGACAAAGGTGTGGACCAAGACTAAGGAGGCTGAGAAGGATGTCGCTGATAAAGAGCCAGAGTCAGAGGGAGAGGTAGATATCCCTATGGAGCCAGCAGACACTGATGGCACAGAGTCTGAAACCAGCTCCAAAGACTCAGGGTCAGGGCACCCAGTTTGTTGCAGTCACTGTGTGAGGTGGCACTGTGTAGGCACCACACATGTGATATAGTGTAGCTGTACCAACAAACCCTTGGCCACACCTATTCTTTGTTTGCTCACACATGCTCTTTTTTTTTGCAGCCTTGGCCACATGAGGCACCAAGACCTCAGGGACATTGAGGACCTGAACAGCTACCAGTTGTCCAGAGACTTGTTCTGGGAGGCTGAGAAGAGAGTGAGGTACACCAGTGTGGGCCTAACCCCCTATGAGATTCACTGCTTGATGGGAGACCTGCATGAGGAGTATGCACACCATGGTAAGAAGGTGGTGTCATTGTTTGGCAAACCCAAGGGGGCTGGCCAAGCAGTGAAGGCCTTGCTGAACTTGTTTAGGAAGCAACATGATTGGGGCCAAGGGGAGATGGTGAAAGTTGACACAATCCACTTTTCTGTCCTGAAGCACCAGTTGGTGGTGGCATGGTCCCAATTATATGATGACATGGAAGGAATGAGGCTGAAGTTGAACCATCCAGAAAAGGGTGTGGTGTGTGATTGTTTCCCTGCCACAGCCTTGATGCCCATGCTGTGCATCCATTCCAAGTTCACCAGAGTCCAGATGAAGGGTGGATTTGAGCCCAACATCATGGAGACCTTGTGCCCCACCTGCTCTTGGTGCATCAGATGTGGCAAGTGGCTTGGCTGCACATCCACTGGGTGGCTGCTTTGTTGAGGTTGCCACTGTTGAACAATCAGTTGCATATATATATATATACACATGTATATATATACATGTATATATATATATACATATATATATACACATGTATATATATACATGTATATATATATATATACATATATATATATACATATATTAAACACATGCATCTGCAATGAAAATAAAGCATGGGGAATATAAATAAACTGCCAGCTATGTTGTTTGCCCATTGCAGCATGGAATGAACCATGTGTACAGTGTTACAATTATGGTATCAGTGAACCACAAGGCATGGCAATGATATGGGGGTGGTGTGTTTTCACCTGTTGTTTGGGCCTGATGGGCCACAGAGAGTACTAGTTAACAGTTTGCAGCCACACAAGCCTGGTGTGTGTGTGTCTATCTGTATGTGTATATTATATGCATGGGTTTGTGTGTGTGTGTATGCTTGTGGTTGGTTGCATGTTGGGCTGGGTGCCTGTTTGTGTGTTTGTTTGTAGGCTTGTTTGTGTGCTTGCTTTTGTTTTATGCTTGTCTTGTGTGTCTCTGTGTGGCTTTGTCTGTCACTGTGTGCTTCTGGGTCTCTGTGAATCCCTTTGTATGGTTTGCTTTTGATTTGTGTGTGTGTGCCTGTGTGTCTCTCAGGATGTCACTGTGGCCTTCTGTGTCCTTGTTTGTTTGGGTGCCCTGTGCATCTCTGTGTGTCTATGGGGGTCTTTGAGTGTCTGTTCTGTGTGTCTCTGTGTTGCTGGGAGTGTGCCTGTGTATGTGTGTGTGTGTCTTTGCATGTCTCTGTGTGTCTGTGTAACTCTGTGTATCTGTGTGTGCCTCTGTGTGTGGTGTAGGGTAGGGGCTAAGGTGCCAGCCAGCATGTGCCCAAGTGGCCACAGTAGTAGTCACTAGGGCCAGCTTAGTAGAGGGTTACATCACCCAGCTTGTATATGTATATGTATATGTATAGGGATATGTATATGTATAGGTACAGGTGTAGGTATATGCATATGCATATGTATATGCATATGTATATGAATATTTACATGTACATGTATATGGATATGTATATGTACATGTATATGTATATGTATATAACTCTGTGTGTGGTGCATTTATCAATGGTGGTTATGTGCCTGCAATACCAATCTTGACTGTCCTGATGATATGGGCAAACAGGTTCTGCAAAGTTGCTATGGCCAAGAGCAAGGGCAACTTGGCTGCCTACAAGGCTGTTTCTGAGAAGGTGATGTGCAGCTGCAACACTGCTTCAACCTTTGGTCCATGGGCTCATTGCTACCCTTGGTGAGATGAGCACTGCCAGGCCTGCCAGCTTGCACAGGCTTTGTTCCACAGTGGCTAGATGCATGCCACCTTTCAACCCCATGATTCTTAGTGCAGGTAACTTATAATATAGCCAGTGCTGAATTGGAGTTGTGACCTGCAAACCCAGGTTGGTAGCTAATTTACTTGTCCACCATTTCAGCAGGCCTGGTGATGACCACAGCTGCACTGTGACACTGTGCAACTCAAGGCTCAAACTGGGTTGGTGACCTGTTGTTTCTGTTGTTTCTGTTGTTGTTGTTGTTGCTGTTGTTGTTGGCCTGCCTGCCTGCTTTGCCTCATGATGGTAGAGGAGCAGCATGTGGCTGAGGGCCAGTTGGCTGCACCAGCCCTTTCAGAGTGCATTGAGGTGGTTGCACCTGGGGAAGCTGGCCAGACAGGCCAGAAGGCATTCACTTTGCCATATGGTGTGTGCACTTTGCCAGACTTACAGCAAAGGGCCTACATCAACAAAGATGGCAAAGCTGAATGGGTTTGGGCCAGGGTGCACAGCTACTGCCAGATCCAGAAGGAACCTGGCAGAATGCTGATGCACAGCAAAGATGCACTCCTGAAAGAGCTGGGAGAGCTTCAGGTGCCTGAGGCTGGCCTCCATTACAGGGGCATGGACACACCAGCTGGTGAGTCTGACTGGAAGGACCACACTTTGGAATCCTCAACTTTGCTTGGGGCCTTGGTGTACCTCTCCAAATTGAGACAACTGAAGGAAAATGCAAAAGTCAAAGCCATGAAGCTCCTGTTGGAGCTGGCAGGGAAAGCCTTGCCATTTGCCAACCTACAGCAGCCAGTGCCTGCCATGCTCCAAAGGCCTACTGGCCCCATGGCAAGTGCCCAGCTCTTCTTCACACCCCAGGGCCTGACACAGGATTGGGGCAAGTTGCTGGCACTGTCACCAGGGGGTGCTGAGCTGTGGAAAAGGCTTGGAACCAGGACTTGCCTGAATAGATGCATTGCATCTTCCTTGGAAAATGCAACATTCCAAGATATCCTCTTCTTCAATGCCTACCTCATGTGCCACCCCAAGGTGAAAGGAAGGGGCCAACTGCTCTGGACTGCAATTGGTTCCACTACCTTGCCTGAGCTGGTCTTCCACCTAGGCACCTGGCTGGATGCCCTTGCTTTGGCCATGAAGGAGGAGCCACTTCAGATGCTCCCCATTCTGAAGACCAAAGAAGGCAATGCCAGGCTGCTGGCAGATCCAGTGAACCGCATGCTGCTTCTGTGGAAGCTTAGGAGAAGCAAGCAGCATAGGTTGGAGATAGCTGGCACACATGGTGATCTGGGTGGCAACACCATCAGAATGATGAGGTATGAAGCATATCTGGATTGCCTTTTGCACAGCAAGGCCCTTGAGTATGCTTTCAGTGGCTACAAGCAAGTCTGTGTCTCCTGGGACCCCAGCTCCTATGGTGGCAAAGACATTTTCATTGGATGCTTGTATGTGCCACAGTGCAACCAAGCTGCATACCTCATGAGCCAGCATTTGGGTGCCACCTACCTTGGAGAATTGGATGGGTCATTGCTTGAGCTGGGCCAAGCCAGAAAACTCACCAGACTTGAGGGCTACAGGGAGGTCAAAGGCCTAAGCTCATCACTGGAAGGTGTGGGGCTGTCCTTGAAGGATTTCTTTGTGCCTGAAGGACTGGTGCTCAGGCCTTTGGCTCCCCATGAGCTCAGGATTCAAGGTCCAGGTGGGAGATGGTACATCCAAAATGAAAAGACTGGAGAGACCAAACCTGAAGCCCCAGAGGACTTTGATTTTGGGGCTCTTCCTGCTCTCATCTCCATTTCAGACCAAGGGCCAGCAAACACAGCTGCACTCAACTACTTGATGTTTAGCTCCAAGGCTTTGCTTCTGTGGTCCCTATGGGACCCTTATCACAGAGCTTGGAACGACCTCAAGTTGGCCCTCAAGCGCTGTGCTGGTGATGGGTGGAGAACAGTGCTAGAACTCACCCTGGTTGCCAATATGAACTATGGCCCATTTGGAAGTGGCAGTTGGTTTTTCAAAAAGAAAGCCAAATTGCAAGACTTCCTGATGACCAGGGATGTGAACAGTCCTGCCTGGAACAACTTCCAGCATCTTATTTGTCAAGAAAGAAGGGTTTCTGAACCCAGCAATCTGGAAGAAGCACAGGAACTGTTCACTGAGATGGCTAGCCTGCAATCCTTCAACACCAAAGGCCCATTGGTGAAGCTCATGCGCTGGTTCTCATTTTTCGAGTCAATGGCATTCCTGGATGGTGAGTTTTATATGACTAAACTCATCCTTCTCCATGCTGCTGAGAAAGCAGATGCTGGCTCAGAGGCAGAGATTGATGAGGGCTTGCCACAGGAAAAAGACCACAAGAAGGAGCTTGCAGAGCTGAAAAAACGCAAGGGCACATGGAGGTTAGCCCCAAGCCTCATCAATGGCAAATCCCTTTGCATGAAGGACTGCATCATGGCCTGTGGGAAGGCAATATGGCAGAACTTCTCTGAGAGAGCAAGGGAGGCTTGCTCCCCCATGCAGGTGAAGGAGCTGAACATAGCATGTGCTCAGAGCAGGTTCTGGGCTTGTGAGCTCTTGGACATGTTGGAATCTTCTTTGGAGGAGGAGAAATGCCTGAAGCACCTCTTTCCAGAATTCCAAGGGCATGAAAGTGCCATGACCTGGCATTGTGACCTCTTGGCAAAGCTCCTGGAGACCAGGGCAATGAGCTTGGCTGTCTTCTACCTGATGCCACCCAGCCTCTACTGCCACCTGCTGTCCTATGACCCTGAGGTGTCCAGGGAAGCACATGACTTGGCGCGGAAGCATTGGGGCATGTTGCTAGCAGCTGAGGAGGCCCATGCTGCTGGTGCAACAGTCAAGCCTTTGTCCAGCATCTACTGGAGGTTCAGCCCACTCATCAGGGCTTTGTTCATGGCTTTTGAGGAAGATGCCCGCAAGTGCCTAGTGTACACCACACAAAGTCAAGCCATGAGATTGCAGCTGCTCTTCACTCAGCACCTGGGAGATTCCAGGCTGATTGAGAACATTCACCAACATGGAAGAGATCTTTGCAGGGCCAGCAAATCCAATTCCATGTCGAATGTGAGCATTATGGCCAATGTCTTGAGATGTGGTGTACTGGAGGGCAGGAAAGTCCCTATGGTTGCTGCCAAGGAGATCATGAAGGCAACTGGCATGGCCTGGCATTCCAAGAACAAGGAGCCTGTGGTTCAAAAGTTGAGAACTCATGGGAAGAAGCTGCCTGTGGAATTGCAGCAGATGATGGCACCCAACAAAAAGGGCAATGAGCAGTGGCCATCTCCAAGCCCTGGCTCTTTGTTTCAAAGCTGTTGCTCCACAGACTGGCTCTTCCATTACTTCTCAGACCAAGCTGCCACAGATGCAGATGTCAATTCTGCATGGCTTTGTTGCCTTGCCAGGCCAGGGGCCATCTTGGCACAACAATCCACTTCATCAGTGGTCATGGTCATTGCTTCTGCAGAGTACAGCTTCTTGGGTGTGGCCATGGAGGCCAAAGTGGGCTTGACATTGGAAAGGACCTTCCACTGTGTTGTGAGGCGGGATTCCATTGGCTTCCACCACATCACAGACTTGGATGATTGGTTGGAGTTGCAGGTGGAGCCTTGCCTCACCACAGCAGGAGGAACTAGGGGCCCCATTGGTTGGCGGAAGATTGCTGAGCCTCTCACCTTGGATGCAGCTGCTTTGCTGAAAGGCATCACCTTGACATTTCTGCAGCTCAAGGATTTGGTTGTGGCATTGGGGGGCTCCAAGAAAGGCATAGCTTCCAAGAAGGCTGCCATAGAGCTCCTCATCACCATGGCCTTTGCTGCTGACAAAGTGGAAGAGGTGAAGGCAATGTATGCTGCTGAAGAGGAAGCCAGGGGTGATGAGCAGATGGACTCTGATCTCTCTGAATTGGTCTCTGAGCTTGGGCAAGATGATGCCAACACCCAAGACCTCAAAGACTTGAAGGAGAAGAAGCAGGCCTACAGACAAAAGAAAGCCCTCAAGAAGGCAGAGCAGCAGGTGCTGCTGCAGGGCAAGGAGAAGTCCAGGAAGGGCAGGGGCAAGGGCAAAGGAAAGGCCAAAGGAAAGGCCAAAGCCAAAGGAAAGGCACAGGCTAAGCCCAAGGAGGAAAAGCCCGAAACCTTCTTGGAAAGTGTCATCAGGAGGGCCAAAAAGCTGGCTGCACAAAGGGACCAAGGAGCAATGGCTGAGATTGTCAAGCAGGAAAGGCATGTGGAAATGGAGGTGGCAAAGGAGATGACTGATGATCCAGAACAGGTGAGAAAGGCTAAGGCTGCTCCTGCTGAGGAGGCTGATGTTGACATGAATGATCTATTTGGAGATGCTGTGCCAGAAGGCCCTGATGCAGGTGCAGCACCTTCTTCTTCGTCTGGGCCTCATCAAAGGGCCCCAAAGACTTACAAGTCACCTGATGACATCTTGGGCCTCCTGAACCCACCAGGCTGCAAATTCACCTTGAGTGGCATGGACCACAGGTTCAAGTCTGAGTGGGAGGATGACCTCCCTGAACTGGATCATCCATACAGCCAAAAGAGATTCTCTGCATCCTTTGCTAAAAGAAGAACTTGGCAGGATGCCCTGAGCCTTGTGCATGAGCGAAATTGGCAGAAATGGAACCTTGTGAAAGATGAGTATCTGCTGGGTGAAGGTGAGGAGCCACAGAAGCCTGGTGTGATTCCACAGGAATTGCAAGATCTTTTGCAGGTGGAAATTGCCAAGCTTGGGAAGCCAAAAACTTATGCCAAGGGTGCTGCTGAAGTAGATGACACCCAGATGGCAGAGTGAGGGCATGCAGGGTGGGCTGAATGAGCAACCTCTGTGCATAGCTGGTATTGCCAGGAACAATTGCTGCATGCACATTCGAAATTTGCACATTTGAAATTTTTGAGAGCAGCTTTGAGTGGCATGCAGGAAAGCAGCAGGAATGTCAGTGCAAAAAAAAGATGCAGTAACTTCAGTGAGACTTGCTAGGTGGGATTGCACAGAGAAGTTGGTAAACTCCATTGGGTTGGTAGACTGCCACTCTGACCCCCTTGCCCATGTTGCTGAGATGTGCTTCACCCTTGCTTGGCCCTATGCTCTTGACAAAGCAGGTGCACACAGGGAAGGGGTGTGGTGCCAAGGGCCCCTGAACCTTTAAAGGCAGAAGCTGAAACTTGGGCCACTATGTGCAAGGTGTGATTTCTGGTTGTGGAGGGGTGGTGCATTGAAACAATGCCACACTACTGGCAAATTGCCCAATAGGTTTGGCAACCCTCATGAGCTCAACAAAGGGGTGCCCATATCCATTCACACATTCAGAAATGTAAATGTATATAATGTAACTTTGGTGTATGGAAGGGTTTGTGAACCCATGGATGGACCACAGAAATATGGGGTCATCAGAATTATGGGTATGGGGATGGAGACTTGTGAGAACAGAACCATGGGGAGTTAAAGAATGACCTTCACTGTAAAGGGTTTAATGGGTGTTGGTTTATGTGAGGGAAGGAGGAGAAACAAGACCCACACTACTGACAAATTGCTCAATTGGTTTGGCAACCCTCATAGGTCAACAAAGGGTTACCCATATCTATCCATACATTCAGGGCTGTAAATGTAAATGTAAATATATATATATATATAGATGTATTGATGGGTTTGTAAACCAATGGATGGACCACATATATTTGGGGCCATGATCATGAGAACTGTGAATAAAAGGGTGGGTGCATGTGAAAACAGAACCCATGGTGGGTTCAAGAACAGCCTTCACTTTAAAGGCCATTCACCATTGGTGTAAAAGGTGTTGGTTTATGTGAGGGAAGGCACCACTGTCACTGCTGACAAATTGCACAACCCCCATGTTTCAACAAAGGGTTACCAATATCTAGCCACACAATCAGGGGTGTAAATGTATATATAGGTGCATTGATGAGTTTGTGAGCAATGGGTGGGCCACAGAAACATGGGGTCATAAGACTTATGGTTATTAGGATGGGGACTTGTAAGAACAGCTATGGGAGTTAAAGAATGGCCTTCACTGTAAAGGACACCCCACCATGTGTTAATGGGGTCAACAAAGGGATGCCCACATCTATCCATACATTCAGGGGTGTAAATGTATATAGGTGTATGGATGGTTTGTGAATCATATGGACCACAGAAATTTGGGATCATCAGAATTCTGGGTATGGGGGTGGAGACTTGTGAGAACAGAACAGAACCTATGAGAGTTAAAGAATGGCTTTCACTGTAAAGGACACCCCACCATGGGTGCTAATGGGCCCAGCAAAGGGATACCCACATCTATGCACACATTCAGGAGTGTAAATGTATACAATATAATTTTGGTGTATGGATGGGTTTGTGAATCAGATGGACCACAGAAATATGGGGTCATCAGAATTCTGGGTATGGGGATGGAGACTTGTGAGAACAGAACCATGGGGAGTTAAAGAATGACCTTCACTGTAAAGGGTTTTGATGGGTGTTGCTGTATGTGAGGGAAGGCCACACTACTGACAAATTGCACAATTGGTGTGGCAACCCTCATGGTTAACAAAGGGTTACCTATATCTGTCCATACATTTAGGGCTGTTTATTATTATACATGGAGTACATATATTATATATATAGTGTATGAGGCAGAGACTGACTGCTGAACCAGGAGGACATGTGGGCTCAGCAGTATATCAGCCAGATGAAAGGAGAGGGGCTGGATTCATGGCAGGGTTGGCATGGCCATGTCACTGTACAATATGTCTTACAAACTCATGTGCTGGCCTTGCTGCCTTAGGTGGACAGCTAGTATAAAACAACAGCCCCAGGACTACCTGAAGGGCATTGGCAAGCTGTGCAACTTTTGGAGCAGCAACTTCAAAAGGGAGGCTGCCAAGTGGTTTGGCAGTGTATTGACATTATTTGTGTTGATGTTTTAAATTGCAGGGGATGCATATGAACTTTTTTTTTGGCTATGGGGTGTTTGTTGTGGTTGAAATATTTGGTGCACAGAGAGCCTTCAGGGCTGCATCACTTGATCAGGCCTTCAGTAACTTTATCCTCAGAAAGCCAGGCCACTGCTTAGGGCTGGCCAAGGGTGAAGGATACATATACATTGCTTACTGAACAATTAGTTTACTGGAAGCATGACATGTTGATATGAGCCATATTTCACAACATTTTGTGGCCACAGTACAGAAAGCCTTGGGCAGGCATCTACTTGGGTCATGAAGGGGCAGCACTGCAACTTAACTTGGTGGGGGTGTGATATTGCTTTTGCAATTATCTTTGAAATCAACTAGGGTGGGGTGAGCTATTTGTTTACTGTGCTAGGCCAAAGCTAAATCTACATGGGGGTCAAATATGCAGCCAATGGTCTTTTGGGGTTCAAATTGGAGAAAATCAAGCAAATGAGTTTGGCAGTTGGGGCATCTGAGGCATTTGTCAGCACTTATGCTGGCTCAGAAACCTGGCCACAACCCAGGCAGCAAAATTTGCTTGAAGCTTTTGGCCAAGCTGCACAGGGGCAACCACAGATGGGACAGCTGCAGCAGCAACCAGCACAATCACAAGGTGGCCAGCAGATGGGCCAGCCAACACAGCACCCACCACAACATGGGCAGATGGGCCAGCCACCACAGCAGCAACAGCTACAAGTGTTTGGGCAGCAGCCACCACTACAAGGACCATGCCCAAGCACACAGCAGATGGTCCAGCCAACACAGCAACAGCCCCAAGTTTTGGGGCAGCAGCAGATGGGTCAGCCACCACAGCAGCAAGTCTTTGGGCAGCAGCAGCCACCACCACACAGTGGCCAAAGCACACAGCAGATGGGCCAGCCACCACAGCAGCAAGTCTTTGGGCAGCACCAGCCACAAAGCACACAGCAGATGATGGGCCAGCCAGCACAGCAACAGCCCCAAGTCTTTGGGCAGCAGCCACCACCACAGAATGGCCACAGCACACAGCAAATGGGTCAGCCACCACAGCAGCAACAGCCCCAAGTCTTTGGGCAACAGCCACCACCACACAGTGTGCATCCAAGTCTTTGGGCAGCAGCCACCACCACACAGTGGCCAAAGCTCAGAGCAGATTGGCCAGCCACCACAGCAGCAACAGCCCCAAGTCTTTGGGCAGCAGCCACCACCACACAGTGGCCAGCCCTCACAGCAGATGGGCCAGGCACCACAGCTCTTGGTGCATCAGATGTGGCAAGTGGCTTGGCTGCACATCCACTGGGTGGCTGCTTTGTTGAGGTTGCCACTGTTGAACAATCAGTTGCATATATATATATATACACATGTATATATATATACATGTATATATATATATATACATATATATATACACATGTATATATATATACATGTATATATATACATATATTAAACACATGCATCTGCAATGAAAATAAAGCATGGGGAATATAAATAAACTGCCAGCTATGTTGTTTGCCCATTGCAGCATGGAATGAACCATGTGTACAGTGTTACAATTATGGTATCAGTGAACCACAAGGCATGGCAATGATATGGGGGTGGTGTGTTTTCACCTGTTGTTTGGGCCTGATGGGCCACAGAGAGTACTAGTTAACAGTTTGCAGCCACACAAGCCTGGTGTGTGTGTGTCTATCTGTATGTGTATATTATATGCATGGGTTTGTGTGTGTGTGTATGCTTGTGGTTGGTTGCATGTTGGGCTGGGTGCCTGTTTGTGTGTTTGTTTGTAGGCTTGTTTGTGTGCTTGCTTTTGTTTTATGCTTGTCTTGTGTGTCTCTGTGTGGCTTTGTCTGTCACTGTGTGCTTCTGGGTCTCTGTGAATCCCTTTGTATGGTTTGCTTTTGATTTGTGTGTGTGCCTGTGTGTCTCTCAGGATGTCACTGTGGCCTTCTGTGTCCTTGTTTGTTTGGGTGCCCTGTGCATCTCTGTGTGTCTATGGGGGTCTTTGAGTGTCTGTTCTGTGTGTCTCTGTGTTGCTGGGAGTGTGCCTGTGTATGTGTGTGTGTCTTTGCATGTCTCTGTGTGTCTGTGTAACTCTGTGTATCTGTGTGTGCCTCTGTGTGTGGTGTAGGGTAGGGGCTAAGGTGCCAGCCAGCATGTGCCCAAGTGGCCACAGTAGTAGTCACTAGGGCCAGCTTAGTAGAGGGTTACATCACCCAGCTTGTATATGTATATGTATATGTATAGGGATATGTATATGTATAGGTACAGGTGTAGGTATATGCATATGCATATGTATATGCATATGTATATGAATATTTACATGTACATGTATATGGATATGTATATGTACATGTATATGTATATGTATATAACTCTGTGTGTGGTGCATTTATCAATGGTGGTTATGTGCCTGCAATACCAATCTTGACTGTCCTGATGATATGGGCAAACAGGTTCTGCAAAGTTGCTATGGCCAAGAGCAAGGGCAACTTGGCTGCCTACAAGGCTGTTTCTGAGAAGGTGATGTGCAGCTGCAACACTGCTTCAACCTTTGGTCCATGGGCTCATTGCTACCCTTGGTGAGATGAGCACTGCCAGGCCTGCCAGCTTGCACAGGCTTTGTTCCACAGTGGCTAGATGCATGCCACCTTTCAACCCCATGATTCTTAGTGCAGGTAACTTATAATATAGCCAGTGCTGAATTGGAGTTGTGATCTGCAAACCCAGGTTGGTAGCTAATTTACTTGTCCACCATTCAGCAGGCCTGGTGATGACCACAGCTGCACTGTGACACTGTGCAACTCAAGGCTCAAACTGGGTTGGTGACCTGTTGTTTCTGTTGTTTCTGTTGTTGTTGTTGTTGCTGTTGTTGTTGGCCTGCCTGCCTGCTTTGCCTCATGATGGTAGAGGAGCAGCATGTGGCTGAGGGCCAGTTGGCTGCACCAGCCCTTTCAGAGTGCATTGAGGTGGTTGCACCTGGGGAAGCTGGCCAGACAGGCCAGAAGGCATTCACTTTGCCATATGGTGTGTGCACTTTGCCAGACTTACAGCAAAGGGCCTACATCAACAAAGATGGCAAAGCTGAATGGGTTTGGGCCAGGGTGCACAGCTACTGCCAGATCCAGAAGGAACCTGGCAGAATGCTGATGCACAGCAAAGATGCACTCCTGAAAGAGCTGGGAGAGCTTCAGGTGCCTGAGGCTGGCCTCCATTACAGGGGCATGGACACACCAGCTGGTGAGTCTGACTGGAAGGACCACACTTTGGAATCCTCAACTTTGCTTGGGGCCTTGGTGTACCTCTCCAAATTGAGACAACTGAAGGAAAATGCAAAAGTCAAAGCCATGAAGCTCCTGTTGGAGCTGGCAGGGAAAGCCTTGCCATTTGCCAACCTACAGCAGCCAGTGCCTGCCATGCTCCAAAGGCCTACTGGCCCCATGGCAAGTGCCCAGCTCTTCTTCACACCCCAGGGCCTGACACAGGATTGGGGCAAGTTGCTGGCACTGTCACCAGGGGGTGCTGAGCTGTGGAAAAGGCTTGGAACCAGGACTTGCCTGAATAGATGCATTGCATCTTCCTTGGAAAATGCAACATTCCAAGATATCCTCTTCTTCAATGCCTACCTCATGTGCCACCCCAAGGTGAAAGGAAGGGGCCAACTGCTCTGGACTGCAATTGGTTCCACTACCTTGCCTGAGCTGGTCTTCCACCTAGGCACCTGGCTGGATGCCTATGCTCTTGACAAAGCAGGTGCACACCATGGGCAGTGCAAGAGGGAACTTGAGCCCTGCCCCAGCAACCCAGCTGCACTGGGATTCTGAGTGCCACAGCATGGCCATGACCAGGCTTTGAGATTCCAGCCTTGTCTTGGCTTGCTTTGGTTCTTGGCATCTTGTTGCAGGTCTTGCTTGCTTGGGCATGGCTTGAGCCCTTTGGACTTAGCCATGGTGGTGAACACTGTGCTTGCCTCTGGCATTGGCAGTCCTTGTCTCCTCTTGGCTTGCCTTGGTGCTTGCCACCTTGGTGCAGGTCTTGCTTGCTTGGGCATGGCTTGAGCCCTTTGGGCTTAGCCATGGTACCCAATTATCCAATTAATGGACAATTGATAATTGTATAATCTATTTGTTGAATATTAACTATCATTGGTTTGTCCATTATTTAGTATTCACATTATCCCAATAATTATTTCAATTTTCCCCATTATCCCCAGTATCCCATTGACATTGCCCTCTGGTGATTAAACATAGCTATTGAAAATGGCCCATAGAAATAGTTGATTTATCCACTAAAACTGGTGATTTTCAACAGTTATGTTAGTTTACCTGAGGGTAACCATCATTTGATCATGGGATAAAAAAACTGGGTTAAATATGTCTTCTTAGTCATGGATTATTAGTCATGGAGTTTAAGATGATCATTAAGCCATCAAGCATACTTTACCAGAGGGTAACCCCAGTCTTACTAACATTATCCCATAAAACATGATAAAACCATGGCTTTTATCCATAGTTATCCCAGGGTAAACCTCCATTTTCCTATGTTTTTCCTATGCTTTTCCTATGGGTCCCATGGTGTTTTTGTTGCCATCCCTTGGGATCCGGATCCCTCGGAGGCCGGAAAGCTGGCGGTGGCCTTCGCGGAGCTGCTCCTGGAGATCCAAAACGCGCGGAGTGCAGGTGGGGGCTGGAGATGGGCATATACCCTCTGGTAAACATACAAAAAACTATGGAAAATCAATGAAAATCACCATTTTTCATGGGAAAATCCACTATTCATGGCCATTTCCAATAGCTATGTTAGTTTACCAAAGGGTAAGTTTTATGGGGTTATTTGCGTACCATAAACCATCGTGAAATTGGAGTTATAAACCACCTGCACTGGGGACTTCTTCATCATAGTCTGGAGAATTTCACTAACAAAATTAGACTTAAATGATGATGAAAGAACAACATAAAACTATGGGAGGGAAAGTATGTGGACACTATGTAATTATGTATATATATATATCTATATATATAAGGGTAAAAAAAAAGGGATAACAACAGGGATAGAATGGGATCCACCCATTCCGAATGGGATCCTGCTTTTCCAGGATCCAACGTGGTGGCTCCTCGGGACTTCAAACGAATCTTCTCCGACTTCAAACCTCAGTTTGCTGGCTGGAAACAGCAGGATCCGCGGAAAATGGGTGATGTCATGGGAGATCACCCAGCGCTGATGGGTGATTTGCTGGGATTTCACCAACCAAAATGGCGATTCTAATGCTGTTTTAGTGGAGATTTTACCCAACCAACATGGTTTAAACGAGATTAACTCAGTTCAGATGGGAATTCGGGCTAGCCCAAAACCTCAATTTTGATCATGGTTGTTTTTTTCGTTCGGAGAATCATAGATTTGTGTATCGCCCATCTTTGGGCAAAACCAGATGACGAAAAGTGTGTCTGGAAATTCGATTTTGTCCAGCTGATTGTAAGATATAATGTAGATAATCATTGTATATCCATGTCAGTGGCGGAAACCAGGCCGCCAAAATATGTTGTCACTTTAACTTCCATTTTGTTCAATCACGAGCTTCATCACGATGTTCTTTAAGGGCAAAGTGTTAAACGTGCTCAAGGCTGGCATGATTTGCAGATGCTTCAATCCACATGTAAGGCCATTTGATGATAAAAAATCATTCTTCATTTCTGATCATCTTAAATCCGACGAATGATAAAAACTATCCTAAACCATCTTAAATCATTATTCTTATCATCTTAAATCCCAATGAGAAATGATCAAAACTATGCTTAATGATGGCTGCATCATCATCTTAAACCCCATGACTAAAAATCGCATGACTGATCAGACATATTTGACCCATTTTATCCCGTGATCAAATGATGGTTACCCTCTGGTAAACGAATACAACTCTGGAAAATCACCATTTATGATAGGTAAATCAACTATTTTTCGATGACCATTTTCAATAGCTATTTGACATTTGCCCAGAGGGTAAATCTTTGCTTCACCAAGGATGCTACTTCAAGAGGGGTTTTCTTCAGGGCCAATTTGGCCATATCAAAGGCTAAGAAAATCCCAGAATTTGCAACCCTGCTAAATTTGGGATTTTTCTAGCCTTCCTCTCACATTTGCCAGCTTCTTTGCAGCCTTTTGGCTCCAGTTGGTTTTCAAAGGGACCCCAGGCAGAATGCCATCGAGAAAGAAGAGGGGGAGACCTGGTTACAAGAACCTGCCATATGACTGGCAAAACCCCATGCATCAGGCAATTCCTCCTTGGGTGAAACCTTGGCTGGGAGGCTATGGCCAACAGCCAGAGGAACAGGATGATGATGATGAGGAGGAGGAGTCCAGCTCCAGCAGCAGGGCCAAGTCGTCTAAGAGGATGCATGGCTTGAACATGAGCTATCATAGATTTAGTAGGAAGTAGACTGTTAGGGGCAGTTGGGGGTTCTGAAGCTAGTGGTACAGCAGCAGCATCATTGTTTGAAATTGTACCTGGAACTATTGCAAGAGGTGGCACTTAAGGTTCATCACTTTTCAACTTCCAAGATTCTAGGTTTGAATCTCCTTGTTTCCCTGTTTTGAAATTGCTTGGTTGAAAGTAAATCAATGATTCATCATTTGACAATTTGTGGGGAAACCTGGGTGCAGCAGCTTGGCATCAGGAAGGAGAAGAAATCCAAGGACAAGAAGAAGGTGAAGAAAAGGAGAAAAGAAAAGGTAAGAAGGATAAGGACAGCAGCAGTGGTGAGTCAAGTTCAGATTCTGACACCATCCCATCGCAGCTAGCACAAAATTAGCCCAACACCCTGAACATCTTATTTGGCATTTGTTCATCATGGCCTGCTCAGTACATGAAAACTATTGATGAACTATTGCACCATGACATTAGAAAACATGTTTCTTGGTTCTGTTGTGTGTAGAGCCATTCATTCAATGCATTGCCATGGATTGTGTTGGCAACATCATGATTGCTAACCAACCAATTTGGCATGGAGTTTCTTTGCTTTGCCATTTTCCTGCCACTGTTTTACATCCAAGGCATTGGGTGCACCTGGGCCCAGAATGGGGTGAGACCAAAGAGGGCTTCAGGTGTACAAACAAGAAGAACTCAGTGCCCAGAAATCCAAAGTTGAAGTGGCTGGCAGCAATTGACAAGGAGAGATACCCACCTAGTTACTTGCTTGGCCATATCAAGGTTTTGGTATTGGATAGTGGTTTGCAAAGTCTGTTTGGCTAGAGTGTTTTAAGGTTTTGGTTTGTGGAAGATTGGGTGTCCAGCAATTGGGTGAGACAGCTTCCTGAGGCACCACTTGCATGCTCAGTGAACTCCAACTAGAGCAGCTGCTTTGGTGCTTGACTGGGCTTTCCCCTAAGATTTCTGTGAAAGACTTGGATGTGAAGACCAGATGTGAGTTGACCCTTGGCTGGACTCAGAACCTGCTAGGATTCAGAACATGGTGGAAGTACCTTGGGGGGCCAGTACCTTATGTAAAAATAGTTTATGATAGAAATTGCTTGGGACATCTTCAATGGAGGTGGGGCTTGGGTGGGGGTGCCTGGCTTTGCTCAGGAAGCAGCTGATCAAGGACCAGGCACAGAGGATTGAGAAGCAGCACCAAGGGAAGAGAGCAGAGAGCATTGCTGTTCCTTGGCAAGGGTCAGGTGGGTGGTTCACTCCATCCCATATTGTTTGGGCATACTAGGCATTTCCAGCATGCATGCAGCCCTTTCCATCTGATTGATTCACCACCCAGCCCTATACCAATTCAATCATTTATGGGTTGACTTATGTTGAGCTGCAATGTGGCCAAGGAAGACTTTTCCAATTTGGATGAATACTCAAATCAGCTGGGCTGGTATAATTTGTGGAAGAAGACTTCCAAGAAGATACTTGGTTGCACCTAAACACAGGTTTGGCATATTTGGTATATGGATGCTGTTCCTTTTGGGTGGCAGGGATGTGCATTAAAAAAATAATAATTCAATAAGCTGCATTCTGTCACAATTTGAGCCTTACCTTAGTTCCATGTGCCAAATCACCAGCCAAGGGGAGCAGACCAGCAAGACAGTCCTCCCCCACCTTCTGTCTTTCAGAAGTACAGCAAGATCAAAGGGTGCCTTGGCTCTCATGTCATGCACTGGCATCACCAATCAAAGTTCAAAGCTTGTAGTGTTTGGGTAATCACAGGTAACTATTTTGGAACATTGTTCTAAGGTTTAATAATTCATAATAATTCATAATCCAACCATTTTGTGAAAACTTTGGCCAGCACTTCTCAGAGCTCATGGGAGGCCCAATGGAGAGCTTGAAGTATGCCATGTGGAGAGGGGCATGAAGGTGGTGGTGGGCCCACCACATGCTCCCATTGCCTTGGCCTACAGAAACTCTTGCTACTACTTGAAGCTGGCAGAGACAAGCAAGACTTCTGAGAAGCTTGGAGGCATTGCAAACTGGTAGGTGGTAATTCAAGTGTAGGCATGGCATGGAAGTAGGCTTGCAGGTTGCAGCAGGCACTGATAACTATGGTTTGGAAGGGAAAACCCATTTCATTATTCAAATTGTTTCACCTGGTGCCTTTCCATACTGGTTTCTTTGGGGCCTGCCCCACTAGCCATCCCAGGGTGCTGATGAAAGCAGATGATGTGTTTGAGCATGCTGATGGTGTGCAAGCTTGGTATGCCAAAGTGGACACTTTGCTGGAAAAATGTTTTGGCTTATGGTTTGCAATTTGTAATAGCTGAATGAATGAGTGGCAGGGGGGCTGGGGTATTAACACCCTTGGCAGCACACTGAGCTATGCAATCTGAAAGCATTGCAACCCTTGGCTTTTGTTGAGTTGCCAGCCCTAGCAATGCAATAGATTATTAAAAGTGTTGTAATAAGTGTTTGTAAGTGGACCTTTGTTTATTTCATTGAGATCCATTGGGGGGTTCTCCAGCAAGCCAGTGCATTGAGGCAGAGACTGCACTGCTGAACCAGGAGCTCAGCAGTATATCAGCCAGATGAAAGGAGAGGGGCTGGAGGGTTCATGGCAGGGTTGGCATGGCCATGTCACTGTACAATTGTTTGTGTGCATGTCTTACAAACTCATGTGCTGGCCTTGCTGCCTTAAGAAGGTGGACAGCTCACAAGCCAGTATAAAACAACAGCCCAGGACTACCTGAAGGGCATTGGCAAGCTGTGCAACTTGCAAACTTGGAGCAGCAACTGCCATCAAAAGGGAGGCTGCCAAGTGGTTTGGCAGTGTATTGACATTATTTGTGTTGATGTTTTAAATTGCAGGGGATGGCAACCCAGCAATATGAACTTTTTTTTGGCTGGGACATGTTGTGGGGTGTTTGTTGTGGTTGTAAATATTTGGTGGCCCAGGCCAAGCAAGCACAGCTGAGCCTTCAGCAGCTGCATCACTTGCATCAGTGCCTTCAAGTAACTTGAGTAGGGCTTCCTCAGAAAGCCAGGCCACTGCTTCCACAGGGCTGGCCAAGGGTGCAGCCAGGAACTCCCCTTCCATATCACCACTGGGATACATATACATGGTGCTTACTTGGTGTACAAATATAACAATAAGTAGTTTGGGGACACTGACACTCACTTAAATGACATAATTAAATATATAATAGTAGACAGGACAAAAGGGTTGTGGTATGTTGGGCAGCTTTTTTTTAAAAAAATAATATGAGCCATATTTCACAACATTTTGTGGCCACAGTACAGAAAGCCTTGGGCAGGCATCTACTTGGGTCATGGAGGGGCAGCACTGCCCACCAGGACCAGCAACTTAACTTGGTGGGGGTGTGATATTGCTTTTGCAATTATCTTTGAAATCAACTAGGGTGGGGTGAGCTATTTGTTTACTGTGCTAGGCCAAAGCTAAATCTACATGGGGGTCAAATATGCAGCCAATGGTCTTTTGGGGTTCAAATTGGAGAAAATCAAGCAAATGAGTTTGGCAGTTGGGGCATCTGAGGCATTTGTCAGCACTTATGCTGGCTCAGAAACCTGGCCACAACCCAGGCAGCAAAATTTGCTTGAAGCTTTTGGCCAAGCTGCACAGGGGCACCCACAGATGGGACAGCTGCAGCAGCAACCAGCACAATCACAAGGTGGCCAGCAGATGGGCCAGCCAACACAGCACCCACCACAACATGGCCAACACACAGCAGATGGGCCAGCCACCACAGCAGCAACAGCTACAAGTGTTTGGGCAGCAGCCACCACTACAAGGACCATGCCCAAGCACACAGCAGATGGTCCAGCCAACACAGCAACAGCCCCAAGTTTTGGGGCAGCAGCAGATGGGTCAGCCACCACAGCAGCAAGTCTTTGGGCAGCAGCAGCCACCACCACACAGTGGCACACAGCAGATGGGCCAGCCACCACAGCAGCAAGTCTTTGGGCAGCACCAGCCACCACCACACAGTGGCCAAAACTCACAGCAGATGGGCCAGGCACCACAGCAGCAACAGCTCCAAGTCTTTGGTCAGCAGCCACCACTACAAGATGGCCAAAGCTCAGAGCAGATGTGCCAGCCACCACAGCAACAGCCCCAAGTCTTTGGGCAGCAGCCACCACCACAGAATGGCCACAGCACACAGCAAATGGGTCAGCCACCACAGCAGCAACAGCCCCAAGTCTTTGGGCAACAGCCACCACCACACAGTGGCCAAAGCTCACAGCAGATGGGCCAGCCACAACAGCAGCAACGGCCCCAAGTCTTTGGGCAGCAGCCACCACCACACAGTGGCCAAAGCTCAGAGCAGATTGGCCAGCCACCACAGCAGCAACAGCCCCAAGTCTTTGGGCAGCAGCCACCACCACACAGTGGCCACAGCTCACAGCAGATGGGCCAGGCACCACAGCAGCAACAGCTCCAAGTCTTTGGTCAGCAGCCACCACTACAAGATGGCCAAAGCTCAGAGCAGATGGGCCAGCCACCACAGCAGCAACAGCCCCAAGTCTTTGGGCAGCAGCCACCACCACACAGTGGCCAAAGCTCAGAGCAGATGTGCCAGCAACCACAGCAGCAACAGCCCCAAGTCTTTGGGCAGCAGCCACCACCACACAGTGGCCAAAACTCACAGCAGATGGGCTCTATGCACCACAGCCAGGCAACACGGCTCAAGTCCTTGGCTCAGCAGCCACCTACTGACAAATGCTCAAGCTCAGAGCCTAGGGATGGCCAGCCAACTACAGTCACCAGCTGCCCAAGTCTTTGGGCAGCAGCCACCACCCCACAGTGGCCAAAGCTCACAGCAGATGGGCCAGCCACCACAGCAGCAACAGCCCCAAGTCTTTGGGCAGCAGCCACCACCACACAGTGGCCAAAGCTCACAGCAAATGGGTCAGCCACCACAGCAGCAACAGCCCCAAGTCTTTGGGCAGCAGCCACCACCACACAGTGGCCAAAGCTCAGAGCAGATTGGCCAGCCACCACAGCAGCAACAGCCCCAAGTCTTTGGGCAGCAGCCACCACCACACAGTGGGCAAAGCTCAGAGCAGATTGGCCAGCCACCACAGCAGCAACAGTCCCAAGCCTTGGGGCAGCAGATGCAAAGCACACAGCAGATGATGGGCCAGCCATCACAGCAGCAGGAGACCCAAGTCTTGGGGCAGCAGCCACCACAAGGTGGCCAGAAGACACCAGAGCAGCAACCAGTACAGCAGCCTGAGCAGAGTGCCACAGAAGAGCCAGGCCATGGCCAACAGCAACCACCTGGGCAGACACCACAACAACACATAGAGCAGACAGGGCAGCAGAGGCAGCAACAAGATGGTCAAAGCCCTGTGCCACAGCCACAGCAGCAGCAGCAGCAGCAGCAGCAGCAGCCTGCTGACCAAGCTGTGCCACAACCTATTCAGCAGGTGGGCCAACAAGCACCAAAGCAAAGTGGCCAGCAGCCAGATGCCACACAGAATAACCAGCAACCTGAGCAGGCTGCACAACAGCCACCTGCAGATGGCCAGCAGAACCTGCAGCAGGATGCAAAAAGCAACAGGTGGGCCACCTACAGACTGAGCAGCCACCACAGCAGTCTGCAGCAGGACAGACTGAACAGACTGACTCACAACAGCCACAAGCTTCTGCCTCTCAGATTGGCCAACCACCAGGCCTTGGTGATGGCCCTAAGAAGCCTGGTGATGGCCAAGTGAAGACACATGGTACTGCAGGGGCTGCAGAGGCAGCCAGGGAAGCAGGTCCCATGACAAAAGAATGTAGAACAGAATGGGTTTGCAGCTTAAGGCAAAAACAGTTATATTATAAAGTGCAGCATGGCAGTTGGGGATGGTAAAGGTCTAGGTGGGTTCAGCTTCTGTTAAATAGTATGTTGTCAGAAGTGTGGATATTGAAGCCCTGCTCCATTACATGTTAATGTATTGGCTGTGCTGGGGGAATGTAGCAAAGGTACTATTGCAATATTGGGGGGTGGTTGGTTGGATGGGTGCTTTTATAATAGTGTTTGGTGTTGGAACCTTTGACTCAGGTGAAGCCTTCAGCTCTGATGCACTTCAACTAGCCAAAAAGAGGAGACAAGAAGCTGCAGTGCCTGTGCTGAATCACTGGTCCTGGTGGCAGTGCTGGGCTGCACCATAGTCCACACCATACCTTCACACCAATCATAGTCACCCATGGCAGTGCTTGTATCACCCACACTGATTAAGTAGGCAGGTATGTCATGAGTGTCCTGGTGCCCAGGCAAAAGCCTAAAACAAGAAGTCCAAGGACAATGCAGTGGTGATTGACAGCTGAGCATTTGGGGGGGTCCACATATGACATAGCTGACTGGAATGGCAGAAGGCTGGCTTGCAAAAAATGCACACCATTCCACTCATAAGCCATACTGGCCTATACTTACCCCCAAGGTCTAGTGGTACAGGCTATACATTCAGGCCATCATCACTGTTGTGGGTGCAAGCCTAGCCAGGCCACTATAACCATCAGTGTTTCTGGCAGCCTGGAATGGCAGCAATGTAGCCTAGGGCTATTTAGATCAGGGCAAGGCTTGGGTTTGGTGGGCTGGCAGGGTGTCATTCCCAGAACAAATGTGACATAATAGTAAAGCCCCCAATGGGTCCATTCAATGAAGGTTGCTTTAGCATGGTGTGTTGGTTAGTGAGTGGGTGTTCTAAGTTCTGACTGGTGATTCAGGCCTGGCCCTTGTCACAATACCATTAAATATCTTTTGGGCACCAGGTGTGGCAGAGCAAGGGTCACATGAGTGCAAAAACAAAGGCAGCAGTCACTGGGGTGCAGGGCAGGGTGGGTCTTGAGAAGCTGGGTTTGAGTCTGAAATGTTGCTTAATTTGGTTGGGGTGTGATTAGTTTTGTTTGGGGTAGCTGTGCAGGTTCTAGTTGATGTGATGCTGTTACCAAAAATACAGCATAGTGGAAGCCTGGGGCTGGTACTTCTAGGGAGCTTCTGGCGTGGTGGCATGTGGATGGGGGGCAAAGCTGGTTGTTAGATGCATGTCACCATCAGTGTGTGGCCCAGCTTGGTTTGCACTTGATTTGTACTTGGTGTACACTTGGCTGCTTGGCAAATGGTGGTGGGTGAGTGGGCTGGACAGAACCACCCCCTATACTTACTAGTTTTTTGTTTTGGTTTTTGGGGCCAGCAACTTATTTTGATTTGTATGATGCATGGGTGTGATGTGGCTTTGTTTGGTGCATAGTATGATGCATGGGTGTGCTTGTTTGTCTAGTGGTATGACCTGTGCCCATGTCCAGCCCACAAGTGTGGAGTCATGTGTGGTGCCAAGGACCCCTGAACCTTTAAAGGCAAAAGCTGAAACTTGGGCCACTATGTGCAAGGTGTGATTTCTGGTTGTGGAGGGGTGGTGCATTGAAACAATGCCACACTACTGGCAAATTGCCCAATAGGTTTGGCAACCCTCATGAGCTCAACAAAGGGGTGCCCATATCCATTCACACATTCAGAAATGTAAATGTATATAATGTAACTTTGGTGTATGGAAGGGTTTGTGAACCCATGGATGGACCACAGAAATATGGGGTCATCAGAATTATGGGTATGGGGATGGAGACTTGTGAGAACAGAACCATGGGGAGTTAAAGAATGACCTTCACTGTAAAGGGTTTAATGGGTGTTGGTTTATGTGAGGGAAGGAGGAGAAACAAGACCCACACTACTGACAAATTGCTCAATTGGTTTGGCAACCCTCATAGGTCAACAAAGGGTTACCCATATCTATCCATACATTCAGGGCTGTAAATGTAAATGTAAATATATATATATATAGATGTATTGATGGGTTTGTAAACCAATGGATGGACCACATATATTTGGGGCCATGATCATGAGAACTGTGAATAAAAGGGTGGGTGCATGTGAAAACAGAACCCATGGTGGGTTCAAGAACAGCCTTCACTTTAAAGGCCATTCACCATTGTTGTAAAAGGTGTTGGTTTATGTGAGGGAAGGCACCACTGTCACTGCTGACAAATTGCACAACCCCCATGTTTCAACAAAGGGTTACCAATATCTAGCCACACAATCAGGGGTGTAAATGTATATATAGGTGCATTGATGAGTTTGTGAGCAATGGGTGGGCCACAGAAATATGGGGTCATAAGACTTATGGTTATTAGGATGGGGACTTGTAAGAACAGCTATGGGAGTTAAAGAATGGCCTTCACTGTAAAGGACACCCCACCATGTGTTAATGGGGTCAACAAAGGGATGCCCACATCTATCCATACATTCAGGGGTGTAAATGTATATAGGTGTATGGATGGTTTGTGAATCATATGGACCACAGAAATTTGGGATCATCAGAATTCTGGGTATGGGGGTGGAGACTTGTGAGAAGAACAGAACCTATGAGAGTTAAAGAATGGCTTTCACTGTAAAGGACACCCCACCATGGGTGCTAATGGGCCCAGCAAAGGGATACCCACATCTATGCACACATTCAGGAGTGTAAATGTATACAATATAATTTTGGTGTATGGATGGGTTTGTGAATCAGATGGACCACAGAAATATGGGGTCATCAGAATTCTGGGTATGGGGATGGAGACTTGTGAGAACAGAACCATGGGGAATTAAAGAATGGCCTTCACTGTAAAGGGTTTTGATGGGTGTTGCTGTATGTGAGGGAAGGCCACACTACTGACAAATTGCACAATTGGTGTGGCAACCCTCATGGTTCAACAAAGGGTTACCTATATCTGTCCATACATTTAGGGCTGTATATGTGTATATACATGGAGTACATATATTATATATATATATATATATATGTATGTATAGGTGTATTGATGGAGTTTTGAACCAATGGATGGACCAAAGATATCTGCTCATATATTTGTTTATGTTGTTAATTTAATATTTTTAGATAGATAGATATATATATATATACATTTTTTTGCATTTATACTTATTTATGTGTGTGTTTTTATGGTTTGTTTTTTTTGTGGTTTTGATAATTGCTTATTTCTAGTATGTATATATATATATATATATACATATTTATATATTATACATCTATGGCATGATGTATAGTATGGCTTCAATGCCTGCAGTATTAAAGATGTGGCTATCAATGTGTTGGTTTTATATTTAAAAGGGGCTCATCCAACTGTAAGCTGAGGGGTGTGAAATGTGAAGATACAAATTTGGATGATGTAGGCCATGGAAAAAGAACACCCCAAAAGTGGGAATGCAACCAATGTAAGGAACAGTATGAAAACATGGTAAAACACTGCACCCTGATAGCAAAAAAAAAGTAAATTTAAAATTTGGGCAGCATTCCCCCCTAGAAAGGGCATAAATGGGAAAGCAAATGATGGACACCCAGAGTGCAATCCCCAAAATTGGGAAAAATTAGGATAAGTTGGGAAAAATCTAGGATAAGTTGGGATTTTTTAAGGATAAGTTGGGTTTTTTTTAGGCTAAGATGGGAAAAACTGGGAGGCTAGGGGGATAAGTTGGGAATGAGTGGGAAATGATGGGAATACAGTGGGAAGCACATAGCCAATAAAGGAAAACTATGGGAATCCCAAGAAAAGCCAACCATTTCCCATGGATACCCAATGCAAGACCAATGATATAGGCACCACAGACATGTGTAGGAGTGGCATATCATAAGTGAAACTGGTGGTGTTACACAAAGATTTGAACCTTGAAAGCCATGTGGCCCAGGACCTGTCCCTGTCATGGCTATGGCAAGCTCCAGTGATGGCCAGTCAGTTCAAGACTGGGATGGCAATTGGGAGGGGTGGCAGTGGCAGTGGCAGGCAACTGCCTCTGGTCATTGGACAAAGGTGTGGACCAAGACTAAGGAGGCTGAGAAGGATGTCGCTGATAAAGAGCCAGAGTCAGAGGGAGAGGTAGATATCCCTATGGAGCCAGCAGACACTGATGGCACAGAGTCTGAAACCAGCTCCAAAGACTCAGGGTCAGGGCACCCAGTTTGTTGCAGTCACTGTGTGAGGTGGCACTGTGTAGGCACCACACATGTGATATAGTGTAGCTGTACCAACAAACCCTTGGCCACACCTATTCTTTGTTTGCTCACACATGCTCTTTTTTTTTGCAGCCTTGGCCACATGAGGCACCAAGACCTCAGGGACATTGAGGACCTGAACAGCTACCAGTTGTCCAGAGACTTGTTCTGGGAGGCTGAGAAGAGAGTGAGGTACACCAGTGTGGGCCTAACCCCCTATGAGATTCACTGCTTGATGGGAAGACCTGCATGAGGAGTATGCACACCATGGTAAGAAGGTGGTGTCATTGTTTGGCAAACCCAAGGGGGCTGGCCAAGCAGTGAAGGCCTTGCTGAACTTGTTTAGGAAGCAACATGATTGGGGCCAAGGGGAGATGGTGAAAGTTGACACAATCCACTTTTCTGTCCTGAAGCACCAGTTGGTGGTGGCATGGTCCCAATTATATGATGACATGGAAGGAATGAGGCTGAAGTTGAACCATCCAGAAAAGGGTGTGGTGTGTGATTGTTTCCCTGCCACAGCCTTGATGCCCATGCTGTGCATCCATTCCAAGTTCACCAGAGTCCAGATGAAGGGTGGATTTGAGCCCAACATCATGGAGACCTTGTGCCCCACCTGCTCTTGGTGCATCAGATGTGGCAAGTGGCTTGGCTGCACATCCACTGGGTGGCTGCTTTGTTGAGGTTGCCACTGTTGAACAATCAGTTGCATATATATATATATACACATGTATATATATACATGTATATATATATATACATATATATATACACATGTATATATATATATATATATATATATACATATATATATATACATATATTAAACACATGCATCTGCAATGAAAATAAAGCATGGGGAATATAAATAAACTGCCAGCTATGTTGTTTGCCCATTGCAGCATGGAATGAACCATGTGTACAGTGTTACAATTATGGTATCAGTGAACCACAAGGCATGGCAATGATATGGGGGTGGTGTGTTTTCACCTGTTGTTTGGGCCTGATGGGCCACAGAGAGTACTAGTTAACAGTTTGCAGCCACACAAGCCTGGTGTGTGTGTGTCTATCTGTATGTGTATATTATATGCATGGGTTTGTGTGTGTGTGTATGCTTGTGGTTGTTTGCATGTTGGGCTGGGTGCCTGTTTGTGTGTTTGTTTGTAGGCTTGTTTGTGTGCTTGCTTTTGTTTTATGCTTGTCTTGTGTGTCTCTGTGTGGCTTTGTCTGTCACTGTGTGCTTCTGGGTCTCTGTGAATCCCTTTGTATGGTTTGCTTTTGATTTGTGTGTGTGTGCCTGTGTGTCTCTCAGGATGTCACTGTGGCCTTCTGTGTCCTTGTTTGTTTGGGTGCCCTGTGCATCTCTGTGTGTCTATGGGGGTCTTTGAGTGTCTGTTCTGTGTGTCTCTGTGTTGCTGGGAGTGTGCCTGTGTATGTGTGTGTGTGTCTTTGCATGTCTCTGTGTGTCTGTGTAACTCTGTGTATCTGTGTGTGCCTCTGTGTGTGGTGTAGGGTAGGGGCTAAGGTGCCAGCCAGCATGTGCCCAAGTGGCCACAGTAGTAGTCACTAGGGCCAGCTTAGTAGAGGGTTACATCACCCAGCTTGTATATGTATATGTATATGTATAGGGATATGTATATGTATAGGTACAGGTGTAGGTATATGCATATGCATATGTATATGCATATGTATATGAATATTTACATGTACATGTATATGGATATGTATATGTACATGTATATGTATATGTATATAACTCTGTGTGTGGTGCATTTATCAATGGTGGTTATGTGCCTGCAATACCAATCTTGACTGTCCTGATGATATGGGCAAACAGGTTCTGCAAAGTTGCTATGGCCAAGAGCAAGGGCAACTTGGCTGCCTACAAGGCTGTTTCTGAGAAGGTGATGTGCAGCTGCAACACTGCTTCAACCTTTGGTCCATGGGCTCATTGCTACCCTTGGTGAGATGAGCACTGCCAGGCCTGCCAGCTTGCACAGGCTTTGTTCCACAGTGGCTAGATGCATGCCACCTTTCAACCCCATGATTCTTAGTGCAGGTAACTTATAATATAGCCAGTGCTGAATTGGAGTTGTGACCTGCAAACCCAGGTTGGTAGCTAATTTACTTGTCCACCATTTCAGCAGGCCTGGTGATGACCACAGCTGCACTGTGACACTGTGCAACTCAAGGCTCAAACTGGGTTGGTGACCTGTTGTTTCTGTTGTTTCTGTTGTTGTTGTTGTTGCTGTTGTTGTTGGCCTGCCTGCCTGCTTTGCCTCATGATGGTAGAGGAGCAGCATGTGGCTGAGGGCCAGTTGGCTGCACCAGCCCTTTCAGAGTGCATTGAGGTGGTTGCACCTGGGGAAGCTGGCCAGACAGGCCAGAAGGCATTCACTTTGCCATATGGTGTGTGCACTTTGCCAGACTTACAGCAAAGGGCCTACATCAACAAAGATGGCAAAGCTGAATGGGTTTGGGCCAGGGTGCACAGCTACTGCCAGATCCAGAAGGAACCTGGCAGAATGCTGATGCACAGCAAAGATGCACTCCTGAAAGAGCTGGGAGAGCTTCAGGTGCCTGAGGCTGGCCTCCATTACAGGGGCATGGACACACCAGCTGGTGAGTCTGACTGGAAGGACCACACTTTGGAATCCTCAACTTTGCTTGGGGCCTTGGTGTACCTCTCCAAATTGAGACAACTGAAGGAAAATGCAAAAGTCAAAGCCATGAAGCTCCTGTTGGAGCTGGCAGGGAAAGCCTTGCCATTTGCCAACCTACATGCTCCAAAGGCCTACTGGCCCCATGGCAAGTGCCCAGCTCTTCTTCACACCCCAGGGCCTGACACAGGATTGGGGCAAGTTGCTGGCACTGTCACCAGGGGGTGCTGAGCTGTGGAAAAGGCTTGGAACCAGGACTTGGCTGAATAGATGCATTGCATCTTCCTTGGAAAATGCAACATTCCAAGATATCCTCTTCTTCAATGCCTACCTCATGTGCCACCCCAAGGTGAAAGGAAGGGGCCAACTGCTCTGGACTGCAATTGGTTCCACTACCTTGCCTGAGCTGGTCTTTCACCTAGGCACCTGGCTGGATGCCCTTGCTTTGGCCATGAAGGAGGAGCCACTTCAGATGCTCCCCATTCTGAAGACCAAAGAAGGCAATGCCAGGCTGCTGGCAGATCCAGTGAACCGCATGCTGCTTCTGTGGAAGCTTAGGAGAAGCAAGCAGCATAGGTTGGAGATAGCTGGCACACATGGTGATCTGGGTGGCAACACCATCAGAATGATGAGGTATGAAGCATATCTGGATTGCCTTTTGCACAGCAAGGCCCTTGAGTATGCTTTCAGTGGCTACAAGCAAGTCTGTGTCTCCTGGGACCCCAGCTCCTATGGTGGCAAAGACATTTTCATTGGATGCTTGTATGTGCCACAGTGCAACCAAGCTGCATACCTCATGAGCCAGCATTTGGGTGCCACCTACCTTGGAGAATTGGATGGGTCATTGCTTGAGCTGGGCCAAGCCAGAAAACTCACCAGACTTGAGGGCTACAGGGAGGTCAAAGGCCTAAGCTCATCACTGGAAGGTGTGGGGCTGTCCTTGAAGGACTTCTTTGTGCCTGAAGGACTGGTGCTCAGGCCTTTGGCTCCCCATGAGCTCAGGATTCAAGGTCCAGGTGGGAGATGGTACATCCAAAATGAAAAGACTGGAGAGACCAAACCTGAAGCCCCAGAGGACTTTGATTTTGGGGCTCTTCCTGCTCTCATCTCCATTTCAGACCAAGGGCCAGCAAACACAGCTGCACTCAACTACTTGATGTTTAGCTCCAAGGCTTTGCTTCTGTGGTCCCTATGGGACCCTTATCACAGAGCTTGGAACGACCTCAAGTTGGCCCTCAAGCGCTGTGCTGGTGATGGGTGGAGAACAGTGCTAGAACTCACCCTGGTTGCCAATATGAACTATGGCCCATTTGGAAGTGGCAGTTGGTTTTTCAAAAAGAAAGCCAAATTGCAAGACTTCCTGATGACCAGGGATGTGAACAGTCCTGCCTGGAACAACTTCCAGCATCTTATTTGTCAAGAAAGAAGGGTTTCTGAACCCAGCAATCTGGAAGAAGCACAGGAACTGTTCACTGAGATGGCTAGCCTGCAATCCTTCAACACCAAAGGCCCATTGGTGAAGCTCATGCGCTGGTTCTCATTTTTCGAGTCAATGGCATTCCTGGATGGTGAGTTTTATATGACTAAACTCATCCTTCTCCATGCTGCTGAGAAAGCAGATGCTGGCTCAGAGGCAGAGATTGATGAGGGCTTGCCACAGGAAAAAGACCACAAGAAGGAGCTTGCAGAGCTGAAAAAACGCAAGGGCACATGGAGGTTAGCCCCAAGCCTCATCAATGGCAAATCCCTTTGCATGAAGGACTGCATCATGGCCTGTGGGAAGGCAATATGGCAGAACTTCTCTGAGAGAGCAAGGGAGGTTTGCTCCCCCATGCAGGTGAAGGAGCTGAACATAGCATGTGCTCAGAGCAGGTTCTGGGCTTGTGAGCTCTTGGACATGTTGGAATCTTCTTTGGAGGAGGAGAAATGCCTGAAGCACCTCTTTCCAGAATTCCAAGGGCATGAAAGTGCCATGACCTGGCATTGTGACCTCTTGGCCAAGCTCCTGGAGACCAGGGCAATGAGCTTGGCTGTCTTCTACCTGATGCCACCCAGCCTCTACTGCCACCTGCTGTCCTATGACCCTGAGGTGTCCAGGGAAGCACATGACTTGGCGCGGAAGCATTGGGGCATGTTGCTAGCAGCTGAGGAGGCCCATGCTGCTGGTGCAACAGTCAAGCCTTTGTCCAGCATCTACTGGAGGTTCAGCCCACTCATCAGGGCTTTGTTCATGGCTTTTGAGGAAGATGCCCGCAAGTGCCTAGTGTACACCACACAAAGTCAAGCCATGAGATTGCAGCTGCTCTTCACTCAGCACCTGGGAGATTCCAGGCTGATTGAGAACATTCACCAACATGGAAGAGATCTTTGCAGGGCCAGCAAATCCAATTCCATGTCGAATGTGAGCATTATGGCCAATGTCTTGAGATGTGGTGTACTGGAGGGCAGGAAAGTCCCTATGGTTGCTGCCAAGGAGATCATGAAGGCAACTGGCATGGCCTGGCATTCCAAGAACAAGGAGCCTGTGGTTCAAAAGTTGAGAACTCATGGGAAGAAGCTGCCTGTGGAATTGCAGCAGATGATGGCACCCAACAAAAAGGGCAATGAGCAGTGGCCATCTCCAAGCCCTGGCTCTTTGTTTGAAAGCTGTTGCTCCACAGACTGGCTCTTCCATTACTTCTCAGACCAAGCTGCCACAGATGCAGATGTCAATTCTGCATGGCTTTGTTGCCTTGCCAGGCCAGGGGCCATCTTGGCACAACAATCCACTTCATCAGTGGTCATGGTCATTGCTTCTGCAGAGTACAGCTTCTTGGGTGTGGCCATGGAGGCCAAAGTGGGCTTGACATTGGAAAGGACCTTCCACTGTGTTGTGAGGCGGGATTCCATTGGCTTCCACCACATCACAGACTTGGATGATTGGTTGGAGTTGCAGGTGGAGCCTTGCCTCACCACAGCAGGAGGAACTAGGGGCCCCATTGGTTGGCGGAAGATTGCTGAGCCTCTCACCTTGGATTTAGCTGCTTTGCTGAAAGGCATCACCTTGACATTTCTGCAGCTCAAGGATTTGGTTGTGGCATTGGGGGGCTCCAAGAAAGGCATAGCTTCCAAGAAGGCTGCCATAGAGCTCCTCATCACCATGGCCTTTGCTGCTGACAAAGTGGAAGAGGTGAAGGCAATGTATGCTGCTGAAGAGGAAGCCAGGGGTGATGAGCAGATGGACTCTGATCTCTCTGAATTGGTCTCTGAGCTTGGGCAAGATGATGCCAACACCCAAGACCTCAAAGACTTGAAGGAGAAGAAGCAGGCCTACAGACAAAAGAAAGCCCTCAAGAAGGCAGAGCAGCAGGTGCTGCTGCAGGGCAAGGAGAAGTCCAGGAAGGGCAGGGGCAAGGGCAAAGGAAAGGCCAAAGGAAAGGCCAAAGCCAAAGGAAAGGCACAGGCTAAGCCCAAGGAGGAAAAGCCCGAAACCTTCTTGGAAAGTGTCATCAGGAGGGCCAAAAAGCTGGCTGCACAAAGGGACCAAGGAGCAATGGCTGAGATTGTCAAGCAGGAAAGGCATGTGGAAATGGAGGTGGCAAAGGAGATGACTGATGATCCAGAACAGGTGAGAAAGGCTAAGGCTGCTCCTGCTGAGGAGGCTGATGTTGACATGAATGATATATTTGGAGATGCTGTGCCAGAAGGCCCTGATGCAGGTGCAGCACCTTCTTCTTCGTCTGGGCCTCATCAAAGGGCCCCAAAGACTTACAAGTCACCTGATGACATCTTGGGCCTCCTGAACCCACCAGGCTGCAAATTCACCTTGAGTGGCATGGACCACAGGTTCAAGTCTGAGTGGGAGGATGACCTCCCTGAACTGGATCATCCATACAGCCAAAAGAGATTCTCTGCATCCTTTGCTAAAAGAAGAACTTGGCAGGATGCCCTGAGCCTTGTGCATGAGCGAAATTGGCAGAAATGGAACCTTGTGAAAGATGAGTATCTGCTGGGTGAAGGTGAGGAGCCACAGAAGCCTGGTGTGATTCCACAGGAATTGCAAGATCTTTTGCAGGTGGAAATTGCCAAGCTTGGGAAGCCAAAAACTTATGCCAAGGGTGCTGCTGGAGAAGATGACACCCAGATGGCAGAGTGAGGGCATGCAGGGTGGGCTGAATGAGCAACCTCTGTGCATAGCTGGTATTGCCAGGAACAATTGCTGCATGCACATTTGAAATTTGCACATTTGAAATTTTTGAGAGCAGCTTTGAGTGGCATGCAGGAAAGCAGCAGGAATGTCAGTGCAAAAAAAAGATGCAGTAACTTCAGTGAGACTTGCTAGGTGGGATTGCACAGAGAAGTTGGTAAACTCCATTGGGTTGGTAGACTGCCACTCTGACCCCCTTGCCCATGTTGCTGAGATGTGCTTCACCCTTGCTTGGCCCTATGCTCTTGACAAAGCAGGTGCACACCATGGGCAGTGCAAGAGGGAACTTGAGCCCTGCCCCAGCAACCCAGCTGCACTGGGATTCTGAGTGCCACAGCATGGCCATGACCAGGCTTTGAGATTCCAGCCTTGTCTTGGCTTGCTTTGGTTCTTGGCATCTTGTTGCAGGTCTTGCTTGCTTGGGCATGGCTTGAGCCCTTTGGACTTAGCCATGGTGGTGAACACTGTGCTTGCCTCTGGCATTGGCAGTCCTTGTCTCCTCTTGGCTTGCCTTGGTGCTTGCCACCTTGGTGCAGGTCTTGCTTGCTTGGGCATGGCTTGAGCCCTTTGGGCTTAGCCATGGTGGTGAACACTGTGCTTGCCTCTGGCATTGGCAGTCCTTGCCTCCTCTTGGCTTGCCATTCACCAAGCCCTCCCACCCACCCTTGCTTTGCTGGTGTTGCTTTGTTGCTGCTGTTGTGGGGAGGGGTGGCAGTCTACAAACCCATTGGAGTTATTGGAGTTTGTTTTATTTTTAACATGTGTGGCAGCAATGTTTCCAAAGCCAGGGCTTGGCACAAGAACATTTTATTTGGTTTTGAGTGCCAGTGCCAGCAGGCCATCAACATGTGAAGAAACCTACATGCACCACTTCTTTGGGGTTTTGTGTTATGTAGGTGATTTGCCAATACAGTCAGTGAATTTGGCTTTGAACACACACAGTCACAAACCATTTGGGTCACCATGGGCTATGCTTGCCACCTGCAGGTGCTGTGGGCCTGATCTGATGAGTGCAGCCTGTGGCCAGTGGTAGCACTGGAACTTTTGACCTTCTGAGAGGGGTGAGCTACACAAATTTGAAACCTTAGTGGACAAACGCCATGTGACAACACTGTGGTGGACAATTGTGCTTTGAAGGGGGGAAAACTGCCTGTCAAGAATCTGGGTGAGTTGTTTGTGTGCTGAATTGGGTTTAGTGACTTAGTGACACATGCAACAGCCAAGGTTGGCTACTGAATGTTGTGCTGGCATTTTCTTTTATTTTCAGTGTGGGTTTGTTGCAAAGGGTGCCATACCTGAAGGGTGTTTCAAATTGTGAGTTTCTAGGACTTTTGAGGTCATTGCAAGGCCTTTGCACTGTTTGCACCAACCCAATGGGAATGTGATTGCATTTTCATTGGGCTGTACCTGGAATATGGGAAAGGGGTCCCTATTTTGAAAGTCAACATGTCCCTTCTGCATTTTTTTTGGGTGTTTTGGTTTATTGCAATCCCTCTGCATCAATCCAATGGAATGAAATTTGTTTTACAAGAGGAGTTTTGTATGTTGTTTTTGCAATGGGCCTGAAATATGTGAAGGGGTTCCCATTTTCAAAGCCAACATGTAATTTTTATTTTGTTTTGTTCTTTTGGTGTTGTTGCAATCCCTCTGCATCAATCCAATGAGTGACATTGTTTTTACAAGAGGGGTTTGGCATTTTGTTTGGGATAGGCATGGAATATGTGGAAGGGGTCACCATTTTCAAAACCAACATGTAACTTTTTCATTTTTGTTCTTTTGGTGTTGTTGCAATCCCTCTGCATCAATCCAAGGGGTGCTTGCTTGTGTTTTGTGCAGGTTTTTTTTAGGTTTTTTTAGGTTTTTCAAGGCAATGTTGGGATTTTTGTTGTTTTGCATAGGTTTTAATAGAAAATCATAGGAAACTATAAGTTTCATATATATTAGACCCTATGTTGAAGAAACACTCTCTTGAAGAAGCACTTCAAGAGATGCAATGAGTAAACCTCCATTTTCCTATGCTTTTCCTATGGTTTTCCGATGGTTTTCCTATGGATCCTATGATCAAATGATGATCAAATGACTGGTGAGACGTCTCACAGGACGCCCAGGAGTTCCTATCGATGTTTTTGGCTGGGCTCAGCGACATGGCTGGGAAGCTGGTGTCAAGAATGGCCGGGAAAAGCAGACAGAAGAATGGTGGTTTGGTGTGGTTTGGTATGGTTTAATTTGGGAAGACATAAATGAGACAATATAAATATGGTGGTTTGAAAAATGGTTTAATTATGGAGAATGAACTATAAATGAACTATAAATGAACATGATCCATTGCTATGTTTGATTACTGGAAGGTGCATGATGAACATTTATGCAACTGAGAAAGGTTTCAACATCAAAAACGAGGATACAACTTTCCGAGTGCCCGCAAGCTACTCTCACAAAATTATCTGGCAGAATTTGCATATCCTGCCAATTGGCAGCATCAGCCATCATTTTCTTTTGACATCAATCTCTGCAATCAACAGGAGCCACACATTGAAGGAGATGTCAGTATTCAGTTACCAAAAAAGCGACTATTCATTGTTTACAATCAACAGCTGGTTGGTGGTTTGGAACATGAATTTTATTTGTCCATTCAGTTGGGAATTTCATCATTCCCAACTGACGAAGTCATATTTTTCAGAGGGTAGGTCAAGCACCAACCAGATATTGACTTTACCGAGACGGGCCGGTTGCTGGAGATTCATCTTTTCCGATAGCGAAGTTGGTGCAGTCACTTGACTATGGTCAATATACAAACCAATAAAGCATTTGTCAATGGTTAACCATTGTTAATCCACAGTTAATGATATGTTTTTTTAGCTATGCTTAGATGTTTTATCAAAGTTATTGTAGAACTTATAACTTTTCATAATCATGGTTAATGTTAATATTGTTTTGTCTAGTATGGTAGATTTAATAATCATGGTTAATATTTTTCTTAACTATGGTAGTTTAATGACCATGGTTAATAAACCATATTATCACATAATAAACAACAGTTAATATATCTGAACTCTGAAGTTCACTGGGCTTAATTCACCATGCGCTTCGTCCATGGGCCAACTCTGGGAGGTGCAGAAGTTCCAGTCACTAGTAGTTGGTTCGATTATCCTCGCTGTAGGGGTTTATAATATATTTATATAATTATGAAGGTTTTTGAAGGTTAATATATATATATATATATATCTATATATATATATACATCTATCATTATAATTTATGAAGGTTTATATTTTATATATCTATATATACTAACATTATCTCATATCCTATAATGGGGGTGAAGATATAATTATGTATTAGTCGTTGGTTATCCCAGCTTATGGGGGGTCCCATCATATCTCAGAACTATCTCCCCTTGGACCTCTCAGAGCAATACCATTTCATGAAATATCCATGAAAATTCTTGCTTATATAAATCCTAACTATCATCAATATGAAGATCCGAAAACTATTTCAAAGTGGAAAGATCACGCTTAATTTTATCCAAGTTGCCAATCAGTTCGTGCCATCTAACTGGCTTTTCTACACCGTCGATCCCCCGTTCCGGGGCCTCCGGGGCCGAGGCGAAGATGTGAACCGCACCACCCAGAAACCCTACCGAGAACTGAAAGATTCTGAGGGACGGCCGGATGAGGAGGTGCCAGGACTAGCAGATCTCATCCAATTTCCCTAAGAATAGGGCATGATTTATATTACCCTCTGGTAAACTAACATAGCTATTGAAAATGGCCATTTATAATGGATTTACCCATTAAAAATGGTGATTTTCCATAGCTATTTTAATTACCAGAGGGTACATATTGATATATATTGCATCCAATTCCCAAGAAAAAAATCTGGGCTTCACTTTGAAGATGCTGGTTTAAGCATGATAAGAATCGATGCTTTCCATGGGATACCCTCTGGTAATTTGTCACAGTTCACTATTGAAAATGACCCAGTCGAAATAGTGGATTTTCCCAGCTATAACATGGTGGATATTGCTATAGTTTTTTGTAAACCTTTACCAGGCCGGGTAAACCTCCATTTTCCTATGGGTTTTCCTATGGTTATACCACTTTTTGATCCCAGTTTACCAGGCCGGGTAAATCAATACCAGCAATGTTTTCACGGGACTCGGATGGGCCCAACGGGCCCATGTTGGCCCCGAAAAATGATCGAATCCAGTCATCATCAAGTCGAATCCAGTCGGTCATCAAGCCAATAGACTTCACCATAGGAAAACCATAGGAAAACCATAGGAAAACCATGAGAAAATGGAGGTTTACCCTCTGGTGATGTCAAATAGCGAACTGGAGAATGGCCCATAGAAATAGTTGATTTACCGAACTTAAAGATGGGTGGATTTTCTATAGCTATGTAAACGTTTACCAGAGGGTAGGCTTCACCACCAGCCAATCCGATGACTAGTGAATAGACGAAGCTGTCATGTTTTTCAATGTGAAACCAGTTTTCGAATTCTGTTTTTGAAGTCGAATTGCTGATCTTTGTGAAGCTGTCATGTTTTTTTTCGGGAGAAGAGATGAGGCAGTTTCTTCCAAAGTTGGCGCTTTGTAAAATTGAAGATATGCTGAAAACTCGGGACCTCAAGATTCATCCAAAGTTGGTACTTTTCTAGTGACAACAATGTTTTCCGGTGTATTACAATTTGAGAAACACGATTGGATTGAAGAATGCTTCGGCTAGCTTTTGGGGGTGTTTCGTTTCCGCTTGGTCTATGCCCTGGCATGTTCTTGGCATCTAAGATTCTTTTCGTGCTATGAAGGTGGATGATGCTGGAGTTTTTGAGGCAGTTTATGATTTTATTCTCATGTTTATCGTTGATTACCACTATCATCACTATAACCGTCATCGTCATCATCAGCATAATCAGCACCATAATCACCATCTATCTATCTAAATCTAAATCTGAATCTGAATCTAAATCTAAACCTACATCTAATCTAAATCTAATCTCCAATCCTATCTATCTATCTATCTATCTATCTATCTATCTATCTACTTATCTACCTATCTACCTATCTACCTATCTACCTATCTGTCTGTCTATCTTTCTATCTTTCTATCTTTCTATCTTTCTTTCTATCTATTCTATCTATTCTATCTAGTCTATCTATCTATATATCAATCTATTCTAATCTAATCTAACCGATTCTAATCTAATCTAGTCTAATCTAAGCCTATCTAACCCTATCTAATCCTATCTAATCCTATCTATCTATCTATCTGTCTGTCTGTCTATCTATCTTTCTATATTTTTATCTTATCTATCTTATCTATCTTATCTATCTTATCTATCTTATCTATCTATCTATCTATCTTTCTTATCTAATCTATCTTATCTTATCTTATCTTATCTGATCTTATCTATCTATCTATCTATCTAGTTTATTATGTGTATATATAGATATATATATATATCCTCATGAAATATCACCACATATATATATATACGCATACGCACATACCCATCTAATCCCATGATTTTCCCATGAAATCTCCATCTCACAAACCTTGGCTCGCGCCAGGTGGCCTCAGAGTACTGGCAATCGCACTGCCAGAGGGAGGTGAGAAAATGGGGCGAAGGATTTTTAAAAAAATGGGGATTTTCCCATGACTTTAGCCCAAAAATGCTGGTTTAAATGGGGTTTAATTTTATCGGATTCGACATCAATGGCATATGGGGATCATACGGGGATATAGGTAAAGTATGGTAAAGTGGTAGAGTTTCACCATCAATGTTAGCTGGCTTTATATGCATATAGTGGGTTAAAAATCAGATGTAGTGGGGATTATATGTGGATCGAGTAGGGATATAATAGGAATATGATTAGTAGCCCATACAATGTGGGACATTCAGCATCAATGGCATTGAACCAACAGAATGGTGGTTCAGTTGGGATATAAGGGGGGGATGTAATGCGGAACTCATCTCTAAAAAGGACTACCATGGGATATCCAGCCAAGTTGATATAATTAACCATCAATGTATGGAGATAAATCCACTATGTAATATCAGGGGTAATTAACCATCAATATATGATAAGTCCGCTACTTATGAAATCTGTAGATAGTATGTTTGTACTTTTTGGGTTCCTTAAGCAAATCCAAGATAATTAAACTATGGGGGTATAGCTGCTATAACCAACAAAAATGGATGCAGAATGGGTCCACAATGGATATACAATGAAATATAACAATATCATGGACGATGAAGATTGAGTACGATGTTTGGGAATATAATAGGTATCAACAACTTGGTATTCAAGACATATCCAAAATTGGAGGCTTGTCATTGGGTTTAGCACAGTATATAATTTTTTGCTATGGTGGGACCCACCAGCACATAACACCGGTGAAAACCAGGATGTAATGTTTGATCGTGATATTTCCCAATATATTGTATAATCCTTTACTATTCACCACTATTTTACTGGGATTGTATTATACATATATATATATATATATATGGTATATTACATAATAAATATAATACTATATATATATGGTATATTACATAATAAATATAATACTATATATATACATATTACATATTACATACTATATATAATACAGTATATATATATTACATACTACATTATATATACATACATACTATAATTCTTTACTGGGATTGTATTAATTATATACCATTTATTTATACGTATATATATATATAGACTATTCACCACTTGTAATTCATCACCCCACTAATGATGATGGTCTACTGATAATATTCCATTTAAGATCATTACCCCCTGTACATATATATAATATACGATGATAATCACCTCCCAAACTATATATAGAAACATTTACTGTTCACCAATGCTATTTCAATTCCTATCCCTCCGAATAGATCTTAAAATCCCTTCAGTAGCTTATATTAGTAGCTAATATTGGTAGTTGTTAACATTAGTAGCTAGCTTTCGTTGTATATACTCATATTATCATATACTACTGGTTGGTGGTTTGGAACATTTTTATGACTTTCCATATTAATTGGGAATGTCATCATCCCAACTGACTTTCATATTTTTCAGAGGGGTAGGTCAACCACCAATCAGATTATATTCCAATGATATTCCCAGCATATTCCCATTCGATCACCTAGATCACCCAATAATCTTCAAAATTACCGTCGTTTCTTAGACCCTGGTGATCACTAATCTAAGAATGGGTTGATTTTCCATCCTATCACCTAGAAAACAACCCATTCTTAGCACTAATCGTAAAACAGCCTCGAAAATTATGCCAGGGTCGAATCGGTATCCGTAATGGATGACTAAGATAGTTAACATTAATTAAGGGTATTATATCCATATTAACCATTAATTATCCATTAATTATCCATTAGTTATCCATATTAATATTCACCATCTTCACCATATTCACCGTAATTACCATATAGATAGATAGATAGATAGATTGACAGATTGATAGATTGATAGATTGATAGATTAGATAGATAGGATTAGATAGATAGGATTAGATAAATAGGATTAGATAGATAGGATTAGATAGATAGGATTAGATAGGATTAGATGGATAGCATTAGATGGATAGGATTAGATGGATAGGATTAGATAGATAGATAGATAGACAGACAGACAGATAGATAGATAGATAGGATTAGATAGATAGATAGGATTAGATAAATAGATAGATAGATAGATAGATAGGATAGATAGGATTAGATAGATAGATAGATAGGATTAGATGGATAGATAGATAGATAGGTAGATTAGATAGATTAGATAGATTAGATAGATTAGACAGATTAGACAGATTAGATAGATTAGATAGATTAGATAGAATCGATAGATTAGATAGATTAGATAGATTCGATAGATCAGATAGATTAGATTCGACAGATTAGATTGCTTAGATAGATTAGATAGACTAGATAGATTAGATAGATAGGTAGATTAGATAGATTAGATAGATTAAATAGAATAGATAGATTAGATAGAATAGATAGATTAGATAGATTAGATAGATTTGATAGAATAGATAGATTAGATAGAATAGATAGATTAGATAGATTAGATAGATTCGATAGATCAGATAGATTAGATTGATTAGATAGATTAGATTGATTAGATAGATTAGATAGATTAGATAGATTAGATAGATTATATAGATTAGATAGATTAGATAGATTAGATCGATTAGATCGACTAGACAGATTAGATAGATTTGATAGATTAGATAGATTAGATAGATTAGATAGATTAGATATATTAGATAGATTAGATAGATTAGATAAATCAGATAGATGAGATAGATTAGATAAATCAGATAGATTAGATAGATGAGATAGATTAGATAGATTAGATAAATCAGATAGATTAGATTAGATAGATTAGATCGACTAGACAGATTAGATAGATTTGATAGATTAGATAGATTAGATAGATTAGATAGATTAGATAGATTAGATAAATCAGATAGATGAGATAGATTAGATAAATCAGATAGATTAGATAGATTAGATAGATTAGATAGATTAGATAAATCAGATAGATGAGATAGATTAGATAGATTAGATAGATTAGATAAATCAGATAGATGAGATAGATTAGATAAATCAGATAGATTAGATAGATTAGATAGATTAGATAGATTAGATAAATCAGATAGATTAGATTAGATAGATTAGATCGACTAGACAGATTAGATAGATTTGATAGATTAGATAGATTAGATAGATTAGATAGATTAGATATATTAGATAGATTAGACAGATTAGATAAATCAGATAGATTAGATAGATTAGATAAATCAGATAGATTAGATATATTAGATAGATTAGACAGATTAGATAAATCAGATAGATTAGATAGATTAGATAAATCAGATAGATTAGATAGATTAGATAGATTAGATAGATTAGATAAATCAGATAGATTAGATTAGGTAGATTAGATAGATTAGATCGACTAGACAGATTAGATAGATTTGATAGATTAGATAGATTAGATAGATTCGATAGATCAGATAGATTAGATTGATTAGATAGATTAGATAGATTAGATAGATTAGATAGATTAGATAGATTAGATAGATTATATAGATTAGATAGATTAGATAGATTAGATAGATTAGATAGATTCGATAGATCAGATAGATTAGATTGATTAGATAGATTAGATTGATTAGATAGATTAGATAGATTAGATAGATTAGATAGATTATATAGATTAGATAGATTAGATAGATTAGATCGATTAGATCGACTAGACAGATTAGATAGATTTGATAGATTTGATAGATTAGATAGATTAGATAGATTAGATAGATTAGATATATTAGATAGATTAGACAGATTAGATAAATCAGATAGATTAGATAGATTAGATAAATCAGATAGATTAGATAGATTAGATAGATTAGATAGATTAGATAAATCAGATAGATTAGATTAGATAGATTAGATAGATTAGATCGACTAGACAGATTAGATAGATTTGATAGATTAGATAGATTAGATAGATTAGATATATTAGATAGATTAGACAGATTAGATAAATCAGATAGATTAGATAGATTAGATAAATCAGATAGATAGATTAGATAGATTAGATAGATTAGATAAATCAGATAGATTAGATCAGATAGATGAGATAGATTAGATAAATCAGATAGATTAGATAGATTAGATAGATTAGATAGATTAGATAAATCAGATAGATGAGATAGATTAGATAGATTAGACAGATTAGATAAATCAGATAGATTAGATAGATTAGATAAATCAGATAGATTAGATATATTAGATAGATTAGACAGATTAGATAAATCAGATAGATTAGATAGATTAGATAAATCAGATAGATTAAATAGATTAGATAGATTAGATAGATTAGATAAATCAGATAGATTAGATTAGATAGATTAGATAGATTAGATCGACTAGACAGATTAGATAGATTTGATAGATTAGATAGATTAGATAGATTAGATATATTAGATAGAATAGACAGATTAGATAAATCAGATAGATTAGATAGATTAGATAAATCAGATAGATTAGATAGATTAGATAGATTAGATAGATTAGATAAATCAGATAGATTAGATTAGATAGATTAGATAGATTAGATCGACTAGACAGATTAGATAGATTTGATAGATTAGATAGATTAGATAGATTAGATAGATTAGATATATTAGATAGATTAGACAGATTAGATAAATCAGATAGATTAGATAGATTAGATAGATTAGATAGATTAGATATATTAGATAGATTAGACAGATTAGATAAATCAGATAGATTAGATAGATTAGATAGATTAGATAGATTAGATATATTAGATAGATTAGACAGATTAGATAAATCAGATAGATTAGATAGATTAGATAGATTAGATAGATTTAGATTAGATTAGATAGATGAGATAGATTAGATAAATCAGATAGATTAGATAGATTAGATAGATTAATTAGATTAGATAAATCAGATAGATAGATAGATAGATATATAATAGATAGATATAGATAGATTAGATAATAGATTAGATAGATAGGATTAGATAGATTAGATAGATTAGATAGAGATAAGATAATAGATAGATAGATAAATCAAGATAGATTAGATAGATTAGATAGATTTAGATAGATTAGAATAATTAATATATTAGAAGCTTAACAGATTAGATAATCAGATAGATTAAGATATATTAAGCGATTAATAGAATTAGATAATTAGATAATCATCGATGAGAAATAGATAAATCAGATAGATAGATAGATTTAAATAGATTTATAGATTAGATAATCAGATAGAGAGATCGATTAGATAAATCGATAATTAATAGATTAGATAGCATTAGATAGATAGATAATCAATATATGATATAGATTAGATTAAATCAGAAATAGATTAATAGATTCGATAGATTATATATATTAATAAATCAGATAATAGATTAGATAGATTAGATCGACTAGACAGATTAGATAGATTTGATAGATTAGATAGATTAGATAGATTAGATAGATTAGATAGATTAGATAAATCAGATAGATGAGATAGATTAGATAAATCAGATAGATTAGATAGATTAGATAGATTAGATAGATTAGATAAATCAGATAGATGAGATAGATTAGATAGATTAGATAGATTAGATAAATCAAATAGATGAGATAGATTAGATAAATCAGATAGATTAGATAGATTAGATCGACTAGACAGATTAGATAGATTTGATAGATTAGATAGATTAGATAGATTAGATAGATTAGATAGATTAGATAAATCAGATAGATGAGATAGATTAGATAAATCAGATAGATTAGATAGATTAGATAGATTAGATAGATTAGATAAATCAGATAGATTAGATATCAATCGTCCTTGCCCTCGTTCCGGCCCTTTTTCTCGCCAGCGCTCCGCCGTGGCTGCGCTCTTCAGCGGCCAGTTCCGCTCGGTGCTGCGCTGCAAAGGCTGCGGCGCGGAGGCCCAAGGTGCCGTTGACGGTTGATGGGACTTTATAGGGACTTTATAGGGATTTGAAAGGATTTTTTTATGGGACTTTATAGGGACTTTATAGGGATTTGATAGGATTTTTTTATGGGACTTTATAGGGATTTGAAAGGATTTTTTTATGGGACTTTATAGGGACTTTATAGGGATTTGATAGGATTTTTTTATGGGACTTTATAGGGACTTTATAGGGATTTGATAGGATTTTTTTATGGGACTTTATAGGGATTTGAAAGGATTTTTTTATGGGACGATTTTTTATGGGACTATAGGGACTTATAGGGATTTGATAGGATTTTTTATTGGGACTTTATAGGGAATTTTATAGGGATTGATAGGATTTTTCTTTATGGGACTTTATAGGGATTTGAAAGGATTTTTTTCTTGGGACTTATTCGGGACTTATAGGGATTTGATAGGATTTTTATAGGGGACTTTATAGGGACTTTATAGGGATTTGAAAGGATTTTTTTATGGGACTTTATAGGGACTTTATAGGGATTTGATAGGATTTTTTTATGGGACTTTATAGGGACTTTATAGGGATTTGAAAGGATTTTTTTATGGGACTTAATAGGGACTTTATAGGGATTTGATAGGATTTTTTTATGGGACTTTATAGGGACTTTATAGGGACTTTATAGGGATTTGATAGGATTTTTTTATGGGACTTTATAGGGACTTTATAGGGATTTGAAAGGATTTTTTTATGGGACTTTATAGGGACTTTATAGGGATTTGAAAGGATTTTTTTATGGGACTTTATAGGGACTTTTTAGGGATTTGATAGGATTTTTTTATGGGACTTTATAGGGACTTTATAGGGATTTGAAAGGATTTTTTTATGGGACTTTATAGGGATTTGAAAGGATTTTTTTATGGGACTTTATACGGACTTTATAGGGATTTGATAGGATTTTTTTATGGGACTTTATAGGGACTTTATAGGGATTTGATAGGATTTTTTTATGGGACTTTATAGGGACTTTATAGGGATTTGATAGGATTTTTTTATGGGACTTTATAGGGACTTTATAGGGATTTGATAGGATTTTTTTATGAGACTTTATAGGGACTTTATAGGGATTTGAAAGGATTTTTTTATGGGACTTTATAGGGACTTTATAGGGATTTGATAGGATTTTTTATGGGACTTTATAGGGACTTTATAGGGATTTGAAAGGATTTTTTTATGGGACTTTATAGGGACTTTATAGGGATTTGATAGGATTTTTTTATGGGACTTTATAGGGACTTTATAGGGATTTGATAGGATTTTTTTATGGGACTTTATAGGGATTTGAAAGGATTTTTTTATGGGACTTTATAGGGACTTTATAGGGATTTGATAGGATTTTTTTCTGGGACTTCATAGGGACTTTATAGGGATTTGATAGGATTTTTTTATGGGATTTTATAGGGATTTGATGGGATTTGATAGGGTTTTATGGGATTTTATAGGGATTTGATGGGATTTGATAGGGTTTTATGGGATTTTAAAGGGATTTGATGGGATTTGATAGGGATTTTTTGTGGGATTTGATCGGATTTTTGATGGGGATTTTTGATAGGGGATGTATTGGGATGTTGATCGTCCTGAGGTCGTTGGAATCCGATTTCGGCTGGCCATAGGGCTCTGCTGTTGTGTGTTGTGCGCCTTAATTCAGCCAGATTCATGGAAATCCTGTTGGATTTTACTCTGTTGATGGAATTCAATGGGATGTGAATGAAAGGTGTAACTGCTTCATATTTAATGTACGTGCTTTAATGGATCTATATATCCCAATGCCAACCAAAAATAGGAATTTCATGGACTAATGGGTATACAACCAAAAAATATAGGGATCTGATGGGATACAATTGGATATTCAAACATCAAATTGGGATTTAACTATCAAAAACTGGTAGTTTGATGTGATATTTTACTGGGATTTCAACATCAAGCTAGTGGAAACTACATCATTCAAATCATTCAATGGCAATGTTTTATCAGTGCAACTGATGATGAACCATCACAGACACACCCACTCTCCAACAGTTATCAGAACAAAACCAGGCTCTCCAACTGTTTACCCATCCCGGTGAGATTTTACAGTTTTGAAGGGGTCAACCATCACTGATTTGGTGTCCAGCTATTGTTTTCTCCAGGAGTCGTTAGCTCCAAAGAATGTGATGTTTATATATTGTTTATTTATATGTTTACTTGATTTTACTTGTGTATATATATAAATATGTATATATATATATGTATAATATATATATATGTTTAAAATTTGTTTCCACAAAAATCTGTGAACCGATCCGCCTACCATGAAAGCGCCATTGTCGTTGTCAGCGGCCCTGGCGCGGAGCTCAGTTCCACCCGAGGCTACACGAACCACTCCTTCGAAGCCTTCAGTTTCCTGCCGATTCCCATCCCGGAGCACTCCTATCGTCCGGGCACCCAGGGAATCCACGGTGGAATCCACGGTGTCATGGGACGGGGCTTGAAAACATGAAAGATCTGGGTGTGATCAGATAGCGTATGGAACTATAGACGCATATTGTTGTGTTTTTTTTTTGAACCTATAGTACAGAAATGTATTAAAACCATCTTTGATATTTCCATGTTTGTTGATATCTAGAATCTAGACTTACATATTATATATGTCTTGCAGCTAGGCCGTTTTTTTTTCCGCATTGCTGCGGACACGTCTCCATGACAACATTTTTTCATCAGCGATGCCCTTTTTTTGGGGGATTCACTTGGTAGTACAGCTTGAACTTTTGACAATTTTGAACTAGAAATCATCTAGAACATCGTGAAAACAACATGTATAAGCGTGTTTTGAGAGGAGGCGGTATAGTATGGGGTTGTGATTTCCCATTTAACGATGCCACCTTTATTTTTGTTGCATCGATATATGTGGCGTATGGCACTTGAAGATCCGGTAGTGCTGGATTTTGGTGTGCCAGATGGTAGTAAGTGGTTAATATATGTTAATATCTATATACGACATTTATAATGTGTTTTCTATCCCCAGTCATAGATGGTGTTTATACACACTGTATATATATATTATCATCCTGGAGTAGATAGAATATATATATATATATACACATATTTTTACATTCACAGTAGAATAGGACTATCTTTGAAAATTCCATATTCTATCTACTCCAGGATAATAATATGTATATATATATACACACGTATACCATTACATCCCTATTTTATGGCAGTTGCATTCATAATAATATTGAAAAAACAATGAAATCCTGTTCTATCCACTTCAGGATGATTATATATCCGCACCCCAGAACTACAATGTGCCCCATAGGAAAATATACAGGCTATTAACCACTTGAGCAGTGGCTGCTAAACCCCTGTTGCTTGATGATTGTTTGAGATTATACTATCCAATATATTGGGGATTATCTAAATCCATTATGATAATCCCCTGTGAACCAGGCAGTATAAAGGTTTCTGCAGACTTCTCATTCAATCACAGATATTGGTTAAGCGGCATATATCAACCATATATCAACCATATATCATCCATATATCATCCATATCCCCACATGTTGTCCCTTAGTCCCACGACTCAAAGCTATCAAAGGATGGGTCACTTGTATGGTCGTGAGTGCTTCACGTGTGGAGTCCTGGGTGGAAATCGGTGTGGAAAAGGTAGGGAAAGCATATGAAAGTATGGAAAAAGATGGAACAATGTCAGTTTGCATGGAAAATATGGGAATATATTGTTAAAATATGCGAGCATGTGGGAAATATTCTAATAGAACATATAACATGGGGATATTTGTTTTGATTTTGACACAGTGTAAGTTAATTGAAAGGTGGGAAAGGAATGGGTGAACATCTGGGGAAGCGCGGATAAGTTGAGACCATCCAGAAATCCAATCTCGCGATGCATGGATATGACTTGAGCTACAGTGACGTATGATGATAATGATGATGATGATGAAGATGAAATAGACATCATGTAAAAATGGCCCTTGAATCGCGAGATTCCAGGAATTACGTAATCTTTAATAGGCAGCCAGATTGTAGGTGTCGGTTCCATGGGGGTTTTAAGCCATCTTCTTGATTTTCTTGGTTGTTTCCATTTGCATCCATGCATCCATACATACATCCATGCATCCATGCATCCATCCATAGATACTGACTTGTACAATTTTCATTTTTGCATATTCACACAATCCTACATATAGATGGATGGTGAATATGTACTGGTAGGCAGATGGACGAACAGACAGAAATACAGAGATCGTGATTACTAGTGGCATCCTCCCTCCCTCCCCATTTTTGTCACTCACCAATCTCCGGCAGCCCAGGCCCACCTGCGCAACACATTACTCGTGTCAGGGCCTGCGTAGATGGGTAGACGGAGATGAATCAGGGCCTGGTCGATGATGAATTAAGACAAATCCCCTTACTTCGCTCAATTTCTTGGGTGATTCTCAGGGTTCCGCTTAAGATATACAGTAATTAATCCAGTTGATTTCTTTCTTGGTTCCTTTAGGGAGATTATAATGCCAAACAGGTGGTGGGGTGCTAATCATAAATTGGGGCTCCTTCTGTGTGATTTTACAATGATTTAAGCATAATCAGCATTAAGATCGTAACGGGCGGGATTTAATTTAAGGCCTAGTTATGCAATCCCGGTGATGTACTTTATTGGGCTTTGCCAAAAGGCTAAGGAGGCCTATATAACCATCAATAATGGAACTTAACATGATTTCAGTGTGCGAACCTTGGATGGCGTAGATATCAATAGGTGATTTAGTATCAAAAAATGCGAAATCCCATCGCTACACAGTGTCCGTGGGTCGTGAAATGATCAAATGCTTTGTTTTTGGGCCCACGACCGAGATCTGTGCTGACCACAACTATGGTAATAAGCCAAGTACACATAGTTATAGCCCAGGTATGTACGTATGTGTGTGTCATAAAACTAAATAATTACTAAATATATATATATATATATTATATAATATTATATCATATCATATTATATATTATATTATCTCTGATTACTACCCATGCATGCAGCAAATCCATGATGGTTTGGATTCTGCGTCTTTCACCTGTCCATTCCCATGTCCATTCCCACGTGGTTCCAATGGCCAGGTGTGTGCGCGAGTGCCGAAGCAGGGCAATATCAACGACCTGTTGGAAGCAGACGACTGAGAAAGCCGAAGACCGGATGGGTCTTACAACATATCAATGGCCTATGTAAGGGAATATCCCCACAAAATATGGCCTTAAATGGTACAGTACCTCCGTTTTCGGATCCTGAAATTCCCATTGAACATGGGGTTTGTCTTATAAGACAATGAGGGTAAGATTAGACCCATTAAAAAGTCATATTAGACAAACCATAAAAAGGTCATATTTGTCTCCTATGATACCCCCGAAACCTAACAGTCTAGCATCATTTACCCCATTAAACCAGCCTTTGGAGGGTATAATTCTTTATCAATCATCATGTTCCCTCTTAGATTCGCAATTTATGGGGTATATATATATATGGTGTGTGGTATACCTCATGTTCAGTCAAACCTTTGTAAGTTTCAGATAATTGGTATGTAAACGCATGTATAGAAAGGAATACTTATATGCATCATATTTCTGTATCTATAAATATACGTATCATAGTATGTAGATTATACGACAGAAAGAGTTACATTTAGCATTTACAAAGGATATGTGTCAGAATTGGGGATCATCAATAATGAGGTATATCATACACAAATGACAAAAATATCCAAAATCTGGCCACCCCATTTCGAACATTGTTTTTCTACATACTTGGTGAATGATGATGTTCCCAACCAATTGCCATCATGTTTGGGTCCATTTTACCATTGGTAATCAAATCAGGCACGTGGTCATGTATGTTCATGTATGGATGAGTTGTTTCCATTTATTTAATATCAAACTAACATAGCTATGGTAAATCACCATCTTTAATTTTGGTAAATCAACTATTTCTATGGGCCATGGCTTCAATAGCTGACATGACCAGAGGGTAAACCTCCATTTTCCTATGGTTTTCCTATGGTTTTCCTATGGTTTTTAACCAATACCCAGTTGGCTTTTTCGTTGGTTCAAGCCTTACTTTTGCTGCCAAAAAAACCATCGAAAAAACCACGGTGATTCTTGAACCAATCAACTCACGCCGGCCGCGCCCCGCAGACTTAGATCCACTGACGGGAAATTTCAGGGGAAAATCCCAAAATTGATCATCATTTTCTCCATAAAATGGCGATTTTTTGGGGTGAAAAAATGGGAAAAACACAGTTTAAGACAAGCCCATCTGCAATTCTGATGTGACATGCACAAGAAATCTCTACAAATTAGTACAAGTCCCGGCAGGAGTTCCGTGATTTGCTTCCTGGGATCAGTTTCGCGCCCTGCTAATGCAGATGTGCTATGAAACCAGCTTCATCCTTGCGGGAATGTCACAGTGCCTGTCCCAGATCAGGAGAGTTCCGCTGTCCTTCCATCCATATTCTTACGTGTGCTTTCCTGGCAAATCTTGCCATTGTTGTTTGTTTTACATCCCGATTTAGCTTAATATCTTAATAAACGTTTTTTTGATTTACACATCCATGGAATGTTGGTTCAATACCTGCAAATTATTTGCCTTGTAGCGCTCTGAAACCACAGCTCTTCCACGTTCCATGATTCTCCTAGTTTGGTGGATAAAATTCCTATTTCTTCATGGTTTAAATCCATGTTTGTAATTGGTTGCTTTCTCAGTTAATTGGGGCATGGAGGTTTCTCAAGTCATGGGGGTATCCCTAAGTCATCTATTTATTTTAGGATTTTCCATTATAAACCAACCATTTTGGGGTATGTACCCCCATTTATGGAAACCTGCATATATCATATCTATGGTTGCTGATCCAACTACAGGGAAAGGCAGCACCACCACCACCACCACCACCACCACAGCTACAACTGCAATTACAACTACTACCACAGCTACAACTACAATTACAACTACATTAAATTACACTACACTACACGAATTACATTGCAATACACAACAAATACAACTACAACTAGACTACATTACACAACCCTACACTACACTATACTAATTACATTACATTAGGCTACAACTACACTACACTACACTGCACTCCAACTACAACTACACTGCTTTACGCCTTACACTACACTACACTAGACTGACTACACTACACTATACCATCCTACAATACACAACACGTCAGTACACTGCACTACACTACACTAGTTACACCACACCACAACTACAACTGCAACTACACTACATTAATTACACTACATTACAACTACAACTCTGCTGAACTACACTACAACTACAACTACAACTGCGCTACACCACACTACATCCAGCAGTTGCGGTGAGGTGACCACTGCAGCAATTTCAAAAACACAACTCCAACCACCTTCGGGTCCATCAGTGGATTCGCTCTGCCATCCGTGATTCACAACAACCAACCTCTCCTATAGGTTCCCTATTTTTGAAACTTCCGCCACCGCCTTGTGCGGTTCTGCTGGTATGGTCTATTTTTAGTAATATATATATATATACACATATCTTTTACATATGTAATGTAGAGTACAATTGAATTCATTAAATATCACGTTTTTTTAAATTGTTATCACATGTTTAATCATTGATATGTATATTATATATATATGTATCCACTTTCATTTTTACATACTATATATATATATATCTCATTGATATATATATATATATAGTGTCTTTTTATATGGCTATAGCACCTCGAGGTACCTTACAAAGCCTACGAGCCGCCGGCGCCTGGAAAAAAGCACGGCATGTGTTGCAACGGAGTCGATCTGCGGGTCTCCAGCCAGGCTCGGGCGCCGCAGCCACGGATAGATAGGGTACCCTCTGGTAAATTAACAGTTTGACCCTGAAGATCGCCCATTTTATCAACTATTCTTCCAGGGTCTATGTTGATTTACCAGAGGGCATATGATATATATATATAATTAATTAATTACAATATATGTATATACACATAGATAGATAGATAGATAGATAGACAGACAGACAGACAGACAGATAGATAGATGGATGTTGGGTACAATGTTGCAATATAGTTGGATATAAGGATATGACATTACTTTAAGACATAATGGGTGCGCATCCCCCAGAAGATGTAGAGAAGTAAAGTCCAGTTCCGACAGCATGGTTCAGGGAATATTTTATGACAACCAGCCAGAAGCGGGCAAAGGCGATGACCAGTGAACCAGCGAATATGGTGATGCCAGCAGCTAAGATTGGGGCTTCACTTGCAACCTTTTCTGAATTGAACCAAGTGGGGTTCGCAAATTGTTTTTCCCTATTTCTCAGGTGGTTGAAGCTCACCTAAACGGAACCCCAAAAAAGAAACCAAAACGGTCCAACAGTAAACATGTCAGCTCTATAGGTGCTTTGACTAAAATCACTCCAAAACTCATTGTACCTTGTTTCCAGGTTTTTTTTAAATGTAACCATCCTATATTAGGATCCATTAACCATCATGCCATCCTATTAATCTAACTATGGACATTATAGTTAACACCAGAAACGCACCTATGCTATAGTTATTACCCAATTACAGGTGAAATGCTATAGTTAATTCATTGTAACCAGGTGTTATTAACAAGTTATTAGTCAGGTGAAATGCTGAAATGCTATAGTTATTAACACCATTATATTTATTTTCCCCATGAACCATCATGCCATCCAAGCAAAATCTAACTATGGACATTATAGTTAACACCAGAAAAACACCTATGCTATAGTTACCATGCTATAGTTAAGTGTAACACCCTTATTTCCCCATGACCAGGTGTTTTGACCTACAACAACTGCTTGCTGAAAAGAACGCCATGGGAAAGCGCTCTGGAGCTGCTGGAGACGATCTTCCGCCAGGTGTGCACTTCTGTGTGCTCAAACGTGGCTGGGAAATCCCTTAACGAAATGGAGGATTTTACTGGGAAAACCCACTATAAATGGAGGATTTTAATGGCAAAATCCACTATAAATGGAGGATTTTAATGGCAAAATCCACTATAAATTGACCAGGAATAAGGCAACATCTGGCAACATCTGGGGATCCGTTTCGCGATTGCGAAGTGCTGACCGGTCACAGGCCACACCCGAAGTCACCACCTACAACGCCATGATCACTCGACTGCGGGGAGCCTGGTGCAAAGGCGATCTGATGAATATCTTGGGTTATTTCTATGGGGCTATAAAGGGAACCATGAGGCTTATAACAAACTGACTTAAAACGGGCAAAGGGCCAAAAGAGTACCAACATAGACATTTTTACCTTGGGCTAAAAAACATGTATATATATATACTGTATATAAAACTATATACTAGGTGAAAATGATATAGGTTTACCAAGATTGGCCATGATTCAGAATAACTCTCTTCCAGGGCCGAGTTTTTTCACAAGAAATGCAGTATCTGCAAAATCGATGTTGCTTCTTGAAGAACAAACTGCAGCTATTCGCTATATGTACACATACATATCAATCTTCCTAATTCTTCCTATATATGATTCCTATACATATATGGGACGGGATATACAAATTCATACACGTATCCCTACAGGATCCATACATATCCTTGCGCACAAGTCAAGCAACCTCGATCCCGGCGAATTTGGATAGAACGAACGGCTTCAAAAACCCAATAAACCAGAATCCTGTCATGAGAATCTTTTCCTTCGTAGAAATCTGCAACATTTCCTGCAAAGTTTTTGTGAAACCCATTCATTGTGTTGCTTGATACCCCCACTGGTTGGTGGTTTCAAACATGTTTTATTTTCCATTTCATATATGGGATGTCATCTTTCCCATTGACTTTCATATTTTTCAGAGGGATAGGTCAGCCACCAACCAGCCCAAAATTGTGAGCCAAATCCACAAATTCCAAAATTATTCCCAGGCTTCAGGATGTCGAAGCACTGGTTGTTCATCAGTGCATGATAAAAACCTTCAACTCTGGCCGAAATTCTGTAAGTTATCCCATTCATCGTTCATGATAACCCCATTAAAAAACAAAAAATAATAATGGTCTTATTGTTTAATAACCATAAATAAACCCCATTAATAAAATAATATTCAAGAATGGTTAATACTGGTTACCAATGATAACCTCATAACACACCATTGTTCATAACTGGTATTTCGGGCCGAAATGCCTGTAGGCTTTCTGATGTTTCATCAACTGAACTTCATCGCGCTTCAAGCCGACATACTGAGCTTCAACAGCGCATTAGCTTTGCTTCCTTGGAGGCAGGGCCAGACTCCGCGCTTGTGTGATACCCGTAAAGTTTGGTCGTTTGACTATGTTTTGCAGAGGGAGATTGGTGATAAGGATGGTGAATAATGAGGATGGTAAACATGATGGATGATCAAAGTGTCTGAAAGATAAGAAAGTGAAAGCTCATTGTTTCCCGAAAATTTGGGTTGAACCTGAAGCGCTGACTTTCCATTTCGATAACTCATAGCGAGCTCGACTGATGTCACCACCAATGATAGATACAACCCTCCAGTCAACTGATACAAATATGTAAAACCCATTCAAACCCACCGTTTGTAGATCATTGAAGTTTCGTTTTTTTTTCCGGGACAAAAGCCATTGTATCACATCTGAATTCATATCTCATTCCATTTCAATCCCATCATATCCCATTGTATCTGTATATTCCGTTTCAACATTATCACGATACAACGGGATGTAAGATGATGTAAGCAACAGTATCCCATTGTATATCTCATTTCTATGATGTTCCGACGATCCTGTTGCTTACATTCCATTGTATCCCGATAAACTGGTTGATATACCAATCCTGGTTTTGGTGGATTGAAGCCGCCTAAAACGGATGGCAAAACATCACCAGGTCACATGTCCATTCATTGGTTACCCTCCAGTAAATTAACATAGACCCTGGCAGATGGAGGTTGGAAGCTTAGTTTACACTAAACATGGCTTATTTTCAGGGTCTATGTTAATTTACCAGAGGCTAAATCATGTTAAATCTGTCACAAGTCCATATCTTTGGCTAAGTTTATCCCCATATCCATCCCATCATCTCCTAGGATTATGTCAGACCGAGCCCTGGAATGATGCTTTGAAGGGGAAACAATGCGGAAATCATCCTCAAATGGCCCAACATTTCAGATGAGTGAAATATTATAATTTAATATAATTTACCCAGCCCTCTGCTAAATTTTCACGTAGACGAAGATCACCCATTTTGAGTGGAAACCAATCTTCCAAGCTTGTCGAATGCCGTCGACTCGGTCGAATTTCCAGGGTAACCCTTCAGTTTCCCTCCCAGTCCATGGTTGCTTAACATTCCGATGGACCCATGGAACTGAGAAGAGCGAAATCGTTGGGATACTTCATAGAAACTGATGATTGCATCAGTTTGTTTTAAATATTCATATAGTCTAGAATGATTGGATATGATACTTAAAATCCAAAAAATCTGCAATCATTGGTCATGGAATGCACATCCAATATATGTGTTCTTTCACAATCTTTTACGTATTGGGGTTTAATAGTCTAGAATAACGGTACTGTATAATTTGTGCTGTTCTCACATGGACCCAGATACTCTCCAGTGAAAATCATCGAAGTCAATATGAAATTGTTCAGCAAGCCATGTTTAAGGACACCGTATGGTATATTCCCATTGTATGCCAAGCAATTATATATATATATACATCAGAATTATATCACCATGAAGTATTACTATCAACTTGTTTGCTATATATAGTATATGTCCATATATGTCCATTATATTCCCTCAAATTATATTCCCATGAACACCACCGGGAAAGCCATGAAAATCCATTATCCTTAGTTAGTGGGATTCCATTAAACATTAAAATAAATTAAAATGACAAAATAGCTATGGCTTGATAATTCTCCATGGAAATCCCATTAATCTTTAGTAACCACCATTGTATCACCATTATATTCCCATTATATCATCATTATATATATACATTGCCAGCATATCTGGTTCCATTCCCATTTCATACCATTGGATAGGTATGGCTAAAATGTCTTGGGGAAAGCTGTTGCTTATATATATATATATTATACAACACACTACATTTTCTTTATATATATTTATCATGATATATCATCATTTTCCCATTAATGAATCCACATTAGGTATACCTCCATTAGTTATATATACAGTATATATATATATCATTATATATATATATATCATGAATTTCCTGTGCTATTTCCATTGTAATCCCCTTTTTTTAACCAACGTTATAAAGTCACCATGGAAATCCCACGAGGTCCGCCTTGGATCTTCACTCAAATACGGCCTCCTTGACCGCGTCGTCCTTGCGGCTGGATGGGATCAGCTTCGGCGCCTCGGTTGAAAAAAACGGTACACCAATTACCGTGTACCCAATTTTGGTAATATAACTATATAATGGGATTATAATGGTGATACAACGGTATTTTATAGAATGGTGATTAAATTGTACCCAATATACTGGCAATATAATGGTGATATAATGGGAATATAATTATAGAATGGCATTATGTTAAGTTATAACGAAGTGGTTTTAATTTGGTGGTTATACACAATAATATGTACAATGGCATTACCATCTGGTTATTTAATGGCATTACCATTGCATTACCATCTGGTTATTTGTTACATAGCCATGGAAAGATCCACCCATTTTTAATAGGTAAGCCCAGGTAAACCATCTATAGATGGGCCATTTTCCATGGCTATGTTAAATAACCAGATGGTAAGTGGTTTTACACGGTAATATATACTTGTATTGATTGGAGATTCAATCGGTGTAATCACCACCAGCTGGGATTATACTAATCGGTGTGATACCCAATTGTATTACTGGGAGATTCATTCGTCATTAATATGAACTAGTGATCAATAGATGACTAATGGATATATTAGTGGATATAAGGAATATATTAGTGGATATAAGGAACATTTTTTAATGAATTAGTAGTTAATTAGTTAATATAATTGATATTCCACGTTTCATGGGATATTAATATATTGGTATTCATGAATTTTGATGGATATTCATGGGTGACGAAAACTACACCAATCAGTTGAGATTGGTAACCAATCAGTAGGGATTGCACCAATGAATCTTAGTTACCCTCTGTTAAACTGGGATTATAGTGGTATAACCATAGGAAAACCAGAGGAACATGGAGGTTTATCCTCTGGTAATTTAATGTAACTATGGAAAAATCCAGCATTTTTTAAGTTCGGTAAGTCCACTATTTCGACTGGGCCATGGTTTCAATAGCTATTTGCAGCAGCAAAATCCCAGGTCCCATGTGGTCAACCCAATGCCATCTTACGGGAGTGCGACGTAATACATTGTGATATAATACATTTATTATACATACATTATATATATATAATAATAAATATAATAGTATGGTATGATATATGGTATATGGTATGATATATGGTATATGGTATGATATATGGTATATAATAATATAATAGTATGATATATGGTATATAATATTATATATACAGTATTTGGGTAAATTTCATCACGACCTCACTGGTCTCCCGAGCCCTGGAATAATGGTTAGTATTGAATATCATCCCCAAATGGCCCAACAATTCAGGTTAGTGAAATATCACAATTTACCCAGATAATATATATAATAATATACCCTCTGGTTATTTAACTTAGCCATGGTATGGATGGCCCATAGAAATAGATGGTAATAAAAAGTGGATGGATCTTTCCATGGCTATGTTAAATAACCAGATGGTACATTGGGTACACATATGTATATCATAATACGGTGGATGGAGGAAATCCTGCACCAGTTGATAGGTGGTAAATCCACTATTTTTAGGGTTTCAACCATCCTTTTGGTGGTGCAGGATTGCTTCCATCCACTGTATGTATATCATAATATGTATCATGATTGATGGCTCATCCATCATGCCATAGAAAAACATGGGTATAGAATTACATTGTTGATAATATATATGACCATATTGGTATTGCTCAAAAAATTGGCCTATAACAAGTCATACCATAAGTAGATAGGGTATACGATGGTGTATTTCTATTGTGTATATCCCCATGCTGGTATTGTGTAAAAACCCACCGTTTGCATGACTGGGAATGGGACATCGGCATTGGGATAAAACGAGTTTCAACGGGATGATGGTTACATGAACTGTTTTTGGTGTAGTGAACTATCCGGCCTGGTAAACGTTTACTGCGTATGCGAGCTGGAAAGATCCACCCATCTTTAAGTTTGGTAAATCAACTATTTCTATGTGCCATTTTCAATAGCTATGTTAAACTCCCAGAGAGTAATTATCATAGGGTATTGTAATGCCCAGAATATAGTTCACTGTCGTAGCCGAGTTTGTGATGTTTGATCAAAAAGTATGCCATGAATCATAGGAATAATAGGAAATTCTGGTATGGTATGGGGGATAATGGATATAATGATTACATGTATGTTTTGACTTGATAATGGATTTCATGATTCTATCAGCTTGATGTATGGATTCCATTGGGATGTTAAAATTGAAAGAGACGTGGACAGTAATTCACTATAAGTGAATATGGATGGATATGGCATATGGTTGGCATGTTTGGGGATTTACTTGCCCATACCGGGAGTATAATAAGATATACTCATTATAATGAAATACCACCAATGGTTTCTTCCCTGATATCACGACTTGATTACACCTGAGAAAAGAATGGAGTTCATTGAATATAATACAATGATGGTACAAGGATGGTTTCATTATCATGCGCTAGCCCAATCTACTGTATCCCAATGTTTTCTTCGGATAAGACAAACTGCACCCAGGGAAAGAAGCCCTGGGAAGTGTCGATCCTGCTGAACAAAAGAACGCATCAGTTTTGGCCGAAGATCATCATGAGCGTGTTATGAGTGAGAGCATGAATTTATTTCTTTGAATTGTGGTTTTCCTCTAACTCTGGCCTTATCCAGAAGATGCACAGTTTAAAAAAACATCCGTGTAGTCCCAAAGCGAGGCGCCCATGATGAAGATTTTGTTCGAAGGTCAGCCGTTGAATTCCATTTAAATCCTCAAAATGCCTGCAGGTTCCAGGTCTTTCCCAGTTACAGCCGTTGGTTTCCAAGCGCATCCAACAGCTCGATATATCCCCCGGAAATCCAACACAGTTCGATACGTGGCCTAGTTTTGTTTACCAACTTACCTACTGTATCCTGGCTTGGCTGAAGATGTTGTGAATATTTTCCCAATGGACAATCAACTACTTGGGGAATCAAAAAGGGGCGGGCCCCTTCCAGCTTCAATAGCAAGACCCACTTGGAGGTCATAAGCGGGTGTTTTCAGCATAGTTGTAAGTTTTAGGAGTTTTAGGTGTTAATGTTGGTAAAATAATTTCATGAACCATCCCCTGGTCATCAGCATTTTTATAGGTTCTATGCAGAAACCATTCCCATGGTGACCTTGTTTTGCCCACGATGGTGGAAATCCCCATTGGAGGCGTAAAGAGCTGCCACTTATTAGTGGCTGGCAACTTCTTACACCTATGTATTCTTGAACTTCTAGAAGTACAATATAAATATCTTACAATAGATAAATATCTTACAATAATATAAATGTTTATCTTAAATATATCTTGCAATATCTTATATCCATAGTTTTTTTTTAATAAATATATTGCTATATGTTATAAGATATTTAACGCCTTCTAAATGATATCCATAGTTTTTAGAGATTGTTATATAAGATGATATAAGATATTTAACTTTTCCTATATGATATCCATAATTATAGTTATGTCTTGTCCAACCGAAGATGTTCAAATCCCGGCATCGCCTCGCTTCGGCAGGTTCCGTCCAGCAGTCCTTGTGCTCGGCGCCATGGCCCCTGGGCCTTGTACTGACGGAGAGGGCGACGGTCTCGGCGACGGCCTTAACCAGTTGGAGTCGCAACATCGCTGCGTGGCTCACCTTGGAAGTTGGGACCGGTTAGGAAACCATGTTAATTATGCTTGATACCAGGGTTAGATGTTTGAAGCTACAAGTATTTTCTTAATTATAGTATAGCACCCCCTTTTTGGCCAGGATTTTTTGCCAGGATTAGTCAGTTCTCAATCTTTTATTGCCGTTAAAGTCATCAATTTTCACAGGCAATTTTCCAATACCGTAGCTCTATTAGTTTACTTGAGGCTAACCCATACATTACCAGCATTTCTGTTCCATCAAAGTGGGATATTTCTTTCATACGCTGACGCACAGGCCTCGTACCATTCTGGAATCCAGCCGATGGCTGGATAATCATCGAACTCAATGGGGTATTTTCCACCAAAGCCTGATAGATCTGATAGGAAATCAAAAGGCGTCACAACTGAAGTATTTGAACACTATTGACCTATTGACCACTGTTGGCAAATATATGGGGATCAATTATCATGGCAGTATATATTAATTTTAACCTTACAAAATGGGGATGTAACGTCGCATGGTAAGGTTTCCTGATTTTATTGCAGGTTTAGTGATATCCTGTTTTGTTTAAGCTTCGCAACTGGTAATGATGAAAACCTTCGTTGGTTAGGTGAGTTGAATGGCAGGATGTGTGCCGTTTCAAGTGGAATGATTAGTTGAGAGCGAAAAGGCCTTTGTCACATAGCATGACATAGCCCCATCATATGATGAATCATAAATTGTCCATAGAAATAACAGTGGTATCGCAAAATATGATACATATAACCAACCATCATGATAATTATCATCACGCAATATACAATATATCAATATACATTATATATAATGTATATAATATGCATATACGTCATAGCTTGCTGGAGTATGTACCATAAATACGACCTCAAAGTATCACCATTCATCAATGTGTACCATTTAAAAAAATGGGGCATATCCCCTTACATAGCCCTTACTTACATAGGCCTGAACAAAAATTGGTTTTTGACCTCCGATTTTTGTCGAAGCCTGCTACAGGACCTCTGCAACCACAGCATCCGGGTGGTGGTTGGCTCTGCAGATTTTGGGCAGGAGCTGGGCGTAACATGTTGGCCGCAGTAGAAACGTGGCTGTGACTTGTACTTTAGGTATGAGTCAGCTTTTCAGCCCGATGGCCTTGTCAATTTTAAGGAAATTAGACCCATGTTTGAAGTTGAATTTGACACTACCATACGCCAAAAAAAATGGGCTCGCATGCCGGAGCTCATGTTCTGGTGACCTTCAGTGGACTTATGGTCACCATGGTTTCCTCTCAAGAACTCGGACATCGAAGGAGCGACGACCTTTTGGGGATGAATTTAGCTTTGCATGCTGCTACTTCAGCCTCCCAATGGCAAGATGTACCTCAGAGTCCAAACAGTGAAAGGGGCTTGGAATGGCTTGGAGGGCGGCCCGGAGGGTTTCAAAAATTCCAACAGTTTCGTCGGGGAAACCTTGGATACTGTGGGTACTGTAACTATCGGAACTATCGTACTGAAAAATCTTTGGAAAGCTAGCATTGAAATCATTGAATCTTCGGAAAATTGGCACTTGAGGACCCCAACATTTGAAGATGTTGGGTGTTGGGCGTTGATTTTCCGTGAAGATTGCCATTCTGTGATTGTTTGTGGACAGACTCAGGTGCTCCATGTTGTCCATGTTGTTGATTACACCACTTATATTCTGTTGCATTCCGGTATATCCCAATTATGGATGGTTATTAGAAATACCTTTTACAATTCTTCTCTATCCAAAGTTGATTTGGGGATAATATCACAAGTTCACAATTCTCATTTTTAAGTCCCATTCAACGGTTATCGGTTATCGTATCACGTTGATCCCATTTTTTGAATCCCCGAATTATGATCCCACTCTCCCAAACATAATATATGTAATATATATATATGTATATATTCCTATACAGATTATATAGAGATCATAACAGTATATATATAATTAGTATAATTGACCCCCTGGTGTATATATATATATATGCCATATTCATCCATATTCGTTGTAATTATGTATGGAAATGGTATACTACCTATATTTACCAAAATCATAATGATTCTATATTTAGTCACCATAATTTATTGCGAATCAATTGCTACAGTCTTCAAAGACGCTTTGTACGCAAAAACATGTGTAAGAGACTAGGAAGAGAATAAAGAAGAAGAAGAATAAGAAGAACAACAAGACAAAAATGAACAGAAATTAGATTTGGTGGATGATGGTTTTGGATTTGAAATGTGGATATTCAAGAGTGGATTGAGAACCACCTCTGTTTTACACTAGATGTGATACAAAATGTTGCGTATACAATTACTAGATGCCACCCAGTGGCTGACGAAGTGAGACAGAGAGCAGGAAAGGTGGACAATATGATCAAGATTCTAAAGACAGGAAGGGTGTGAGAGTTTTAGATAATGACCACAAAGTGTATACGGAGTGCTCTACCTGCGACTCTTGTGAAGCGTGGAGATGTTTGAGAATTTAGTGATGAAGTATTCCAAGAATACCTGTGAAAAGCACAGAATAAAAAAGAAGGCCAACGTAGAGGCATGGATGGAGGATTTGTTTCAGCTATTTGGACATGAACGATAGAAAGATGACTACAAACTTCATTGCTCAAAGGATTGAGAATAAGTTGGGTCACAGGGTGGGCGCTTGTTAGCCATGGCGTTGTAATCATAATTTGTCGCGCCCGTGAGCGGCAATAAAGGCAAAGCATAATCGATGATGATGTGTGTATATATATACATATGTATAATATATATATATGTTTACATGTTTGATAGAAATCACTTTGCAGTCAAAGCAGTTACATTGACAAATGCAAGAACTGAAGATTAAAACACATTGGTATGGATAATGCCAAAGAGGGGCAAAGAGTTTTTTTTTCAGACCGTTGAGGTTGAAAAAGCGCCGGGAGGATACACTAGTTATTTTTGTTGCCCAGCACAATAACGGTATTTATCAATTGGATGCATGTTTGTTTCTGAACATGATATGGAATCACAACCGACATGTAGGGCTGGTGTAGTGAGGATCGATGTTTTGAGCGAGGACGCTGTAGTAATTCCAAAAAAGGACGAATCTAGGTGATGCAATTGCGGGAGCAAATTGAAGGGTGGCCAAGCAGGCGTAAGAGTAAGAAACCAAAAAAACGACAAAACCATATAAAGTGATGAGGAAGGAATGCAAATATACAGGACTATGTAGAGGTTATCCCGCCTTTTCCTCAACGTTTTACCAGAACCTTTAAGGATTGTTTATTCAAAAGAGCTGTAAATCATGACAAGAATGGGAAGGAAACAGAGTGCGGATTGCTTATATCTTAGAAATTATGCTCAGGAAATCATAAAGATGTGCATTCCGCAACCGGACAGACACCACATGAAGCAAGAAACACATTAGACATGTAATTAAATCCAAGGTACATATTTCAGCGCATACAAAGAGGCGAGGAGTGCACGATAAAGTAGAAAGGTGATAAGGATAAAATGACTAGAACGAAAATTGTTACTGAGAAGAACAAGCAAACTATTGGACCGGGACCAAGCTGTTGAAGCATCTTGTAAAAATGAATCACACATATTTTCAGGTTCGAATGGAATTTCAGTCATAGGCCATAGGCCAGTGAAATGATTCTGCATGGTTTGCTGAAAGTACAGACTCCCACATACAGTGAAAATACTTGTTGAGAATAAAGACACTATTTTGAATACCACATTAGATAATAATCTGACTTGGTACCAAGTTTTGAAAGCAACATATGGTTAATGAAAATATGCTTGAAACACAACTGTATAGTTCACTAGTGAAATGTTTTTCAAAATATTGATAATTACGCCGACAAGAAAAATAACATACACCATTACTGGACTGACATGGTTTCAGTTTAGTGAGTGCATACATGAGCTCAACTATGTGATGTGTTTTCAGGGCATGAGCCCCCATCGATTTTGCAACAAAAAACTCCTGCGACGCAGCAGTCGCAGAATTTATTGGCGTTGATTCATAAAGGTACCTTGAGAAGCGAAAGACAATCTAAGTCATAGAAGCTGAAAGATGGAAACATATCAAGAATTGGACGCAATGTTGGAAAATTCAACAATGATATCGAAATTAGTATTGAGGAGGATCTTCATGTCCCCCCCGGTAGGGATGTCAGGTGGAGCGGTGGAAGGTTTCTGATGTGATCTATGGTCGTTTGAAAAATAGGGTGGATATTCGTCAATAGTATATGGCAGTTCACGAAATCATCGAGTATTGCAACTCGAGTTTCAATTAGACAGGAGTCTGACACTTATTGAGTCCTGTCACTTCATCCGATTTTTGCACTGTTAAGCCTAGCTGTAACCCACTACCTTTGGATCCTTCTGCTTGCTCTCAAGTGGCTGTTACTGATGCTGTTCGGGACATGTTTTCAGGCCACTCGAGCTACAACTTCAACAGCCTCCAGTACGTCTGGACATCTCAGAGTCATCAAGTTCATGGTGGGTCCAAGGGGGTTGTCTCAACTTTTGCCAGTTCGGACTCAACATCAGACGACAGGTTGACGAACCAGTAGAGGCAACCAGAGGTCATCCTTGCCCTTAGGACACTGATCCTGGTGTTCGGCCAGGAAATGATGCAGGGTCAAGCAGTATTCTTTCATCAGTAGACATAGCTTTGTCCAGCATTTGAAGCTCAAGACTCTAAAAGTACTCAGATGTCCGTTATTTCGCGGTGGATGCCGGACATGCCATCCATTGAGGTCCCAGCAGTTCGAGTTCGAGTGGCCGGCTCATTTTGATTTGACCTTTCGCAGTTCTGGGGATGTTTTTCATCCGGTAATCGCTGACTTCCAGTGCCCTTGAAGGAGAGGACAAATGTCCAAGCAGCATTTTTCAACAGCATCACGTAGTGCCCCAAATCGGAAGATGAATTTCTCGCATTTTGACATTTGGACCTTGTGGGGTATGGATTTCGTCGCAGATCACAAAGCATTTACACCAGCCTAGGTGCCATGACATACGGGCAAGCTCTGTCACGAGGAGGCGGGGGCGAAACTTGTTTTGAATGTTCCGTTGCTCTCCTTCAACTTGCACAGTTGGATCCTCCGTTTCAAAAGTCCAAAGTGGAGGATTTCTGGATCTCAAAGAACTTGTGCTACAGGTGCTCGAGAAGATCTTAAACAGAGCCGGCTGGAATGCTCAGGAGGAACTGCAGAGCTTTCCAGCAAACCTCCATGGGCGAACCAATTTCGGATGTGAAGCAAATCTTGAGGAAAGAGCGTCAAACTTTAACTTAAATCAGAATTCAAAAACCATGAGGTCGGAACAAGGATCTGGATTCCTAAACTAAAAAGTTTGCGGTTTTTGTTTTTCAAGGCTTCTGGGATCAAACTTCCTTTAGCACAGATTTTTATTTCCGATGCTGGTGAGACGAGTTGCCTTGAAGATTTCATTTGGGATATTTTCAAAAGCCAACATGTGAATACGAACGTGCACTCTCAACAAGAGTATTATATTCTAGTTTCTAGATACGAGGTAACCTTTTCCGCTTAAAATAATCTAAGGCTTGGTTCCCTGCCGGACCTCAACCACGACCATCCACGCCCAGTGTTCCCTGCCGGACCTCAACTGCGAGTATCCACGCCAAGTGTTCCCTGCCGGACCTCATGTAGGAAGATATGGGACAAAGAATGTGCAGAAGAAAGTTAGAAAAAATGTCAGACAAGTATGTTATATATTACTTGCAAACTAGATATGCCAGAAGATATGCCAGAAGATGTGTCAGATAGAATGCCAGATAGAATGCCACAAGGTATGCCAAATAGAATGCCAGATATAGAATGCCACAAAATATGCCAGATAGAATCCCAGAAGATTTGCCAGATAATATGCCAGAAGATATGCCAGATAGAATGCCAGATAGAATGCCAGATAATATGCCAGAAGATATGCCAGATAATATGCCAGATAGAATGCCAGATAGAATGCCAGAAGATTTGCCAGATAGAATGCCAGAAGATATGTCAGATAGAATGCCAGAAGATATGCCAGATAGAATGTCAGAAGATTTGCCAGATAGAATGCCAGAAGATATGCCAGAACATATGCCAGATAGAACGTCAGAAGATTTGCCAGAACATATGCCAGATAGAATGTCAGAAGATTTGCCAGATAGAATGCCAGAAGATATGCCAGAACATATGCCAGATAGAGTGCCAGATAGAATGTCAGAAGATATGTCAGATAGAATGCCAGAAGATTTGCCAGTAAGAAAGTGTATAAATGTCATGGTGGGGATCACACGAAGTAAAGTAATTTTTTTTGTGGAACCAAAGAACATGATACCTTAAACCCATAAGATTTCATCCAAGAAAAATGTTTCACCTTGATCAATGTTTTGGCTTGTGATACCTCAAACCTAAGCTTCCCGAAAGGTTGAGTCAAAGGAATTCATCCTGTGTCATGTGGGACATTTAGACATTTGACCATGTCTTGAATCCCGGTCTGGGGTTCCTCGCTGAAAGTAGGTGTCTGCAGCCTCAATTTTTAGCCAGATGTCAGCCAAATTTAGCTTCAAGAACGCTAGGCCTCAGCTTTTTAGCTTTCGGTGCCTTTGTACATATTTTATAGTTTTGTTTTTAGATAAACCAAGCAGAATGCAGCGAAAGGATCCCACGCCTCAAGGGATTGATTTTTGTTTTTTGGAACATATGTTGTTAGGTTATCTTGAGCTTAAATGTTTCCATTTTGCAAAAAGAAAGTGGGTGGACTTTACCCCATATCAGGTCATAAGGTTTTTATTATTATTGTTGTTTAATGACTTTTAATTACCAAGTACATCCAATTACTGTTCACAATCACCATGCACAGTTGGGTTTTCCGGGTATTTATTGAGATTCTGAATAGCACTGACCAAACATCTGTGGGGGTTAATAATCAGATACAGCCCGAGCGCTGGTTAAGAATCCGAAAGCTTGAGGAGGCCCAGGGTCCCTCAAATTCTTATGTTTTAATGCAGGTAAATTTACACCACAACAGGCTGAGGGTCCCTCAAATTCTTAGGGCATTCTTAGTTTTGTATTGCAGGCATCTGCATAGTTTGGAGCAAGCAAAAGTGAGGTAACAAGGTGGAGTTGGCAGATTTGACAAGAGGCATGTGAAAAAATGATTTTCTAGAGCCTGAAAAGTTTTTTTTTTTGCAAAGCTGGGCTGGGCTGAGTTTCATAAGGCTAGTGTGCAAAAAACAATTTTTGAGAGCCTGAAAAGCTGTTTCTTTGAAAGCTGGCTGGTCTGAGTTTCATAAGTATTTTTCTGCAGAGCGCTGTTTCCGTAAACTTTGTTGCTTACTCTAGCTGGTCTTGTTGTTGATTGCCTTGATTATGGGAAAGAAAGTCAAGATCCCATAGCTCAGTTGGTAGCGCGTTGGGCTAAGGCCATCGTCCTTTGGACCGGGCTTTCTGGTAAACAATATTCCAGGTCCGAATTGGAAGCACTCCAAGCATGCGCGAAAAAAAATAATTTTTCGGAGCTCGAGAAATTGATTTTCTGCAAAGCCTCAGTTTTCTTCAAGTTATTAAAGAAAACAATATTTCAGGTCCCCAAGTCTACCCACATATTGATTTTGTGTGGATTGGAAGCAGTCCAAGCATGCGCGAAAAAAATCGAGCCTGAAAAGTTGTTTTTCTGCAAAACCCGATTTCATCCCATAAGACCATACAAGGGATCACGCCGCAAAAAAAAGAAACGCAAAGGGGAATTGCAAACCTCACGTATAAGGAGTAACTTAAGAATTTGGCAATCCTATTCCAGGGCCCCTCAAATTCTTAAAGTCCTATGTGTTTAGTACAACTGAAAATATGTAGCCCGCCTTGGATTCGAGCTCCTCAAATTCTTATACAGTGAAATCTTGTACAATACTCAAGCTGTAGATGTATACATAGATATGTAATCAATGTACCTGTTTAGATTATATATTGATAATCAAAAAAAGGTAAATATAAAAGTAAGTATTGCCAAACACAATTAAAACACAAAATATGGGACATAATTCATCATGTACACCAAATAAGTCACCATAAGATGAAATGTTAATCCCATCCCCGTAATATTAAACACTTGCTAAATGGTCCCAAATGAGTATAAACCTCCTACTTTTTGCCATGGTTTCTAGGTGGTGTTTAATATTAGGTAAATTAGGGAGAATTATGGGATTATGTAAACCATGTCTCCCTGATTATATAAACCATGTTTGAATTTGAATATGGTAGACATCATAGATGTCCTTTTCCCATTGGTTGGTTGATTAATACAGGGGTTTGAAGAACCCCCTTTAACAACAGGTAAATGATGATAGATGGTATACCAAACCGGCTCCTCTATTTTTACCACAAGGACATTATTGGTAGACATGGTTTGTTGCACCTTTGCGTCCCAGGTTTTGATGACCTTTGAAGGAGCTAAGGCCGGCGGCCTTCGTCGAGAGCCAGATGTGGTCTCCAAGGGCACACTGCGACGCGGCGACAAAATCCATCGATCTGACTTGGGATTTGGTGAGTCCCAGGTGGTACAATGGATATAGAACTATGTATGTGTATATATATATATATATTTATTATACATTATCTGGATAAATTATAACGACCTCACTGCGACTGAGCCCTGGAATCATGGTTAGTAAGAGGAATCATCCCAAAATTGCCTTATTTCAGGTTAGTGAATTATTATAATTTACCCAGAATTATGTATAATATATATATACACATTATATACACATTATATACATAAAGCTCCATTTTTTGTGAGTTGTATATTCGCGATGTTAAAACTGTACGTGGGATGTGCTTCCCAGGTCTTGTTGACGTAAATTAATTGTGAATACGATCTGTTGCACAAAGGGTGGATTCAACCAGTTTCAATAGGATTATATTGGATTATATGAGATTATAATAATATCACTATACAAATGTTGCAGTTGAATGTGACTTTATAGTAAAACTGCGACTGTACATTATATTTCAGTTTTTTTTGGGTATAATTTAAAGTGAAACACATGAGTGTTCACATCCCATGTATAATATTAAATACTTGGGTCAACTATGGGGCGACCCAATTTTCTCCGCCGCTTGATTGTGGGTATTCCTTTGCGTTTTGGGTATGTCCCTTCACCTGCATGTGCATCCCAGTTACTATAGGTTGGTTATAAATTCTAAACGTATTATAACCCTGTTGCATATGGAATACCCCCAAGTATCCATGATATGCAACATGGGGTAATAGACACATTAACATTTGGTATACAACGTATTACTGACCCATAGTTACAACCGTATTTTACTATGGTAATACCTTCAATGTGGCGTATGGGTTATATATGTATATACATTACTTATGATCCACTTCCGGCTGCCAGAGCTGATAGCTGAATGGGATCATTGAATTGAATAAAAAGAACAAGAGGTAACATGTTTTATTACAACACTATAAATGGGGGTACCCCCAAATGGATGGTTTATAATGGAAAATCCTGTTAATATGGATGATTTGGGGTACCCCCATTTTAGGAAACCTCCATATATATATATATATATATACACATTAATATTTAACCGCCTTCGACGTTTTCCGCGGCCATGGAAAGAGCTATCCCGCAGCCGCATACAGCGCTTGCACAGGCCCAGCAAGAACATGGTTTTTGTGTAAGACATGGTGTTTGTGTAAAACACATTTTTTGTGTAAAACAGCGCTTTGTGTAAATAAAAGACGGTTTTGACGCAAAAACTCAACTTGTATATTGTATTATTGGTTGTTTATCCTAATTTACCCCTATCAATCACCATTAATGCCCATGAATCCTCTATAGCCATGAAGAATCCGCATGATATCCCCGTAAAAAAAGGAAAAAACAACTATATATAATTAGTTACATCCCCATTCACTTCCATTCATCTCATATTTTTTCTCCATGATTTTTTCTTTCTCCATCGGCCGGCTAAGGATCAACGCTTTAGACCTGGCACAAGAATGGCGCTTCGCCTTCGCTGTCCTCGTCGATGGTCGGACGACCACGTGGCTCGACGCCAGCCATGGCTTCAACGGCTGAGAAAATCCAGGGAAAATCCCCCCAACATCTGGGGAAAATATGGGAAAATATGGGAAACTGCACTATCAATGGAGGTTTAACTCGCTGGGGAAGATCAACTGTAAATGGATACTTCAATAGTCTGAAACAAACTACTTTGATATCTTGAATCTTTTGGCATGAATTGGATAGTTTGCGAACCAGTGGGACAACATATGTTTCATGGTATCCAAGATATACGGTCTCCATGATTTCCTACATGCATGGAACCTCAATAACGGAGAAACTCATGGCCAGGGTGTGTCGTATCCGGAGTCCCTTCAGATCTCCCAGTCCCAGGAACACGATGTGCTACAACAGTGCCAGCAGTTCTGCAGCCAAAACTGGACATTGGCAAGTTTCCTGTCAGCTGCTCTTGAGCATGTCTAGTGCCTTGACTCAAGATTCACATCATTCAAATCCCCAAATCCACCAGTTTTGATTCTAAAAAAGTTGTTTAAGTGTTGCGAAACCATCCCTATTTCTGAGAAGAAACCGTGTTTCCCGGAAATGTCCACTCCTTTTCTGTTAGAGAAATCCGCTTTGTTGGCTCAAATCGAAATGATACTTTCACTGGTTGGTGGTTTGGAACATCTTTTTATTTTTGCATATATTGGGAATAATCATCCCAACTAACTAATATTTTTTTACAGGGGTTCAAACCACCAACCAGTTCAGATATCTGCATTTTGTGGACCATTTTCACCGGTGAGAATGCTCCTTTTTGATTGTTTTTGAGCCAGCATTTTTGTCTGGGTGAAACTCACAGGATCGTCCAATGAATTTTGCCAATTTTTCACACTTTGTGGCTTATGGCCACCTTTGAAAACATGCTCAAAACCATCATTTTCCGTTAAAACATGTTAAAACCACCATTTTCCTAGGATTTTCCTGTTTTTCCCCAGGTGCCTCCTTTGAAGCCGACCTCATCAGCTTCAACGCGGCCGCGTCCTTTGGAACTTCCGCCGTAGGTCGCTGGGCCATGGCCTCGACGGTGTTGCAACGGGCGCAAGAAGTCCTTTGGCTTTGGACAGAGGTGGTATTGGATATTATTAAACCATTATCATTATATTATTATTCCCATATGCTCCATGTATGGTATGTTTACCTACATTTGGGTGATTTTTCTGTATACCATATGTTCTACTACAATCCATATAGTGACATATACAATTTGGTTATTTAACATAGCCATGGATTGATCCATCATTTTTAATAGGTAAACCATCTATTTCTATGGGCCATCTATACCATGGCTATGTTAAATAGCCAGAGGGTATATTATTATTGGTTGGTTAATTATATTATTGATTATACAATATTTTATTTAATAATGGTTAAAATATGGTGGATATGGGATAATTATTCACCACTATTCACCATTATTCAGAATTATTCATCATTATTTATCATTATTCACCATTATTCACCATTATTAACCATTATTAACCAACAATATATAACCAAAACTATGAACCATTATTGACAATTGGATATTTTTTGGGGGGCTTCCATGGGGGCACCCCATAGCTGGATGGTTTATTTCATGGAAAATGCATCGCAACATCCATAAATGGATGATAACTACAATGTGAGGCCCCCCCAGTTATAAGTTGGTTTATAAGCCCCAGTAACTATAATTAACCATAATTAACCAATCCCAGATGCTCCATGTACGGTATATTTACCAACATTTACCCAAAATCACCCAGTTTTGTAGGTAAATATAATATACCATACATGGAGCATATGGGTAGGGGTACCTCCATGACTTAGGAAACCTCCATATGCCGCCAGATTTCCATGGGAAATTCATGGGATATCAATGGGGATATCCCATGAATTTTAATGACATCTGGCTATATTTTATGGAAATCCATGGGATATCAATGGGGATACAACCAACATTACCCAACATGATATTAATGAGTTCCCCAACCACATAGTAGTTAGATGGATACCTTCCGGTAATCAAACGTGGCTGGCTGTAAAAAGCATTATCCAATTGTTAGGTTTGATGATACCGGAGGGTATATCCCGAAAAATATCCCGTATCATTCCTATTGTAGTCCTATTATATCCTATTATCCCACTATTCGATGAGATAATAGGAATGGTGGGATAATAGGAATACACTATTATGTTATCCCATGGAATATTCATTGGGTGATCCACCTTATTCCTATGAATCGCCTCTTCTCAGCATCAGGTGAGCTGTCGCTTGAGTGAAGTGAGCTTCGGCGCGTCCGTCGTCAGTGCTGAATGGCCTCGCGCTTTGGCCGTGTGCCCCGGCGAGACAATTTCAACAATTCGTTTGTTGCACCTGCAATTAGTGGTTGATACGGCTACCATTCATAGCAATTATATACAATATCATTTAGTTTCTATATACAATGTAGTTTCTTATAATATTGTATGATTCGGGTTCGTACACCACCATTGATGGTATTCGGTATTTGGCATGAATATTATAACTATAATACTGTACCATAGTTTCTTTTTTGTGTTACGATATAGTTTCAACTATATCAACAATATTATATTGTTGCCATATAGTTTCTATTCACCAATATTGTTAACACTTTCAATAATAGCGGCATGCAAAGTAATTTCAACACTATTATTACTGATAGGTGAATTATTATTGGTATTCATCCAGCACATCGTTTAATGTACAGACCACTAAAAGTCAGTATTATTGAATAAATTGGGGGGCAGTGGCTAATGCTAAAGCAAAATCAGTACCATTATCTAATGACTCATTGTTGGTTGATATTGATAAGTATTGGTTAGTGAAAATTATGTATCCCTTCCCTCCACAACAACCCAGCAGACGTTCATGTGGCGTTATGGGACGTCGGGGGATGAGACTATTGAGGAAAACGGCCTAATATTGGCCGAAAAAAAGTGCAATGATTACCCATAATCAACTAGCCCCAATATGGGTTTTATTACAAAACGCTTGTCGGTGATGAATGGTAAAAAGGCCGTTATTGGGTATTTCATATTGGAAAAGCACTATTGATGGATTGATGGATTGTTCAATTTGCAAAAACCTTGAATGAATTGGTTAGTGATATGCAACTTTGCTAATGCGAGGTCATTTTTCAAATGCTAGGAAAAGCAATGGAAACACGTACCCTCTAGTAAACTAACATAAGTATGTAAAGGCACCATTCTTAATGGGTAAATCAACCATAAATGGGCCATTTCCATATATGATCTTTTGTATTAACCAACAAAAGCCCGGTGGAACTTTGAACCCCAAATATGTGTCATTACATAGGATAAAACGGGGAAAACAAAACAAATCATGGAGCAACAACCAAACATATGTATTATCAAAGAACCACACATTTGGTCATATTGGGTAAACCACCGAAAAACAACGAAATCAAACATGGTATATGTATGTATATATATATATGTACCATCACCCTGAAGATCCCTGAAGTAGATAGAATATGGAATTTTCAACAACATGTCCATTTTAGTCATGTTTCAACAATATCTGAATCTATGTCTATGTACTTCAAGATGACTATACATATGTATATATATATATGAAGACGGCAAAGCTGCAAAGATGAGGATTGCAAGCATCTAAATTGGTCTTTGAAAAGCAACTGGTGAAATTGGTGAAATTCACCATGAATCTGGAACCAACCATCAAATGTGCCATGGTCAAAAAAACGTCATGTTATATGAGTTATATGGTTTATGTTTTTTTTTAATTGTCATCCATCCCATTTCATGGAATCTAAAAACATTGATATATATATATATATATAAGTGATCATAAATAGTCCCTATTTTTCTGGGTTGATGGCCATCCATCAACTAGGTATATTTCTAAAGTCTTGATATACAGACAAAGCCCCCCCCTGGCTTTGCCCAAAGATCCGGTCCACCATGATTTTTACCAAACTCTTCATCTTCAGATCCAAATTCGAAAAACCCCGTATTGTTGGTGATATCTGGGAAAATTTCATCACGACCGAACCCTGTTCTCGCCCTGAATGATGGTTAGTTAGGGGAATTATACCAAAATAGCTGGAATGATGGTTACTTAGGGGAATTATACCAAAATAGCCCAACATTTCAGGTTAGTGAATTGTTAAAGTTGACTCAGCATTATCCGATGATATCCCTATTGTATCTCCATGATTTTCCTATATTCCCAAGATGTTTCCATTGTATCCACATTTATGAAATCCCATGATAGTTCCATCAAATCCCTATATAACCCCGGTGAAATTCATATTTATTGATTAATAGTGATAGATATCCAGATTGATGTTTACTATTCTCATGGAAATATTCCCATATGAGCCACGTTTTTTTCCAGATGATGGAATTTAGATTGAGGAGGAACTCACATCATTCATGCGTAGGCTATTCTGCTTGGTGCGTAGGTTTCGCGTAGGCATATACGTAGGATAATGTAGGGGAGGCTGCGTAGGCAGTCTCGCGTAGGCACTTGTTTAGATGTTCTAGATTGTTTGTTTCTGACCTCGAACTCTTGTTTTTCGTGGTGGCTTACAATGATTTCAAATGCAAACTGGATTGTATGGTTCATATGTTTAGCTGGAAGACAGGGGAGATTAAGGAAACAATCGCTTTTTCAGAAAATTACAAGTGCCAAGTTTTCGAACAGCCATTTTCGGTTCGGATTTTCGCGTAGGCTCCGCGTAGGCCCTCGCGTAGGAAACGCGGAGGCCCTAGGTCAAATTGTGGCCCGTAGCCGTAGCCCATCAAAGTCTTACCGTTTCACTTTTCTAATGTTTCCATGAGTTCATCATGACTGCCAATCACATCATGACACAGTGCTCCACTCTTGATGAGGCTTCCGCCTTCCTTTCACAAGTCACCCAAAGAATCGTCATCTTCCAATTCTTTCTATTCCTCTTCTGAACCAGAATTGTGATCACATCACGTCAAGTAAAGAGATCGTTGCAGCAACTTTCGCGGAGGCAACCGCGTAGGCACTTCTTGAAAGGTAACCCTCGCGTAGGCAGTTTTGCTTGGGAGGAGTGGTTTGCGTAGGCCCCGCGTAGGTGTCCTAATTTGTGTATTGTAGTTTAGCAAGGAAAAAAAACACAACTCATATGAAAATTGGATATCTCCCACAAAATTTCGGATATATGTGAATATATTACCTCTGGTAAACTAACGTAGCTATGGAAAATCCCAATTTTTGAAAGGTAAATTAACTATAAATTGCCATTTTCAATAGCTATGTTAAATTACCAGAGAGTACTCATCATCATGTCAGTCTCTCCATATTTCCAAGAAAAATATGGGGATACCATGGAAATTGATGGAGCTATTTCCATGATATTCAGATTGATGATTGCTATTCCCATGGAAATAAGTTCATATCCATTGGAGAGCTCCCAGATATTCGATATATTCATACTATATTACCCTCTGGTAAAGGTTTACATAACTATGGAAAATCACCATTTTCAATGGGTAAATCAACTATTTCGACTGGGCCATTTTCAATAGTTATGTTAAATTACCAGAGGGTATATCCCTACTGATTGGTATAATCTCAACTGTATTGTAGTTTTCGTCATTATACCCATGAATATCCGTCAACATTCATGAATACCCATATATTATCATATATTACTATCCCATGAAACGTGGAATATCCAATCAGATCCAACCCGTTGAATCTCCATTTTTCCGGTCGCCAAAAAAAAACCGTCGCCAGGATGGACGTGCTGCGCATGGAGATTCAACTTACTGAGATCCATTGCAATGCTGCCATCAGCGTAACTTGGTTAGTCGACCATACAGGATGGCCCCCCCAAGAAAAACGAACTAGTTTATGGATGTTAATGGTAGAAACTACAGTAGATGGATTATAGAACTATATAGGTTATGGATTTACGGAATTTCTAAGTTGCCTTAAAAAGATTTAAAAGTGGCTGAATTCCAAGGGTTATTGTAGATATAACGAACTAGTTCATGGATGTTAATGGGTTTTATAAACCAACAAAATAACTGGGGGCAGGGGGCACCATCCTGTAGGGTAATGTGATTTCATAGGTCATAGGGATTTCATGGGCATTGATAGGGATTATAATGGGATTATAATCTGATTATAGTAGTATAATGGGATAACCCTCTGGTGATTTTAACAGTTAGCTATGGAAAATAAACATTTTAATCAATAGATGATAGATCTGTAAATGGTTAATTTTCTATAGTTATGTTAGATTACAGGAGGGAAATGTCTGAGAATTTACCCGCTGGTTCTTTAACATAACTATAGAAATATATATAATTTAACATGATAGACAACCATGGACAATGGTTCTATTTACTTCCAACTACTCTACAGACTATAACGAAATAGTAGAAAAAATGTGACTTAATGGGATTTGATGATTATTTAATGATGATTTAATGGAATTTTGCCACTGGCAATTTTACATGGCTATGGAAATCTTCGTTTTGAAAAACTGCATCATCTATACTTGAAGGGTCAATTTTCCTGAAATTTCCATGGCTATGTTAAAGTACTGGAGGGTAAATGTATAGCAACGCCCCCAAAATATTGAAAAGTAAAATCCTAGAGAAAACTACCTTTGCATCTTTGGGGGATTACTCTCCGAATGATAAAAATCCCAGCTTTTATTGAGGTGGGTGCTCGGTGGTTAAAGATCTTGGCTGGAGCAATTGCAATGTCTTGGCGTTTTGGCTCATCCCAGATGGATGAGAGATCTCCCAGATCGACTTTTCCATGTCACCGGAAAAAAAAGAACATGATTATCCCAACCCTCCCCAAAAAAACTACTAAACAAACATACTAAAAAGTTGTGTCCAATGCATGTCTCTATTTTTTTTCCAAAATTACGTTCGAGTCCAGTCCAACTTTTCATCCGATCCCAGGTCAGGAGATTGATATTCTCATCCCATAGATTACCCTCTGGTAAACGTTTACATAACTATGGAAAGATCCACCATTTTATAGCTGGGAAAATCCACTATTTCTATGGCCATTTTCAATAGCTATGTCAGTTTACCAGAGGGTAAACCTCCATTTTCCTATGGTTTTCCTATGGTTTTCCTATGGATCCCATATCTTCCATATGGTGAAATCGTTGGAAAGCCCAAAGGCTTTGACCGATGGTGACAGCCACCCAGGTTTGTGCAGGCGCAGCCTGCTGGAGCTGGGCGTTACACTTGCTCTCTTCGCTACAGCGCTGGAGGATCCAAGGGGACACCATCGCGGTGAATAGCTGCTTGACGAAGGATTTCATGGTGATTTCATGGTGAGTTCATGGTGATTAGCCATCAACAATTGGTGGTTTCATGATAACTTTGCCAGCGAAAATGGTGTTTTTTTCTGGGATTTTTCAGCTAGAAAGTCACGGTGATTTCATGGGATTGAATGGGCTAATGCATGTGTTTTTTTCGCCACCAAGAAAACATACCCTCTGGTAATGACTAACATAACTATGGAAAGATCCACCATTTTATAGTGAAAGGAACCAAGCATTTTATCTTACTGGTGCTAAACGTAGGAAATGAGGGAATGATCCATATTCACTTGTAATAATCATCCCATTCCCCCATTCCCATCCATTCCCTACTCAGCACCAGTAAGTTATTGCAAGAGTTTTGAGGTATGCTGGATGCCTGCGAAAAGGGGAAGCAATGGCAATTGGCTTTGCAACCTGGTGGAACTAGGAGAGGCTTGGAAGCCAAGGGGGTTGGCTCAGCTAGGATCAAAAAACGTGTACCCTCCACTAAATTAACATAGACCCTGGCAGATAGAGGTTGGAAGATTAGTTTCCACTTTAAATTGGCTAGTTTCAGGGTCTATGTTAATTTATCAGAGGGTAACTAGGGGATTTAACATCCATAAATTGGAGTATAACCCCATACAACCATGGTCCATGGTTGTATAAGCCACTAATGGAGCTACACCTCCAAGTACCAAGAAAAGCATATTGGTGTCTGGGCTGCAGCCGTGAAGACGAAGGGTTTTGCAGATTCCCGTCAAATATTCAATAACATTTACTGTGCTGGGTTGAATTTATGCTTTTGCAGGGTGACACAATCTTTGCCACCCCATCAGAATCAGTTGCTTTACCTTTCAGTGTGTTTTTTCTTGCTAATTTCCCCCATCTTTTTGGTGACATCCACCAGTTTTTCTGGTCAACCAATTCCCCATCTTTGTTCTTAAGTGTTTAAAGCAGCATGTTCGCGAGTGAATTTCTTAATTCTTGGTTGAATTCCCCTCTCTTTGGTTTCTTAATGCCCACTTTTTTGCTTGTTACTCTTGGGTAAACTCAGCTATGGAACATGGCCATTTAGTTCGATGATTTACCTCTAAAAGATGGTGATTCTCATCTTCAAGCTGTTGAAATCCTTACCTTTGCTGGTGGTATCCCTCAATTCTACCCTCTCTGATGGCGCACTTCCCATTTTTGGGTGCCAAATCTTGATGGTGAAATGATGCGATTGTTGGTGGAAAATCCCAAGTTTTCTTAGTCAAAATCCATTCATGTGGAATAAATGGAATAAACCATCCCCAAAATCACCAGGTTTATGATATCCTGGTAGGTTTATGATGTAATATCACCAATTTATGGTAGGTTTTCATATGTGTTCATGGCATCCATGGTTTTCCACCTTACACATCCCATGGTTTTTGTTCGATGTCGAGGCACTTGCTCTTCGAATTTCTGGCCTTGCATGTCGTCATGGACGAAATCAGTTTCAACTCAGTTCTGGGTTCCTGCCTGCAGGGCTGCATGGGCAAAAAATGGCACGTGCTGAGGGGAGAGCGCTCGGGTGGGGTGAGCGGGTTATGTGGTTTTCAAGGCGGGAGATTGGGAAATGGCTGCTGATGTGATCTATATATATATATATATGTAAGATATGGTTTATTGATCTATCATGATCTATCTATGTTTCATTCAAAGTACAATGTAATGTTTACACATATATATATATGATTTATATATAATTCTGCAAACTAATCAGACATTGGTTGAGCGGTTGAGCCCATTTGAGCTGGTGGTGAAACCCGACAGATTCAGCTTCTAAGGCTGCTGGTGGCATGCTCAGCATGGAGGCTTGGGAACGGCAATCTCTGGTTGTACCCTCTGGTTATGTCGCAGTTTGCTATTGAAAATGACCATTGAAATAGTGGATTTTCCCATTGAAAACGATGATTTTCCATAGTTATGTAAACGTTTACCAGAGGGTACACCTTTTCTTACTGGTGCTAAACGTAGGGAATGGATGGGAATGGGGGAATTATTATTATTACTAGTTATTGTGGATCATTCCCTCATTCCCTGCTAAGCACCAGTAAGTTTCTTAGTTGTACAATAAACCACAAACTAACCAGCAAAAATGCGGGGTGTATATGACCACCAGTAGGATATTTGGGTGTCTGAACATGTAGGACTTAGCCAGCCCTCGAAATGACAATTTCCACTGGACGGATTGGGTTTTTCCTATAGACCCAGGGTTGGTTTTGAACATGAATTCCTGGTTAAGACATATTGAGAACATCCCTTGAAGACAATAATTTGGCTTTGTCATCTTTGTTCTCAAAAATTATAATCCGTGTTTGTCAGAAAAACGATATGTGTTTGACAGAACATAATCTGTGTCTCTAGAATCCGGAAGATGTCTTCTTCATTTTGGCTTTCGTCTCGGCACAGCCAATTTGACTCGTTTGACTCGGGCTCGAACTCGAGCTGTGGCCTTTTGAATGTGGATGAACTCTGGGATTTGATGGGATTATAATATTATATTGGAATCCTCCTCCGGGAATCCTCTATAAAATCAGGGACGCCAGCGTCCGTATAAACTGTTTTTTTTAAATGTAAACATTTTTTTTCTCCAACAACGCAGCCACCTCCAAGCTAAGAAACTGGGCGAAGACGGCGTAGGCGAATGCCATTTAATTTGAATGCAAGCATCACTCAATCAAAAGAACTCATGTAAAGGTGGCACAAAATTGAGCGGATTATTTTTTGCAGCAAATCTGGAGGCACACCCCATCAAGAAAGCGAAGATATGGTCCGGAAAATGGAATGAACGAGAAATGTGCAGGGAAGCTACGTGGCAAAATCCAAAACTCAACAAATGTGTAGATCTCAGGGCATTAATGGACAGCTGGTGGGATTGGAACAGTCGCATGGCAGCTCGCTTGAACCTTTGGACAAGCACTTTCAAAGTCATGGATTGATTTATGAAACCCGGAAAGTATCCAAACTGGAAAACAAAATCTGCCATGATTTCAACCCACGACGTTCTATGGATGGATCTATGCGATCCAACGACCCATGCCGATTGGGAGAAAAATTCACAAATAGCGCCAGCTGCGCTGGGGCTAAGCCGCATGGGTCCGGCAGCCAAAAATGCAGGATCTGGACTTGTGACTAATGGCTGCCACATTTCTTGGGGATAAGCGATGGCGATATACCTGTTATGGTGAGAAGATACTCTAGTTCTGATAAAAGGACTAATTGGTTCGCCTCGTTTAACACAAGAGATGAACATGTTTTCGGCATCACCGGCACGGATTACCAGTGGGCGACACGTCCCAGAACAAACAGAGCCCTTAGAAAAAATCCGAGTTTTGGGGGCGCAGGAGCATACAAATGATGAAGTCAACACCTTGTAATGGGGAAAAAAGTCTTGCCCCGCTGGTATCTCCGCTGGTAACATTTTGAAGAGCGAACTACGTGTGGCCAACGTATGGACCAAATGGGCCTGCAATGACATGGCCAATGCAAGTTCTTCGCAGGCCGTTTGTTGGCGGGCTTCGAGGAAAGCCCAGGCAGTATCTTTTGCTAACTTGTCAGCACAAGAATTACCTTCGGTGAGAAAAGGATCTTGACAAAGGTCGTGTTTACCACAGTGGGCTTTTACTTTATACATCGCGAAAGGCTGGCTTCGCTTGTTGGCCACAAAATTGAACAAAACCCACAGATCCCGATTGTCAAGATTGGTGATACATTTATTTGAGAAGCCACAGCGTCGTAAGAAATTGACAATGTTGACCACATTTGCACAATCGGAATAAATTGTGATATTTCCGGCGCAGTGCCACAAAGCTGCGATGACTGCAAATATCTCAGCCCGTTGGCTTGTTTGATCAAGGCCTGGTAGGAGATAAGCTTTTGAGCATCCACACTTCGAAACAACGGCTGCTGCAGCAGATCTCATAGGTGCCCAAGAGTGATGAAAACAAGAGCCATCAACAAAAATTGGACTTTCAGGCTCAAAAGCTTGAAAATCCTCCATGGGAAGAACGGGCCTAGAGACAACTTCCTGCCGCCACTGGGTGATTAGTTCACCTTCTGGGAAAATGCCTGTACACCACGTTGTGTCATGGAAGAAACTTGAAGGTCGATTCCTTTCGTAGAGACCACACGATTTGAATAAATGAAGGTGGTCTTCTCTTTGGTCGCATCCTTCACACTTATCATCCGTAGTAATCCCTGCGGCTTTGCATCGTGCTCTAGTAAGAACACTGCCAGTCCTCAGGGCCCGCAGTAGGGACTTCATGTAGGCATGATTCTTTGGCAAGAATTGAATTGCATCCTGCGCAAGTTGTCTGTCAGAAAAAGACGCCAAAGAAGCGTCTTCGAGAATGCGTGTTTTGGCTATATCGATGTGGAGATCAAGTTCGCCTTGCCAGTCGTGCCTAGCTGGGACACGGGCCAACAACATTACACGAACTGATCTTGCAAGTTCCTCGTGAAAATTCTTTTTTGATCCGTAGAGTAAATCAATCGGGGTGTCACCTGGCCGGGAAAACGTCATGCTTTCGTCTTCACGGAACGACCACTTGAGCCGGCTGAAGACGACAGCCAGAACATTGGCCGCTCCATTGGAATTTGCTGAGCAAGTCTGACGTTTCTCTTTGGCGCTGCTCACGAGCCGAGCAGCAGCTGCGGGATCCTTAAAGGCCAGGTCCCTTAGTCTAGATAAAATTCGTTTGAAAGCGGCAGCTTCAGGATCAACAAAAGGGTCATGACCAGTGGCCAAAATAAGATAAGGGGACCTATTGGTTTTTAAGCCTTTTGACAACGCCTTAACCACTGCCTTTCTCAATTTGTCAAGCTTCGTATTGTTTGGTAATTGGCATTCAACACCGTGCAACCACTTAGAATGGGCAACAGAATGGATGAACCCCGTCATGTCATGTTCATTACATGGTAAACAAGACAGTTTCTTCAGGGAACGAAAAGCTGATTCTACCCGAGAATTTTGGAATGCTGCGGATTTTAATCGGTCAACACGGTGGGTAAACCCAAGTGATTTCGCAACTGTCTTCCTTGATACTTTGACCCGGACACGCCGCAAGAATTCTTCTGCTTTCTTTGTTTTTCTGGCTAGCAAGAATGTTTTATCGAAGTTTACTTTTTGTCCTACTGCGGTGTCATAAGCAACAAGTTCATTGAATGCCTTTTCAAGATCGGAGGAAAACAAACCCTTAGCCCAAATTTTCACATCATCAATAAAGCATGCTGATGAAACTTTGGGGTACAATCGCTGAAGATGCGCTGAAAGGATTGCATACATTGAATTGACCATAATGATGCTCATAGAACAGCCTTGCACAGCAGCATTTGTTCCCATTACTTTTCTACCATAGGCATTCCCAAGTTTGAAGATTTTTACCTGGTGGTGATAAAATGCGAGGGTGGCCCGAAAGATTTGGTCAGGGATACCCAGAGAAGAGGCCAAACCCATGGCTAATTCTGGTAAAATAAGGTCAAAGCATTTGGTTCGATCAATAAAGACTGCAATGGGGTCATCCCGGAAATTATTTTCGTGGAAGTCCAATGATAATGATAATTCAGATTCGAAGGCCTGCCTATTCGGAATTCCTCCTAATAAGTTGTTGGGGAAAACTTGTGCCATCCATGGGGCAAGTTGTCGGAACCTCAACGAACTCCAAATTCCATAAATGGCAGAAGATACCCCGATTGCTCGCACATTTTGGGGGGAGGAAATGGGTGCTCCTTTGGAAATAGCGGTGACAGCAACCATCCTTAAAACCTTAGGCCAAACTCCATAGGCTTCAGCAAGTCGCATGACAAAAGTAAACCCAACCCAACCACATGGGGGTAATGCCTGGAGTTCCTTAGTTTTCCACCCATCGAATCCGCCGGCCTTACATTCACTTTTTCTCTGAAACAGCTTAAAAACATCATGATGATCAATATCTGGGATATTTGCAGGGTGATGAAGTTGATCAATGGCACCAGAATATGTGCGTAAAGCACTATTCAACATATTCTGGGGATCGACCCCCGCGTGTTCGTTGTATATATCTTCCATGTGGTCGCTAAGCATATCCAGCATTTCATTTGGGGAAGCCGTGAATTCGTTATCCTCTTTCAAAAAACACTTTGGGGGGCCAGCATGCTTCCCTTTAAGCCATGAGAAGACGAATTTCTTGTCAGTCTGGCTGGATATCTGGATTTTCTTTTTCCATTGTTTCACGGCGAAAATTCGCCGTTTTTCCTCTTCATGAGCCTGGGTTTCTTGAATCTTATTTCTGGCTTCGGAAGCGACATGCGGAAAATCATGAACTGGAAAACAACGAAAATGGAAGTCGGGGCAAAACTTGTTGAACCAACATTGTACTTTCTTTTCCAAATTGGTTATTTCCAGAATCTTTGGTTGGGATAGTGGAACGCCCCTTGAACCATTGCTACTGTGGCAACTGTAAATACTTCCGGACATGATGGATTCAATCTCTGTAATTCTGGCTAGTGTCTTGGTAAGCCATGTTGTGGGATTTTTTGAAACTGAGGAAAACAGTTTGAATTTGGGAATGGTGCCCCTGGTGTGTCTAGTTTTCGTAGAAGCAAGG